GATGGGATTCTGCAATTTGATAGTAGATAGATAAGCTTTGCAGCGAATGGCGAGATCGAAGTTCATATCGGTTTCTTTGATCTTGGTATCAACTTGGGATTTGCGAGTTGCCTTCAAACTGCTGCTGATTTCTGCTTTATGTTGAGTATATTTTTGTTCCATATGTCGTAATCGAGTTGCCTCATCCATAAGAGTACGTTGAGTATCGACAGCTTGTTCCAAGTATTCATATTGGCCCATCCCTTCGGTAAAAGCGGCGTCACGAACAATGATAGCCTTATCATAATCAGCCTTGAGATAGAGAGCACGTCCTGCTCGTCGACGACCTCCTCCAGTAGTAAACGTCTCGTACGGTAGTGATGAGAAAATGTCATAAGGTGTGTGTGCTTGTACGGTCACCAGTGACAGACAGTCTGGACAAAAACGAGCTCTACAGGAAACGGTTGTTCAATCGGCTTTGACCCTTTAGGACCGTAACGTTCATATGCAAACCTGAACGCCCAGTAAACCTTCCTGAGACGAGGTTTGTAGTCACAGTTCATGCAGCCTTTACCGCAAATGAGTGCAAACATGTCTTTGCGACTCATCTCAAACAAAGTGCTCCCAGTAATCATAGCAGGAGGAATCTAGGACGGGATGGTAGGTGTTGGAGAAGCTCATCAAAATAAAGTTCAAAAGTGTATGTGGCGGGTCACTATGATGAACCGCAAAAGGACCTTGCGCAAGTGGCGGCGGGTGCATATCCTTGCTCAAAGCGACAGGATTTACCTTGTTCCACATATCGAATGACAACACGACATCATGGAATTGGAAACAAGCAAGTTGAAGCTAGAAAGAGATTCAGTTAGGGCATGTGATGAGTTGTCATTCATATGTTCATTTACATGACGTTGGAACTTACCCTTCCAAGAGTGAGACCATCAGTATACTCAAAGATCAGAGCCAAGATCTCAACAGGCAAGGTCTCTCGATTGCGAACCAGTCTTCCTTTTCCTTTCGACTTTTTTGGTGCTGTCTTCTTTTTCTTTGATGGCGATGGCTCGACATGAGGTTCGAAATCATCGTCATCGTCGGCATTGTCTGTCTCCATTTTGGCTGGTACAAACAAGTCATCATTGGCATCAACTGCATCAGTAGTATCTGCCACTTCTTCTTCTTTAGAAGCAGAAGCAAGAGGTGTGGGTTCGGTCATAGTTTCGTCGACCAGTTCTTGATTGATTTTGGCCGAAATGATATAGCCAGATTTGCGTTTGGAAGCTACACGAGCAGAAGAGCGTCTCGACATGATCTATTGCAATCAACAAATGTTTGTCAGTCCCAGGCCAAACATCAGAGATATGAGATGTTGAGAATTGCAACCTCTATGCGAGTTAATGATTCAAATAAGCAGTATGAATCAATGGTAATAATGCAATCATCAAAATACACATTCGTACGCCTTAACATGCATTCACCTCCATCACAAGTCACTGGGTCAATACAAAAAGCAAAACTTCCAAACGAGTGTCATACAACAAAGGAGAAGGACACGAATATTGTGTACTCACTGTCGTATTATCGGCTCCAAGCAGCTGTAAGTGTTTCTATGTCTATCAGATTCCTTTGAAACAAGAAGCTATCAAAGTGAGGTCAATGTTTTGAAGTTTGAACGAGCAGAGTGGACAGCAGCACTTTTTGGGTTTTAAAATTGGATTGCTATTTAAATCAGCTCGAAACTTTGTATTTGACGTGTTGAGACCGTGTCTGATCCCTTGTGTTGTCCATAGAACGTCAACATCAAACATCAACCCCAATCACAGACCAGTTTCAAACTCTCTGACTCAGGTCAAAGACAAGACTCCCACCGTATTCGTTATTATAGATGGAAGCAAGACACGCCTTACGATTTCCACCAGAAACATGGTCCAATGTAATAGACAAGCTGCCCAGAGATCCCGCTCCCAACGTCGAGAAGGCTACATTGTACGCCTTATGTCTTGTCTGCAAGGCAATGAACGAAATTGCATGCAGAGCACTATATAAAACCATGCCATACGGTAGCTTTGACGATACCTCGCCCTTCCAACAAGATCCCTGGACCTGGGATAACATGGAAGCAGAAGACATCAAACTCTGGAAGAAGCACGCCCTACGTCTGCCACCACTCTTACGTATAAGCAACGCATATAGTCAGCATGCCTGGTATTATGTAAAGGAGCTGAATCTGGTGGAAGCGCCTATAGGAGTGCTCTCAACTACCGTAAATATCGGGATTTGCTGTCCATTGCTTCGTAAAGTAGCTTTAGGAGCGCATTATGCTGTATTGACATTCACACTTCCCGAGACGGTGACGGCTTTAGCTCTCTACGGGACAGTTAATAGAACCTTGTTGAATGAAACTGCACATCGAGTCGAGTTTGGATGGGCGCCACACACCAATCCATTACCAAACTTGAAGATTCTATGCTTTTATTTGCAAAACTCGTACGATGGCATAGGAGAGGGAGCACATTCGCGAAGTGTATTGTCGGTATTGGAGTCGATGTATCCTATTATAAAGTATGTCAAGGTGACAGAGTTTGCAATAGCTAGTGGATTGGAAGCTCGAGTGGACGAGGCCATGACATACTTGAAGTTCTCTTCTGCTACCACTCTGAAAAAGTTGTATCTTACAGGTTGCATTCTCAACAATCTCGAGGAAGGATTTGGGGCTTTTGAGAAGCTGGAGGTGTTAGATGTTGATGGGCTCGCCGTTACAAGTGGAAATATAGTAGGTGTCAATAACACACTCAAAGAGCTAATAGTTTGGGAAATGGACGTTGAACCATCCGATATCTGCAAAATCATCACAGATAATGCCGAAACCCTCGAAGTCATCCACCTCCAAGCTATGAATTTCACCACACCTATATTTTATAATCTACAAACACCACACGTACGTAAAATAGTCATATACGATAGGGATGCCAGGATAGGAGGTCTCGCCAACTGGCTTAAAGTGCATGGTAAACAGCTCGAGACTCTCAGGATTGATTACCATACGAATGGACGAGCAACACCTATCGCTGAAACAGAAACATCGTTTGATTTAACAAATGCAATCATGTATTGTCTGAAGCTCCAGTCTCTCGAAATTCTAGGACATCCGAAACTATGTGAAGGTACGCTGCTATACCGAATAATGGTACAAATGGAGACTCTGCAAAAGATATGGCTAAGGACATCTCAGGGGTATATGGATCGAGAGGTATTGCGTGAAGCGCTGGATGGACGTAAAGCGGGGCATGCAATCTTCCGGTGGTCGTGGTTAGGAAACGTTGTATTGGAGGGTAATTATCAGGATGCCGATTTCAGAGAACAAGTGTATATAAACTCTGCAGAAAAGCCCGAGGTCTCAATCCAGTTTCTAACCTAGAATCCCGCTTTATAAAAGTTCGCGTTGTAAGACCGAAATATATATATAGGTTCATTATTTTGTGAAAGTTCTTTTTACAAATGTTCCTCTCAATTACGCTCCCATGTCTTCTCTTGCAAATACCAAGAAAACAATCAGCTCCAGCAAAAACACATCCTACCACCCATATACTGCATCGAATGCCGTCACATTTCCAGCTCCTGTATGCCCATCAGGCAAGTTAGTAGTCTCTCCAGTATGTAAATTGACCAACCCATGATGGGTATGATCAATCACAGCAGTATCCCCAATAACTCGGCTACACCAGTCTTTTGGAGCACAGTGTTTGCCAAAGCACGACCTCCAGCGCGTATGAAAGATGAGCAGGATCTCAACCAAATGATAGAAATTGGGTGAATAATGGCTCCAATCTGTGTCCAAAAGTCATCGTATTTCGTGATATAGTCGTTACCCAGCTTTATAAAGCCTTCATTGCCATGGCACCAAAACTAGGAAACACCGATAATGTTTGGTATTTCACAATTTTTTGTGTGAAGCAATGGCGAAGCGTTTGAACAATACCTGAAGATGTGATTATCCTTCTTGTGGTATACGTGTCGAAGAAACTCTAACGCATCTTCAACCGAGCGAACTCCTTTCGAGTGTTTGATTCCAGACAAAGCACCAAAGAATACGACTACATCACAACGATCCTAATATCATTACAGAGAAAGAGTAAAGGAAAAGTTGTAGAAATAGTCTAAGAGAAATGTCAGCAATGTGTCTCACAAAATACTCACAGCTATAATATCTGCCACATTCTCAGCCATATGAGTCACCGGAAGCGACGTCCAACTTCTACCAAATCACCGGTCGTTACTCCTTCCGTTACTCCAACAACTAAATTGAATGGGCAGGTAACTGCAACTACTACTGGTTCAACAACGACACCTACGACGATGTCACCGACAGTTGATAAGACATCACCCATAGTAACCTATGCGACATAACATTTAGTCCAATTAAACCGATCGAGTCAACAAAACAACAAAACATCCAGTCAAAAATTGTGTTTGATGACTTAAGGGAGACACTCTCCCAATAAAATCGAGAAGGACAGGCTGGTCAATTTTCTCCTTTGTACTAACTTTGACCTTGAGAAATTGACGAAAAAGTACTAAACTTGCAGTTGAATAAAAGTCTTAGATTCTAGCGATGTCAAAGATTGTAGCGATCGAGAGACTCAAAAATTTGAAGATCCCGTGGAGTTGTCTTTTGAAGCAGACTGAATGCTCTATAAGCGTCCCACTGCACGGAGCGTCTATGACTTGTAGTGAGACGAAATGGTATTTTTGTTGTTGCTCATCTATCTGCTCAATGTAATCTCACCGTGTGAATCCAACAATCGAGCAAAAGATCATTGTCAATTTTGAAATAATATTTCTAGCTTTACGAACGTGACCTTATTGTTCCTCTTCGAGGCTCAAGAGTGATTTGCGTCACCGCTGTCAAAAGCTGGAAACCCTATACCAAGCAACAAACCCCTAAACGACCAGAAACATAAAGACATGAGGATTCAGTTTATGAGGTTAAGCTATTAGGCATGTTACAAGTAGAAGTAGTTTCTCTATACAGGACTGCCACCATCACCAACAACCGCACTCCTAAAAATCCTCGATTGCGACAGCATCTGTTTCGACAAGCTCAACTTTGACGCGTCAGATTGAATATTACCCCGTTTCTCATCTACCATACGAGCCAGGACACTATCAGGTATCATAAACAGCATATCATTATTCCTTCTTAGATCCTCTCCAATCTTGCGTAGCAGTGGCACAAACAGTAGCAAGTAGAAACAGCACAAGAAGACACAGTATGCAACAGTTAGTCCAATATTCAGGTTTGAGAAGCGAGCTACGGCTGTTGCTGCTTGATTTAGTTCGATGGTTGACGAGTAGTCTAGTGCTGTTGGGAGGTAGAGTTGATCCAAGGAGTAGACGAGAGATACTTGTTGGAAGGTGGATGCGGTGGCGTTTACGGAATACTGTGACGAGTTTGAGAGACTGAGACTAGCTACTCTTGCATTGTCCATGTAACTTAGAATGGCTGGATGAAGTCCTTGTGACATGATTGACGAGCTGAATGTCGAGCAATCAGATGGTGACACGCCACTTATACATCCACTGACGAGCTCCAGTGTGCTCAAGTCCGAGTTTTGAGTAGACAGACCAGGTGTCCCCATGTTTGAATCAGAGTATATAAGACCATTTTCAATCCACGACAAGGATGAAATCAGACTAGCGACCTGGGTCGAAGCAGTGGCGGAAGGACGGATAGCAGATGGTGGTGTTGAAATGGTGTTGGTAAGGGCCCAAGATTCTCGGAGTTGATAGTTGATGAGTCGGACTAGCGTTGATCGAGACAAGGATCTCCAAAACAGATCTACTCCAAGTGTCGAATCAACGGTGATTCCCACGGCTGTACATATAGCGACGAAATAGAGCACTGTGGCCATGAAGATGGTACTTGATCGTGACGCCAAAGCATACTGATTTTGTAACTTATTGATCCATGATTGTGGTCGTAGCTCGGATTTACTCTTTCTGGTTTCACCACTACTCGTATTCAATCCAAAAGTGGAGAGATGAATCCTTGGCGCTTCATCATCGTCGTCCTCATCGTCATTCTTGGCTTCATCACGACGAGCAACAGCACCTTCATAGATCCCTCTAACTACTTCTCTAGGTATCTCGAGATACAAGCGCAACAGTCTTGTCCTGTCTGTCTCAATACGTCTGCCAATGATAAAGACAACAAGCGTTATAATCAAGGCAAAACACGGTCCGAGCACACCCCAACATATAGCCTCAGTTCGCAAACTTCCAATACTGGCGGTGACACTAGCTTGACTTAGACTGGCCGTGGCATTGAGAGCAGCCAAGATGGTGTTTGGCGTATTCAGCATCACGAATGATAAAAGAGAAGGAAGTAGAGGGTCAGATGCACTTGTACTTGATATCACATAGGAGCCTTTAGTGACAAGCAACCCAATGGCGTCAAAGAGAGTAGAGTATGATGTAGTGGTATCAGTCAAGGAAGCTTGTAAAAGCACATTTGCTGGTGGCAACGATGATGTCGATGATGCTGCAAAGATGCTCTTTGTTGATTGGAGATATGTTAGGGAGGTATTCATTTGTGTTTTAGCGGCAGAGACATTGCTCGCTGTTAAAATCCCAGCATAAGTCAAATCGATTGTTCGAGTTGCGTAAAAGGTAGATATGGCTTGAAGACAAACGTCACCGACGTCTCGAATCCGAATTAGACCAGCTCCGTATGTATCCAGATTCTGTTTGAATCGAATCTAAAGAATCATCATGATTTTAAGATAGGTGTTCTCAGTACATTTTTATTTCACGAAGACAAAACAATGATTTGACGTACCTCTGACGTTATAGCAAGAACAACAAGAACAATCAACATTCCAATGACAACATAATGCAATCTTGTCAAAGTATCAGTAGCTCTCATAGACTGCAATGACCCGATCCCACGACCACGGTTTCGTTTCCTGGTCGTAGAGCCAACTGACGATTTCCTACGTGGGACGTTTGCTTTATCCATTGTGACAAACTTGGTGCTGGCTTCAGGATCCCTTAGCGAAAAGTTTGTCGTATTAGGATTGGCAGCACCACCTGAAGGATTAGAGTTCACGTCATCCAAAGAAACACCAGCTGAGAAACTCATTGGCATCTCCCCATCGTTCGACATAGAGGACATGCTTCCGGAGGCTCCGGCGTGAACTGGAGCAAACACATGATGGGGTAGCATTGAGGGTACTACGGATGGCTGGCGTGTACCCGGTCCACCTGCGAATGGACAAGCATGTAGGCCGGTATTGTTACCGGTGCTGGCAGCTCGTGTTACAGATGGAGCTCGACTTTGTGGCATAGACGAATGTGGAAGACCAAGTTGAGGGCCTGATACTTCAGGCATCTCGGAGATTTTAACCCGACAGATATAGCACATGAGGGCACCAACTGATACTGGGTCAGCTGTAACTTGAACTTGCTTGACCTCGGCATCGAAAACATGTGTTGTTCTGAAACCAGCTCGTGTCGTGAATTCCAAGACTCGTTCGACAGTAAATTCGGGAATCCATTGCGAGATAGACTTGTTTGGGAGGTCAGCCAACTCTCGAGTCTTCAGTCCATACTTGAATGCGAAACCGATCGTCATATGTTTGAGGTTGAGCTGATCATCCAAGATTATGAACTCATGCCCAGCCTTTTCGGGCACACTTCGGATGACCCCAATAAACATATTTGTGGTACCAGCGACCTCCTACAAAAAGATTGAGACAGATAAATTACTGGGTTTCAGCACGCATACTAAACGCATGCAATAACCAACCTGTTTGACACACAAAGCCATGGGTTTGAGGTACCCAGAGCGATCCAATCCAAGTACTTTACGAGATCGGTCAATGACCTTGGCATAACCGGTATCAAGATATCGTGTCAAAAACATGTCATGGCTTTCAGAGAATGGACTTGGAACAATAACATTGATGTTTTTTCCTTAAGTAATAACAAAAATCAGGTCAAAACAGGAACATCCAGTCAGCCAATTTGGTAACTTACCAATGAGTTCACTCTTCTTATACCCAAAGACCTTCAACGCCATAGGATTGGCATGCATTATGATACCCAGATTACTAGCATCTCCACTAATGCCAATAACAGCATTGTCGGGCGAGAACAAATCAACACCAGCGTCTTCTTTGACCTTGTCTTCGGCTTCAGTATCTCCACTTTGTTCGGATGCAGTATCGTCCTTTTGAGCGTCTTCGAGTTCTTCGGCACGATCCAATAAATCTTGACCAGCGCTGTCATTCAAGACGTTGATCAAGAAGGAGCCGTATGCACGTAGGACGTACGGCGTTTCACCGTTTGTTTTGAGGATGGAGCTGAAGTGGTTTTGAGCTGCAGAGATGGCGTCTGAAATATCCGCTGCACGCTCCCGGATTCGCTTAAGAGAAGGATCCTAGATGAGGTGTGAATGTTTTGAGTCAACATTTTGATTATCTCAGACATCGACGAAAGCAAAAAAAACCGGTGACATTTGTAAATACCTGTTTCAATAGTTCACCCCAGAAGCCAATTTGACAAATCACAGCTCGTTTTTCAGACTTTCGAGCCAATCGAAGCGATTGTTCAAATGCAATAAAGTCCTAATATGAGATGTTCGTGTGAGCCGAAATGTCCGAATATCAGGAAATCACTTCAATATTACAACAAACTTACAATAACATCACCCCCAGCGAATCGTTCATGAAGCATCCTTCGTCGTCTGAAGATCAAAAAGGCGGCATCAAGACGGGGAGCCAACGTCTCGGCTTTACCATGACAAGCCAAACACTGTATGCGATTTCCAAGATGAATCAAATGATATTGTCCAATGAAGAGTTGAAGCATGCAGCTTTGCGGTAATCGTTTAGAGGCTTCGTGGTACATTGTCTCGGCATCAGCCAACGCGGTCTCGATTTCAGGTGGTGTTCCTACGACAGGAGCATTGGCGGCAGCTCTAGCAGCACCTAAATCACCAGGACTAGCCGCTACTCTGGCCATGACTAGACGGCCGTCACTGTGATGGTAGAGCAATCCACGTTCGTCCAAGAAGATACGGATTTTGAGTTCGATGGTGAACGCATCTTTGCATTCCGTTATTGGCAGTTTTGACAGTTGGAGACGACGTGCCTTTGTGGCTCCATAATGAAGCCAAACTGCTACTGGTGAGAGTACCAAGAAGATTATTCCAATATCTGATCCTGGTCTTAGCAAATCGTAGCAAGTACAAAGAGAAGCCCTGTACGGAATACAAGTAAACTATTAATCTCTGTAGGCCTTTAGCACGTAGAAATATATTCAACGATACCAGAAGAAAACTGCCATTCCAGCCCCTCTCAAACAGGTGAATCTGAAAGAGTAATAAGGCATGTACCAACACCACACAAAGGCCATTGTTCCAGAAATAATCAAACAAGCACCACCCATAATCCATTGAGCAATAGCATCCGATGTAGGTATTCCCTCATTTTCTCTCAACACGATACTAGACACAGCCAAAATGGTACGTCCACAGAGATACAATGCATCACAACGACCATGAGGTTGAGCGAGAGGGTCGGCGGGATGTGGATCAGGTTCAAAGAAGACGAAACTGATTGCAATGGTCGTAAGGACAAACAGTACAAGCACGACAGCGATATAGATTCGATACAGATTGGATCCTGCCCAACATAAAGCGATGGGACTATCGGCAGCATCTCCACAAGTCACGAGATATGTGGTCAAGAGAGATACGATGGGAATGTATAAGATGGTGACAATCAAGCCCAGGAGAAACCTCAGTAGTTTGAGAGTCCAGATGAATCTAAATCGATTTTGGGCAAAACAGTAGCCAACCCATAAGGAGAGGATCAAGACTAGTCCAAGCAAGCCAAGTACGATATACAGGATTGCAGTCGTTCCGGCCAGTCCTTGCTCTGGTGCGAAGAGCGACAAGAAGGTTCTGAGCCAAGAAATCTCGCTTTGCCACGGAAACAATGGGAACGACACAGGGAAGGTCAGATCTTGAAGCTAGATAGTTTCAAAAATCACACGTCAGTGTCGGGAAGACTGGAAAGGTATTCGGCCAATGGAAGCGAAAACTCACACTGTCAATAACAATGGAAACAGCAACAAATATAGGATGAATGCTCCCTTCCTTGATCAAACAGAAGAAGATTCCTATGCAACGCGAAGGACAATGAGTCACACATGAACTGAGCACCAAGATCAAATAGCAGAAACCAATCCATACCAAAGACAGCGTCCCTGAACCTCGACCACAAAGCGATCTCTGGACTGTCTGCTTGGATGCCATCACTGGGAAGCATCTTTGAATAGTTTTAAAAAGTCCTTGAACGCGAGGTGGGTAGGCAAAAAGCACCATATACTGTCATAGAACAGGGTATGCATATTGGTTTTAGAGGGTTTCGGAGAGTTCTTAAAACGTTCGATGTGCATTTTGTGGGTCGTTGGAGAAGCTGGTTGTATGAGAGACCAAAATATCCAGCCGCTTTGGTAGAACCATTGGAGAATAATGAAATGGGGTCCTACGCATTCCTTGGGTATTCGGTACCAATCTTGCTTGCTTGGTAGCTCCTTTTCGAAGGATTTCTAGCTTGGAAAGCGGTAGTTCTTGTATCTTGCTCGAATCATCATATGTAAATCTCACTCACCTGGTCCTGATCTTGCTGGATCCAAGTCGTGAGCGTCGGCTAGATCACATAACAACCTAAATATTTGTCACCAACAAAATGTTTTCGTCATTGAAGAGTCTGTTCGACGGAAAGGGAAGCAGCGAGAATTTGACTAATGCTTCAAAATCGTCGCTTGATGAGAAGACTTCTCAAGTTGTGCGCTCCAATTTCGACAAGTTGGCAGAAAATGGCAATATTGCAATTTCAAAGTTTGCCGTAAGCTATCTTAAGCTCTTGCGTTTTGCAGCGCAGGAAAGGAAGGATCGTTACGCGTAACTAAACTCCTTGTCGCGTTAGTATGCTACTAGCTTGCCTGGCAATGTGGTGAACGTGCTTTTCTTCCAACATCAAGACATCACATTCGAGGGTGTCGCAACTCTGATCTCTATTATATGTACCATACCGTCAACTACATCAAACTCGGCAGGACTTGTACCGAACTCGTCTCGTGAAAGGTGCAACTCTTTGGAAGCCAAAGGTGTATCTACTCCCAGTCTGCTATCAGCTCTATGCGGGATCGACACCAAACCTACAGCCGACTACATCAACCCATGCACCGATGAACTCATAAACAAAGTCCCCGATATATTACGGCCCATATCGAACGCATTGGAAGCCGTATTTCTGAAATCCACCTCCCCTTCACCATATCGGGATGTAATGGTCGATGGAGCATCGAGTATGGATGGAAACACTAAGTTCTTCTTATCTGCTGCTTTGTATGGGAGAGATCAACGTGTATGGTCGTTGCTGTATTCAGCAAAGGATGACGGGTTTAGCATGTAAGTGTTTCGGAAACTTTCGCCAACGATAGTGATGCTAATCATATGTCGTTTTCTTACAAGGAACCGATTCGAATTTGGATGTTTCAAGTATTCTGCACCAACGTTTACACTGGTGTATGGAACTGTGACGAAGGCATCCTCTTGCATCACAAACAAAGTTGGGAAACGTATTGTCGTAGGGGCTTACCTAGACACGTAATTATTGTCTTTCTCCGCTGATGCGTGGCTAGGCCCGTACTCACATATCCAATGAAACTAGCGCATGGAGCAAATCCAAACACACATTCGGAGGCGAAAAGTCTCTCCTCTTCTTCATATCACCAATACCATGTATATGTCGCATGATCCTAAGCCCAAAAGGACAGCAACAACCAGCTTGGGTTTCTTCAGGCGGGGTTGGCTTTGGATCTCGATACCAGGATGTGAAAGCAGCTCGACTGTATATTGACTTCAATACAGGTGTCATACGGAGCGGAAGCATACTAGACACACCTGTATTTGAAAATTTTGATATACCGCGCGTATCGTCGTCCGAAGAATGGGAAGTCAACTTTGAGGTGGATCAAGTTGAGGTATTTGGTTTAGGGGCGCCGTCAGCAAAGGCTGTGCAGGAACGTGAGAGGAGATTTGAGGCCAAAGATGCCGAACGCCGTCAAAATGTAAATGTGCGAGATACGGGTATGGACAAGACTATTTTGGAGTTGGCTGGTGTACACAGTTTCTCCACAGATTGAGTATGTACAACAAACAGCGTGTAGATAGTCCGTTGTAGAATCTGCTCACAGCATACTGATGCAAAACAATAGAATCTGAAATATAATGAAGCTCCTCTTTTAACATTATGGATTATACATGGGTTGGTTTACGGACGATACTGAATCTACAGTTTCGAACACTTTTAAAAATGCGAGAAATAATACAACAAGTACACAAACTCTTGATTCCCTCTCTGTTCACTCTTCCTCTCTGTCCTCATATATGTAATTATGTATAAGCCCAATCTCAAGCTACGAGCCCTCCAACTCGACTTTTGGCGTCTTTGACTGGTTGAGAACCGGTTGCTGTTGGTATTGCTGCAGGATCTGGATCCTTGTCACGTCGAAACAGCAAGATGTGAGGTTCAGGGTCTATAATTGGTACATTTGTTGAGCAATCATTTGTTGCGAATGAGTTCCTACAACGTTTACATACAAGACTTACTGTGAATCACTAGATTGATGTAAACGTGTTAGAACTATTACTCTGTGAGTCCCGAGATCTCCTCATAACTTACTGTAATGGGCCCATCCTTGAGATTGCTTGACGCCGAGACCCCTCCATTCTTGCTCTGCCATCAGTCGACCTAGCCAAACGAACGATTTCAGTATGTTTGATTTCATATGGCTGCATCGCTGTGCTTTCTCCAACCTTGAGGAACATATTTGGCTAAGTGACATGGGTTTAGGTTAGCATCTGATCCTCGACATGCATGTAGGTCCTCAACAGTTCTAATGCAATACGATGCATACCCAGTTGTTTCGGTAGAGCAACATGTCTGTATTCATGTGTCTCATCAGCGTAGCGTGGCGAGTAGTCTGTGTTGAAACGAAAACAGATGGCAAATTGTTTCATTAGCACCAGCAATGAAGCTTGCAAACCAACAAATACAAAACAAAGGGCCAACCTACATATTTCATCTTCATACTTCTGAATATCAGCATACTTTTGTTGAGCCATGTCTTTTGTCGACATTATATTTTTGGTTTCCCTACTCTTTCTATGGCCCTCTCTATATACAGATAAAGTTTGATAGGAAAACGACCAGAACGATGATTGCCAGCTGTTTGTTCTTATGCAGAACTATAAATCGGATATCGTTCCTGCCACAACGATGTGTGATGGGCTTGTCTGAATATGAGCTAGAAAAATGAACTGCGAATCAAGACAGAGGACACCAAGAGGAGCGTCTTGGGATTTGGCGAGTACAAGAGCACAATGATTTACGTGTTTACTGACTATACTGATCATTAACGCGTTATTTAGCCTGACATTGGTACAGTTCTGACATCGAAAGCTTAGAATAGCTAATGAAGGTGTAGCATAAATGACAAAAACCTTCAGTTCTAGGCGGTGGGAACGCAATTTCATGGTTCCAAAGTAATAAACATTCCTTTGCATAGCGCACTATCGTGTTAAGTAGTCTACAATGCCGTGATCAAATGTCATGTTGATATTCTTTCTTGAGTCAAACTTACAACGCCAAACCAGCGTCAAGCAGACCAACAACTTTGACCGGTATCCCTAGATTCGTGTCGAGTCTCCATATGAGCATGGCGGTACGTATACACTCTGACAGTTCCTTGTTTGATGTCAAGCTCGTTGGCAACAAAGAGATTCCAACAAGATGGAGTGTGCGAGGCGAGCAAGCTGTTGACCAACATAGACTAACCATTATTTCATCATCTTTTTACTTATATTCCTACCATGCGACTTGAAATTTCGACCTATTTCTTCCTTTCACGCCTCTTGAATGCTAACATCAACTACACCTTTCACCTCCTTCCCTCTTGACCCTTCCTAAAACGATCAATCTGTCGTGTACTTCTCACTCCATGACAATCCTGCAACGATGCATCTATCATATCCTGGTAAAATTTCTTACATCTTCTCGGATCCAGCAGCACGACACCTTTGCCGACATTCACGACAAATTGTCCCCATGTCGGGACTGCGAATGTCGCAAGATGTTTGAAAGCATGTATGAAAGCATCTCCCACTTATCAGAAGACGAGCAATCAGCATTCCATGCACGAGCACTCAAAATAGCTGAAGGCATCTTGAATCTTCAACGACAAGCTCGTAAACGATACAATAAAGAAAAGTCAATGACTTCAAAGCCAATCAAGTGCCATTCTAGGAAGACACTGGTAGATGAAGTCGAAAGGTGGAGGTTGACGAATCTAAAGTATGAAGGAACGATTACGTCGTCGCCGGTTGCTGGAACGTTTGCTGTTGCTTCTCTGGAGAAGGGCAACTGTGCATTAGCCTATACCGGACATTTCAAAGTCTGTAGTCATAAGGATTATAGAGATCTCAAGAAAGGTGCGTCGTTTTGCGGTTCTCGCTGGTGATTCTAGCGTATAACACTCTTATCTGTAGTTTACATATCTCAGATGTTGTATCCACATCATCACCGGGAAAAGTTGCTACTCTGTCGCATTGTTTCTCGCAGCTGTAAGAGAATGCTGTCATAACGCCATGAAGAATCCGCTAACGATTTAATTCATCTCAGTGGTAGCAGATGGTGTAATCAACGTGATTGAAGATGAACAAGGATCCTGCCACGTGTTGAAACACTACAGACCTTTATACGATTGTGCAGATAGTCCGGATGATGTAGATTTGCTCTTCCCGATTGGAACTATGCTAGTTGTTAAAGAGCCTAGAACTCGTTTAACGCCATATGGTAAATCCGATGACAGTTTCATAGAAGTAGACTCACCCACGGACTTGCTACTCTTACGACCAACTCATACTCTATTATCTAAATCGAACTGGAAGACAACACTCCCGTCTGCACCGCCGAATAAGACTAGTCAGCAGTGGAGAGAAGCAGGCGTAGAATATTTCAAGCAATCAAAGTACATGCTCGCCGCTGATGCTTGTTTACGAGGACTCGATCAACCTTCAAACATTGATGTGACAATACCCTTGTATTTGAATCTAGCTGCTGCCCGACTCAAAATCGGCCAGAATCGTGCCGCTTACGATAGCAGCAAAGCTGTTATCGACGTCATCAAGAAATTACCATGTGCTAGTAGTAATATTGATCCAACGTGGATACAAAAGGCTCACTACAGATCCGCTAAAGCGGCGTACTCTCTGAGTATGTGGAATGATGCACGAAATCATGTCGTAGAAGCTGTCAAGTCTGGTGCATCTGCCAAAGATTGTGCTGAACTCAGTGAGATGATTGCATCACGAGTAAGTGTTCGCCGTGTGCCTCAGTCGTGTTAGCAGGGCGTCGTTTCTGTATCTTAAACTGAAACTTGTCTGGCTTTAGATGATGGAGGCAACATCGGGTGTCTATGACTTTGCAGCTATGTTGGCCAAAGCGAATGACAAGAACCATCCATCTATTGATGCAGCCGAATACATCGGACCTATAGAAATTCGTGGTGGAGATGGCCGTGGTGGTCTTGGACTTTAGTAAGTACTTTGCCAGTCCCTTGGGATTAGACCAAGTCATTTTCTTGCATGCTTTAACAATGCTAGCCACTACCGGTCTACAGTGTGACTCAAAACGTCAAGGCTGGAACCCTGTTACAAGTATCGAAAGCGTTTGCTATAGTACATGGAGATGAGTCCACTTCGATATTACCATTCAGTGTGACTGGTGAAGAGAGAATCCCGTTACAGCCCGCCCCGAGAGTGTTGCTTCAACGTATGGTTGCTAGAATTCTCGATGATCCGTTTTGGCACAAACCTGGTAAAACACACTCAGTTTTGTAATCGCCGCTTCTCTTTGCATTGCCTGACGAAAACCATGACCCCAACACGATAGTGAAGCAAATGTATTACCCATTCAAGGATGAAGATGCAGACACTGATGAATCAGAGTGCTGCCCAATCCATAGTCATGAACGACACCAACATCAAAACGAACGAGAAAAAGTCCTTGGTATAGATATGAATATCATGGAGAGTATCTGTAATTGGAACTTGTCTACGAGAATCCGAATGAATCCGAGTGCTAGTACTGGCACCGTCAATATGGAACGTGATACTATTGCTATTCATATGCTGCCGTCTTTTCTGGGTCATCGATGTGTTGCTAATGCGAGCTGGAAGTGTATTGGAGAGGTCAGTAAACGAGATTATCTGCTGTTGGTGTCTTGTCTGAATGTTTTAATGTCAAGAATACAGGTAGACTCACTCGTGGATTTTTTTGTAGGTCATGGTTATCAGATCCCGACGAGCTCTGAAAGAAGGAGAGCAAGTCTTTGTATCCTACGGTGGGAGTGATCCTCGACTCGATCTGCACAGAGATGGTGGGCCATTATTTATCCCTGAACGATATGCTCAAAGGCTTGGATGTGCTTGTCCTCTCTGTGAGGTGGAACGGATGGATGGGTTGGAGAAGGTGGTGACTTTCAGAAGGGTTAGGATTTGAGGGAATCATAAACGATTACTCTGACCAATACACGCTTGCTTTTAGGTTCATATGAGATACGATATTCTAGTCAAGATTCGTGAAGTCGCATCGAGCGGCATAGCTGTACTGCAACAGGTTCCAGAAATGCAACGATTGATTAATCAGTTGGATGATACGTATTCAATCAAGGATGGATTGAGGCCTGAAGGTGTGTTTTGGTAGCTCACACCTTGAGATGATTTCTCATCTCTCTTCACGTAGCTTTCCTGGCGTATGCAACCCTCGCATCGGCACTGTCTGAGCTAGGCTCCACGTCGGGCTTGAGACACACCAGTAGAGCCATTCAACTCATCAAGACTTCTTTAAAGGCCGTTGGAATGGATTACAAGGAAGATGAGGCCAAGCCGGTTGTTAAGATCCTGAAGCTGCCGCTTGACTATGATGATTATGTGCTTAGTACTATGATTGGACTTAGTTCATGGTAAAAGCTCGACTGTGGCTCATGCGACTCCAAGTTTGCTAATTCTTTTGTCATTTCAACTTAGTTTGAAAAGAGTCGGCAAAGACGAGCATGCTGCAGCCTGGGAGGCAGCGGTGAAGAAGTGCTGCTTGTTACTGCATGGGCCAGGATGGTTTCCAATCTTGAAAGCTAGCTTGGAAAATCAGCAGCAGCAGCAGTAAACAAAGTGTCATAGTGTTAAAAGAGTATATGAATACGCGTAGCTTAACGTGATCCCATTGTCGTTGCATGTGTAAATCAATTTTATCCTCACACCTTGAGATGACTCCTTATTGTCTTGACCCACAATATAACAACTACAGCTGCTTGAAAAAAACTCGAATTGGGGATATCGATTCATTGATTGGAAGAATGTTCGAAATAGCACATCCTCTGGTCTCTGCGTCGTCATTGGCATTGGACTGCCAGTATGTTGATCTTCCGTTGGAGGTAAAGCACTTCCGTATCTAAAACCTCTAGTCCTTAAAGAAGACTTCAAAAAGAGGTTATGGCCCAAAGGACTGGTGCAAATCATTACTTCATAGGACGCTTCTATCTGCCCTACAATCGCTTCTGTGTGTTTGGTTTCAGAATGTTGTTGCTGGCGTCTCAGGGGTTGGTTCCAACAGTAAAGACAAGGATGAGCTTGAGAACAATGGTCGCGAAATGCTACGTGTAATCACCTTCGCTCTTCGCAACTGAAGTTCAGTCTAGGAACTCGTATGAAACTGTAGTTTGTAGTAGTGCTTTCATCTTTTCATCTTTTCAGTTCAAAAAAGTAAATAGTATATTGCATCTCAAAGAATAAAGGAATTCCCGTAGTTCATCTAATTCATTTGTTTATGAACTTTGAATCATGAAACACTTTACCTTCGTGTCGTTTGGTTACACGTCAGACATGATCGTATGCGATTACCATCTTTTTTTGCACCATTTTGAAACCAGCCAGGTTGACCATCCTGTTACTTGGAGTACGAGGAGACCTATATAGTAATAATGTCACGTATAACACGTATATCTATACTTTTACAGCCTGGATGTAATCGAATATGTCAGCAGCAGAGCTTCAAAGTCACCAAAATCAACCAATCGTCATCAGCATCAACCAGATGTAATTCAACAGTAACAACAACGACACCAGCATCATCTTTATTATCAGCCGTAGTAGATGAAGCCACCAAAACCACTCTCAAGGACGCATCTCCTCGGTCGAAACTGGCAACATCTACAGGAAACTTTCACGTATCGCATCGCAAATTAAACCAGCTATCTCGTCTAATAGCTCGAATGAGGCTGCCCGAAGCCATAAACCAAATGCAATTTTCCCCTAAAAGACCAGCTGTACGGGTACTAAATCGATTACTATGGGCTCGTAAGAAACTCGAGACTGAAAAACACAAGCCTAGTGAATGGATTGTGGATGAAGCTTGGGTGGGGAAGGGTTATGGAAGGCTGAAGAGACCTATATTTCATGCACGTGGTCGTAGAGGAATGATGATTCGACCACGGGCGCATATGAAGATACGGTTTAGGAAGTTGACGGCTACTGAATTGAGACCTACTGTAGAATCGCTGTTGAAGAACCGCATCAAGAAGGAAACTCGGTTGTGGATGGCTATGGAAGATACAAAGCCTATACAGGTGCTGGATCCTATATGGTCTGCCAAACCTTGGAAGTATGTCACGTCGGAAAAGTGGATTGGCCCAAATGTATGGGTCAAGAAGGAATAGCATTCGCATCATCATCTCAGTAAGCACTTGTAAACTACAGAAATATAATTTGCCCATCATTTCATATGTTGTGTGAGTTTGTATTTCATTCAAGTGATCAGTGAGTCATCCGACAAGCAAATGACACTTCGAGAAGTCAAATATATGCTACTACTTGACAGAGAGTATCCAAAGAACAAAATATGTCTCGAATTGTGAGTAGTATTATAACAAATGCATCGAAGAACGCATCGAGATGGACTGGTGTGAGTGAGCGAACACTCGCTCATCCTACTACTACAAAGGTGAGCTTTTGTCGTACCATTATCTCAAAATCACTCTCGTTTCACTCTTAACAATCATCAAACTGTAGGACGATCACCATACCAATCACCATCATAACGAACATCATCATTCCAACAACAACAACAGCATCAACCCCTTAAACACTCCCCACAATACAAACCCAGAAAGACACACGGCCTCAGACTCAACAAGGACCTTCAGCCTGACTCCAAAGCAACTACAAACAAGATTGCTCTCTGATCATCTTGGATCCAAGCCCATCACAGTGTGTGTTGACTTGCCAACGGAACATTCGTTGGGATGGACTGACCGTGTCTACAAATTGAATGGTAAGAGCGAATACCAGGCTTGTCTCCATACGGCTTTCTGACGACCTCTCCCAAAGTAAAGGACTTCATTGACGCTTTAGGCGACGCGCCTGATAACAGATCTTTAAATAACTTCGATGTGGAGTATACCCCAAACGAGGAGGAGTATGTGGTCATCTATAAGGCACCGTCAAGAATGGGCTCGAACTGGATTGTTGATGCTTTGGCCAAAATAGGAGAAGCCAAGACTAAATCAAAAGGGTAAGAAGCGCAATTGAATTTGACCAATATGAATACTGAGTACTCATGATTTACATTCATTATAACCCAGAGCTCAAATCCATGTGAAAAAGTCAATGAACGGGACGTAATTGCACCCAATCCAAAAGCAAATGCAGGAGTATAGAATAATGAAATAACGTATAGGAGCGAGTGTATCAAGTTTCGTAATAAAATACCAAATTGCTACTCCATAGCCAAAACCGTGACTCCACTTTTCAGTGACACAGCTCAACTTTCCACGATTGAAGAAACAAACGTACGCAGCGAGTAATCACAGCTCCTTTCTCATCTACGAGACGAGTCAAATGTCTGCCGCCACTCAGCAATTCGTTTCTGAGGTTCGATCTAGAAGAGAATCGCAAATCCCACCCGAGTTTCGTCTCACTGCCGCACAAGTATCGTCTGTTGGTGATTATGATGTTATCACGTTCTTGAATACCAAAGCTGGACTTAGTGCCCGAGAGCTGCAGATCACCAATTCTCCTTCAGCTACTGAGCTTGCCAAGGTATAGTGAAATCTATAACATTCAACATCTTGTCCCACTCAACACTCCCGTAAACTTTAGAAAATCGCAACACAAGAATACACTTCTTTGGAAGTCACGAAAGCATTCTGCCATCGTGCTAGTCTTGTCCAGCAGCTATGTAACGCTGTGACGGAGATGTTCTTTGATGAAGCTTACGCAAGAGCGAAATACTGTGATGACTATCTCGCTAAAAATGGCAAGACTTTGGGACCTTTGCACGGCGTGCCAGTCTCAATTAAAGAGGAAATGGATATTGTTGGCAAGTTGACCACTTGGGGCTTTACTGCTTGGGCTAGAGATGGGTGAGACTGTGAACGTTTAAGAACACGATTTCAGTGGGACTGGGACTCACGTATATCGATCGCGCTTCTGTAGACCAGCTAAGAGCAACGCTGCTGTAGTAGACATTATCCTCGACGCAGGAGGGGTCTTGTATGTGAAGACCAACGTACCACAATCTTTGATGGTGAGTGCACATCGTGGCTTGTAGTTTGCAATCGTGTACGTTTCAACGAGAGTAATCTCCATATATGGTTTCGTTAGACATGGGAGTCCACCAACGTTGTAAGTGCTTAAAGCCATGTCTGTGGTGCAAGGTGTAAAACCGGGAAATCCTCATACATCCTTCCTTGTGCTTAGTTATGGGGCTCTGTACTTAATCCTAATAACAGGAAATTGGGCTCAGGAGGTAGTTCTGGAGGCGAAGGCTGTTTGATCGCTGCTCGTGGATCACTCCTTGGTATCGGATCAGATATTGGTGGTTCCGTGCGATTGCCGAGCAGTATAACTGGAATCTATACCATCAAACCCTCATCGTTTCGATTCGCTTACAACCGGTCAAGGATCTTCCATCAAGGATTGCCATTGATTTTCCCGGTATAAACGCAAACAATCTTACGAGTTTACTGAAGATTACCAACTTTGATCAATGTTGTAGGTCAACGGACCTATGGCTGTTAGTATTGATGATTTAGAGTTGTATTGTAAGATTCAGTGTACTGGAAATGGTGGTCTTGCTAGGAAGCTTGATCGTAAGAGCGAGTCATTAGCTTGCCGTTGTGAATTGTGACTTACAACGTTGTTTATAGCCAATGTTGTACCCATTCCTTGGTCGCCACTGACTTTCAACAGGAAGCTCAAGTTGGGATATTTTGTGGATAATGGATTTTGTGCCGTGAGTTTACACAATACCTCAGTGGCACAACAACTGTGAGCCGACTGAAACATATTATATCATTATTAGCCTGTCGCTCCAACCGCCAACGGAATTGAAGCTGCCGTGGAAGCTTTGAGACGAGCTGGGCATGAAGTAGTCCCGTTTCCATCTGTAGTTGACACCACTGCCGTTTTTGAAATGGCTGTAAGCTGTACAGCAGGTGAAACCTTGCCCACCTTGCCTACTAACATTGTTTTAAACCTGTAGCTTGAAACCTTCAACGGCTACACTGACGTCCTTCGTGACATCATATACAAACAAGGCGATGAGGGTCTGTGTAAAGCAATGCGACCAAATCCAAATGTAGACCCTCTAGCTGGTGGGCCCACTCCATCAATGACTGCGGAACGCGTATGGAATGCAGTTGACGTCCGCGAAACTGCCAAAACCGTCTACTTGGACAAGTTTACCGAAATGGGACTTGATGCTGTTTTGTCTCCAACGCTTGGTATTCCCAGCTGTGAACACGATGAATCGGCTGGATTGTTTGCAGCTATTTCGTATACTGTTACTTGGAATGTGCTAGATATGACTGTGAGTAGCAGCTGACTCGCTGTTTGGTGGAGTGGACAGAATTCGCTAACTCGATTTCTCTTGTCTTCAGGCTGGAGTAGTTCCATGCCACACAGTGAGCGACCCTACTGGAGAAGACGCACCAAAGGCTTTGGGTAGAGCATTCAGACATCCTGGGGAAGAAGCTGTTCATCTCGCTTATTCGAAGAACCCATCAGTGTTCAAAAATTCGAAGGTGAGTTCGTGTTTTTGGAAGGGCGTCGAGACGATGCTTAATGTCTCGAATTTCTCTAGGTGGGATTACAAGTTCTTGGTTTACATCACGACGAGGAGAGAATCATCGCTGTTATGCGTGTAATCGATTCAGTGCTCAAGACACAACCCGAAATCTAGTTTGATGAACTTTTGTTGCCTGATTTCTGATTCCTAAATGAGGATTCCTCTAAAAAGAATTCTTTTGAAGATGGTTTCGTTCTGCGTCTTAACAGTCTGTTTATGACGAGCCAGCCACCGTTTCAAGAGGAATTTAATTCAAGAAGAAGCAATACTCGCGGAGCAATTTAGAGATAGTTCCGAGTAGATCTACAATATTTAAATCCGTTCACATCAGTACAAACGACGAAATTCGATACTGCACAAAAAGGCTCATTTAAGCATTGAGCTTTGTTGACCGACGCGTTTGACACGTGCACCCTCACAAGCGCGATTTCAGCTTGGCAGCTTGAACAAGACATTCAAATTCACGAGTAAGGTTGAGAGATCCTTCTTTCCCATCAATTCATCCTTATCGGCCTTTTTCTTATACCTGCACGTTTTGTTTTGAACTGACACGTTGACACAGCGGTCAAACACGATTAGCCACATCATTGCATAAGAGCACTTATCTTCGCCACTCTACCGTGAATCGTATCACTATCATCCATAGCACGGTCTTCCTTGTCAAGCAATTTGAAGCCCAGACGCTAAGTACGTTGTTGTGCGCATGCCCATGATCAAACTGTCAAAGTGAACCGAATGCTAACCGCTCAATGCTTTGTTTAGTGCCATTCGCAATCAAAGATGTACCTTCCATGGAGTACGTCAGAATGTGTTGTCTGTTTCCTGTTTGGTGAAGGGAGAACTGATCAAATAATGTTGCATTTTCTCACATTCTCTTACCTTATCGTGAACTGTAGAGGCAAAAATGTAATCATTACCGGAGCTAATGTGGGATTGGGATATGTAACGGCCCTGGAAATTGCTCGAAAGGGTGGAAATGTGTTTATGGCATGCAGATCAGAGTCAAAGGCAAACGAAGCTATCGCCAAGATCAAGGCAGAAGTTCCAAACGCCAAGGTCGAGTTCATGAAATTGGACCTGCAAGATCTGAAGCAGGTCAAGGGTAGTGCTGAAGCATGGTTGGCTAAAGGGCTGCCATTGCACGTCTTGGTGTAAGAAACTAAGCTGGATTACGCTACTTGGGAGATTCCTGACAATCTACTGTTTATAGCAACAATGCTGGTATCATGGCCAATCCCTTTGCTTTAACAAAGGATGGCATCGAGTCTCAGTGCGTATACTTTTCCAATCACTCAGCTTGACGCTCTATTTACTAATCCACTACCTGCTAGGTTTGGCACAAACCACGTCGGTCATTTTGTCCTGACTCAGACCTTGTTGCCAAGGATTATCGAATCGCAACCATCGCGAATCGTTGTGTTGACCAGTTCAGCTCATGCCATGGCACCTCAACCTGACGGGATTCCTTTCGACAAGATTAGCGATGAAAAGGCCTATACTCCCTGGGGCAACTATGGAATTTCAAAGTAAGACGTTGATCAAGATGGTGTTGCATGAATTCAAGTTGCTAATGGAACTCCCATTTCTGAATTTAGGCTCTCCAATATGCTATTTGCAAGGACACTGGCTGAAAAGCTCAAGGATGAGAAAGTGTTTGTACGCCGTTTTCGCTACTTGCTGATTCAAATGTGTTGATCTGACCTGTCGTCTGTTCTTTTTAGTGCAATTCAGTGCATCCTGGTGTTGTTCGCACAGAACTCATGCGAGGACCTTACGAAGTTTATGGCAGCTTCCTCAAAGTTCTCATGTTTTTCATGAGGCCGTTAATGTTCCTTCCAGTAGAAAAGGGGTGAGCTGGCACTCGTTGGACCGTTGGACCGTATTTACGCTTTCAATATCTAACATATCTTGAAATTCCCAAACCTGTAGGGTCTTGACGCAACTGTACCTCGCAGTTTCACCCGATATCGAGACCAAGAACTATCGAGGTCAATTCTTTGAACCGACAGCCAAACTATCTAAACCGTACACCGCTTTCGGGACTGATGACGTGTAAGCAGCGCGAGAGAGGGATTGTTTATGTATTGCTAATCCATTTGCATTTGATCTCTAGACTTGCACAAAAGCTATGGGACTACACCCAGAAGCTTGTAGACGAGAAACTTGCCGCGTAATCTTCTTGACTGTCACCATCATCCTCTGCTCCAATAAATGTTATTACAAAACGCGAGTGTTTGAGTCCGCGAACAGTTAGTTCGAGATATCCGTACGCGTTCTGAGTAGAGGTCGATGAGATCCACTGTGCTTAATTTCTTAAGAGGGTGTGATTCCTCCTTGCAGTCATATCATACTCCAAACATCCAACACTACTTTTTTCACTCACAGTGCGAATTTGGCTCAGTGGAGGCAAGCACTATAAGCACAACAATTAATCTCAAAGTACGTATCGCTGTGAGTTCTCAGTTCTATCTTGCATCTCGTGATTCTTTAAGAGCTTACCAATTTCGATTTTGGCAGATAGTAGAGCTGACGTGTAAAGCCAAAAATGGATCCTAAAACGAATGGTAACGATATAAATCGTCAGCAGGAGCCAGAAGTATCTCTGCTCGACATCAACACTCCTCAGGGATCTATCTCGAATTTGTATTCAGCATCAAGTGCAAAACCTCTCGTGCCGTCGTTTGCCAATATAGGAACTGTGCAATCGATACTAGATGCACCAATTCCTTTCGGCACGTCTAGTAGTACTGCGTTCTCTTTATTTGGGCCAAGTTCGTATTCTTCACCAACACCACAATCGCAACCAACACGAACGTCGTATGAATTACCAAGCGCTGTCGGTCTGGGCATGAGTAATGTATCAAGTTTGGACACGTCTCCAGATAGAACGATGACTTATCAAAAGATTCCTAGGCAATTAAGTAAGCATTGCAACTGAACTAGGCAATCTTTGAGGTCTCCTTAATTCGCTGATACTAACACGTGGGTCTGTTGCGTGTGCAGGTCATCAGCCTTCCACAATGTCGATCGCATCTGTAATATCATTAGGAGGAGATGCTGGACCAGTGACAGGACGTACCTCTGACCCCTTGGTTCCGCTCTTTGCCGCAAGCTTTGCTGGAAGTGGATCAAATCGTGCTTCACCGTCACCAACAGTACCAGCACCACCATTCGTAGCGAGTTTTGCCGCACCTCAATCGCAATCTAGGTCTCCATCGCCACAACAGTCGCAATCTAGGTCTCCATCGCCACAACAAGGGATGCAATCCATGTCATTCATGCCTATACATCCAGTAGCGTCTTCGCCTGTACAATTCACGTCGTCAGCTCAAATAATACACCCTACTGTAAGATCGTCTCCCAAACAGCCAGGCGAAACATCGTCGCCATTTATGATGCCATCGTCCACTGCACCTATAATACCAGCATCTCAATCGATCTGGGCAAGCTTCCCACCTCCAGTACCATCAAATTTGTTTCCGCCCGCAGCATCAGACGATCCGTTTGATAATCCGGTAGCACCATCTTCTAATAGAGGATCTGCATATGTAGAGAACCCATTGAAGAGTGCTGTAGGTGGATCAACACCCATGATTCAGTTAGATGATCCTGTAAAGCTGGAGGAAGTGAAATCAACGTCGTCATCGAAAACAGATATGGGAGACTTTGTTAGTGCCGATCCAGCTCCGTTTGAAGAAGCAGGACAATACGTATCAGCAGCTGTAAACAATCCGTCAACTAGTAGTAGTATGGTGTCGGACTATGATAAACCTAGATCGTCTTTTGAAACCGCTGCTTTTGTTCAGAGGGAGGAGTCATCTGAATTCGATGAATTTGTGTCAGCTGGTATAGATGACTTTGTTTCTACTGGTACAGTAGTTGTAGCTGTCCGCATACCGTTCCTTTTCACTCTGGAAGCTCATGTTTTTCTATATTTAGGACATTCGGGAGCTGTTGTAAACTCAGAACCCATCACATTTGCACAGCCGTCGAGTCTGACACCCTTATCAGCACCTGAAGTTTACAATTCCTTCCAGAATGCAGAATTACAGATAGACACAGCTCCGTCCGTGGTTACAACTCAGTCGGAGCCACCTAAATCAACTTCATTTACTGACTTTATGGACGGAGAGTTTACAGAGACGATACCTGCTGCAGAAACGAGCAGAAGTGTCGAAATACCATCATATATCGCTGCTGAGGTCGATAGCGTACCAGCTGTTACTAGTCAACCCAGCACATTTACTCAACATGCTGAATTGGATGCACCTCTTGAGCCAGTGGTCATAGCTGCTCAAGTAGAAGAAATAAACTATAATGTAGTAGTAGGTCCAGAATCGAATCTTCCAATGCAGCCTAAAGAGTCAACTTCGGAACCAAATGTCATACAGCCTGTAGAAGTAACCGAACAAACACAGGTTCGGGAACCTGTTGAGCGTCTAGAATCCGTCAAGCAGCCTCAGTATTCGGACCTTGTTGAGCCCGCAGGTCAACATGTAGAGGCCATACAGGAAACGCAGCATCAGGAGCCTGTTGAGGCAATAGAACAACATGTACAATCCATTCAGCAACCTCATCACCAGGAGCATGTAGAGGTAATAGAACAACATGTACAATCCATTCAGCAACCTCATCACCAGGAACTTGTCGAGCCGTCAGAGCAACATGTGGAGTCCATACAGCAAAGTCAGCATCAGAAGCATGTCGAGCCTGTAGAAGAACCTGTTGAAGCTACTCAGCCTATTGAAACGGCAGAGCAAGCCGTCGAATCCTTGGAAACTAAGGATCCGGGGCCAATCGAGTCTATAGAACCAAATGTTGAATCCATAGAGCAGAGCGAGTATCAAGAGCGGGTTGAAGCTCTATCTCCATTTGGGACGTCATTTGTCGAATCTCGGGATATAGATTCAGAGTCAATAGCACCAGTAATGAGACCTATTGAAGATTTGTTTCCAGAGGACCCATCTTCGTCCCTCTTTGGCGCCTCTGCAGACTTTTTAAAGGACGATGATGATGAGGCTGAGCCAGAGCAATGGGCTTCAAAGCATCCTGTATTGGAAACCACAAATATTTCATCTCCGTATCAGAGTGATGTAGTAGAGCCCGATCTGCTGCCATCAGAGACCCTTGATTTGGACTTGCCTTCACCAAGTCAGGCGGTAGAGTCAAGCCTGTTGGAAGAAGGTCCTGTAGAAACATATAGAACAGAGGAAACTTTTGAAACATCAACTATGGAAGGAGCTATCTCAATAGATTTATTGGCAGAAGGTAGACCAACTCCGCCTGTAGCAGAAACTTTCTTATCGTCAGAGAGTATAAGTATGCCAGAGCAAACCCAAATATCCAACATCAAAGAGACTAGAGTGGATCAAACAGAGGTTGCTGTAGAGTCTTCTGATGTAGTCGAAAGGCCACCCCCTGATATTCCACCACCGATTACGACCACTGAGACTCGGTCGTCACCACAACGAGTACCATCGCCTGTCAAGGCATCGCTATTAGCAGGTGATCCCCGATACTCAGTCCTACCAACCAGACGGTGGATTGATCCTGGCATCTTGCATGAAGTTCCAATGGTCGATCAAGTGGGAGAACTCATAAATAAAGTCTTCACCATTCCTGAAACTAGACCTACTCGACGACTCCTCAAAGTCGAGGACGTAGTAGAAACGTATGATGGCTTCCTTCGGTTACTGGTATCGGGATCTTTCAGGTCCGCAGCCATGCTAGCCAAGAAACATATACTCGAGTCATCACCAGCAGATTTAGAAGTCTTGGGTCTGCTATGGCTGATTCGATTGAGCTCTCTAGCTCGACTACGATTATATGATATGGCGGAAAAGGAACTGGATGCTTTAAGACTAGACTCGATAGAGTTTCGTTTTGAACGTTTTCCAGATATATACCCAAACACAGCAGGATGTATGGTACCTTTTGCATTAAGAGTATTGGGTGCCCGCCTTCCTGCATTAAGGGGTCGTCATGCTGAATGTATAGACGCTTTATATCGTCTCTGTCGAGAATGTAGAAGGGAAGCACGATTCTTGTTGAGTCGAGGCACTCAACTGACTCCAGAAGAGGAAGAGTATCTAAATGTATGGAAGTCACGGCACGTACAGTTACGATTGCTTCAAGTTTCGCACTTGACGGCCTTGAACGAGCACCCAGAAGCCGTCAAACTCTTGAACGCCATATCAATAGATCATGCAGACGACGTAGATATAATAGCTGCGATGGGACGTACGTACCTGACGTTAGGATCTATATCATTAGCACGAGAAGCATTCGCACGGGTTGAACGACTCACTGGTGCTATCATATTACCACCATCAAATACTCGACCTCCAGCTGCAACATATGGGTCTCGACCAGCATTGGTACTCATGTCACGAGCATTGCTATGTATGGCTGATAGTGACTTTAGTGGTGCTGCCTCTCATTTAACAGATCTCATCACGCTGGATCCGACACATCCAAGTGCTGTCAACAACTTGGCAGTTAGTCTCTTGTATATGGGCAACGTTTCGCAAGCAGTGTCTTTCCTTGAATCTGTAAGTAGTTTTACGGTTTATGTTGCAGTTCTCTTCTCACGCTTCGTATTATAGGTGGCTATTGAGCGTCCAACCTCAGCTGGCGCTTGCGAAGCCCTATGCTTCAATTTGGTGACTCTGTATGATTTAGCAGACTCGAGTATGACTAGAAAGACCAGGTTATTAGGAAGTGTGGTCGCTGCCGGCTCGGGAGATTCGTTTAACGTTGATAATGTGAAGCTTGTATAATGTACCAATGTATTACCGCTCAAACCACCTCAGTTTATTGCCAATGTTGCTATTTAGATGAAATCAAAAGAAATGTACAAAAATAACAGATATGTACACCATCTACTTTGTTTGCATTTCAACAGACGTACAGATTTTCAGGCTTTCACTACTTTTGGTGATATTACGATTATATAAGGCTAAATAACGTGATCCTGGGTTGCCTTGTTTTGACAAAAGCTTCGACACATAAAGGACGGGATGTATGAGTGAGTAACATGTCATGTCCATATGTCCTTGTTCGGCCTGCTATGTCTTTCATGACTTGGTCATATCTCACACATGCAATCATCAAACAGGGGCGACTGGGCTCCATATCTCGTCATCCAGAAAGCTCGATTCAATCTGCCAATGTCGTCGTGGATAGACTTGTGTCGAAAAAAGTTTTCCTACCATGGTCGCAACAATCCAACGCTTCACAGAACCCAACAATGCAAACGAATACGGATTCCTCCTCATATTCAATGATCCGTCGCATGCAAAAATCATGTATGATGTGCTCTAGTACTACACCAACTTCATCTTCAGGCAGCATCATACAATTGATCCAAATGCTCAACAAGAGGTGTTGATGATAAAAGCGGCGTGTATGGAGGTTGAAGTCCTATATAAATCTTTACAATACGGTATCCTGGCGGAGTGGTGATTTATCGTGATGTATCTTGCTCAGAGCCATATATAGCAAACAAACGTAGTGAAAACAGTTCCAACAGATGTAACTGCAATTTATCCATTTTATACAAGACAAGTGTGTGTGTGTACAAAGGTGTGAGTGTGTTGATTGTGCAATACAACCGTGTTACAAAAGAAGGGAACGCTTGGAGTTTTGTATGTCGACCTCAAATACCGGGATCAGAAAAAGGAGAACTTTCCCAGTATGGCGTCCTTAACTGATTCCGTCTAGTTACAAAGTGACGAAACTGGTGTGAGCCGAGACTGCGGTGTGTATAACAAGACTTCTATACGATAGCAAACTCACGTATTGAGCAGGACACCAGTAGAGATATCTCGACGACTTTTCAGTTGGTCCAAGCTGTATCACAAGGATGTGATATTCCGGATGGTCACGGATGGGCTCTGATTTCACACTCCGAACCGACGAGTATGGGAACTAGATCAAAACAAGGGTCAATGGTGAATTTCAAGTTCAACAGCTCAGCATCCCGGTTTCACGAATTCCCACATCTCTAATCATACTAATACCTTTTGAGTCCTCTCTTTCGTAGCAACCAACAGTTCTTGAATATCATTTCGAAAACCAAGACGAGTCTTGACTCCTCGTTGATCATACAGGTTTGTCAGACCACGTTCTGGAATTGGAATCTACGTACATCATGATTGGCATCCCAAAGAGACCAATAAAATCATCGTCTTCTCGTCAGTACCTGCTTGTTCAACACTCCTTCTTCAATATCAGCTGGCTTCTTTTCAATGTGCTTCTTGTGTTCCGTCATATCAGACAATGGAACTGTGACGACAGCCACCAGAGATTCCTTCTTGGCCGGTGCACTTGATGATGAGGCTGCTGCGATCGAGGTAATGGCTTCTAGTTTGGATGCCATCAATATAATCTTGCAGTTGGGTATTATTTTGGCTTCAGTGAGGGTTGAGTCATCTTTTAAGATGCCTATGATTGTCGATCAGCTGAGTGAGTTACCACTGTTGATCAGATAACTCCGTTTTGTAAGTGTCAGAGTGTGTTTGTAAGTGTCAGAGTGTCCGTGTTTCATCTTTCAAGCATAGTTTGAGTTCTGGATGCCTCGCTTGGATGCGTCCCTGACCAGACGGTTCAATGTATGCTTGGGATTCATTCTTTAAGTTCAGATCTTGAGTTCTCAAGATGTGCTTGGATTCATTCTTGAAGTTGGCCAGGTAGGCCATGAGAGCGTACCTTTATAAAGAAGCTTCTGCAATTCTTTCGGGATCTCAGACATTTCTTCAACGCTCTTCTTGATCTATTTAGTATACAGTTCATTGAGCTTAGTCTAGGCTTCACGAATACCCTCAATGAACACAGATCACACCTGTTCAACGGTAGCAGTTGGAGGCAAAGACATCGACCAAGTTTGATCTAAATTGAATCTCAGATAACAATTAGTTAAAATGAGTGGTAGCTTCCCTATAGCTCTCTTCCAAAAGAGCCAACAAACAATGAAGATCCACAAACACAAACATGTTCTTTGACAATACCTTTGAATGTAACTTTGAATGGAATATGATTGTCTTCATCCATTGGAGAAGTGGCTTCCGCTGCTGTAGAGGTCTCCATTATATTCGGCTAGCTTGTAGTTTGTGTCTGAACGATTCTGTGAGACAGTGCGATGTTTTGACGCAATGCAAAACGCAAGCGGGCTAGGAAAACTCCTAAAATTATACGTAATTTGATGGATTTCACGCGTTTGTGCGCTGCATTTAATCCTCTGGAACACGTACGATTACTGCATGCATTCAACGTTGTCGTGTCGGTCACAGGATGTACAATCAAATCAGTCCTCTCATGCAATTCAAACAAGCAAATACGCATCAGCTCCAAACTGCACGGTACCTTCGTTCTCGAACAGAACAGTCTTGAGTGTGACTGAGGTTTTAATCAACACCATACACGAAACTAACATAAGGAAACGCCAACACTTTAGAGTTTAGTGTATCCATTCCATTTGGGGGCTCTCTTTTGGACGAAAGCTCGTGGTCCTATAATTCCAATGAAATGAGATGTGTGAGAACCGATTCCCTCAAACGATGCAGGCAACTCAGAGAACTACCTTCTTTTGAGTCTGCTCCGTTGTACATGGCCCGAGCTTCAGCAGAAACCATGACCTTGTCTGTAGCCTCAACCCAGTTGGCGCTGGTCATAGTGAGGATGATTGCTAAGAAAGTAAACGGTTTTAGGCTGCTGTTATTCTGGGCTGGGCACTCAAATAAAACGCGACATACACTTCTTGGCAGCTCGTAGAGCGTCAGGAGATCCCTTCAACATCATTTCAGCGTATTCGAGAGTTCGCTTGATCAAGTCCTATCGTTGAAGATGCAAGTCAGCAAACTTGATTTATCACATAAAATCAGTACGAAGGTGGCAAAGCGATGCTAACCTTGGCAGGGACAACTTCGTTTACAAAGCCCCATTCGTAACCAGTTGCAGCAGTGATTGGTTCACCAGTCAAGACCAATTGCAAAGCACGTTGCATTCCGACGACCTAAAGCGAGCAGATTCGAAAACAATTACTGACGTGGTCTGGATACCGAAACTTCTGGAATGGTCTGACTACGTCTCGATTAACATGAAGGCTTTGCTGCTGTCGTACGTACTCTGGCCATCAAGGTCGTTCCAGAGAAAGGGGGGAAGATTCCACGACGAACTTCAGGCAATCCAAACTTGGCAGTGTCAGCTGCAATGACCATATCGCAGGCAATTGCAATTTCTGTTCCACCACCGTAAGCGAAACCGTTGACTGCAGCAATCAAGGGCTTGGTGAGATTGGTTCTCTTACAGATACCAGCAAATCCAGATGGTGGAGAAGTGCTACAGATTTGTAAGGAAAGAGTTGGAAAACGACTTTGGCAAGAAGTAGATTGACTTTCGTGCTTATTCGTACGTCATTTCCTTTGACAAGTTCTTGGCGTCTTGTTGACCACCAACCAAAGACAAATCCATTCCTGTAAGAAACAAGAGTTTCAGTTGATGCGAACGTAAAAAAGGTAGCATCACAGGGAGAACACTTGCCAGCACAGAAACTCTTGTCTCCAGCACCAGTCAAGATAGCAACTCGTAAGTAATCATCTTCCTGGTAGTGGTTCAGAATTCTGTCCATCTCCCTGTAGACACGAGATTATAAGTTAGTCCCGTGTTTGGTAGTGCCTACTGGCCTTACACGTCGGTTTACAGGGCGCTCTACGTATCGTCCTTAACACAACATGTAAGACCAGTCGTATGTGATGTCATAAAATGTCTGCATGGGTTTTACCAGTGTGCTTCGTAAGGAAGAGAGCTAATTAAGATATAGAGACAGGATCATTAGTAGCTGATCAAATACGTCGAGAGGAACAATAATGCGGTTGAACTTGCTTCATCTTGGTAGGACGGTTAATTGTGATGAGCAAAACATGAGGAATAGGGATTGTGAAGAGCAAGTGCTTGCTTGCTGGGAATGGCTTTGGAGATGACATGGTTGTGCTTGACTCTTTAGTTGAGCTAATGTGTCTGTTCACGTTGGTTTTTGTTGAGTTTGAGTGCAAGTTGACGTGTGGTACAAAATGTCGACGTGAATACGGCCGAATTCTTTGTAGCGGTCGCCGTCTACAAATCTACATTCTGCTATTAATCAACATATTTTGAACACATTGGTTCGTTCCAAACACGAAAAGTTACATCTTTTTTCTGATTGCGAAATTCACTTCTTCCAGCCGGAAGCGATTTACGCTGCACTCAGAATACCCTCTCGGAAACACTAGGAAGACTTGGACCGTCACTGTAAACCCATTCCAGACCTAGTAAAGGCTGTATCAACTAGATCCAGCTCTAACGGCCCTCTAACTGCGAAAGTTGTGTCAGTTTGGTCCATTGTTGACTCAAACCAATTCCCCGGTAAGAGACAGAATATCCCAACTACACCATTGATTTCTTTACAACTCGGTTTCAGATTTACATCCTTCTCATCCTTCTCTTCCGTAACGTTGTCATAGAAATGATGGCAACTCTGCAACAGAATGTAGCTTCACAATACATGAACGACTATGATGCCAATTCCCACCGACAAGCACGGGGCCAGCTGAATTCCCTTCCGATCCTCGACTCCTACTTACAGCAATGGTTGGAACAAAATGCTCACAAACGTACCATCACAATCGTCGACCTTGGGATTGCATATGGCCCCAACTCACTCATACCATCCGCTCACGTAATCAAGCTGATACGGCAGTTTGCGGGGAACGACGTTGAGATTATTGTCTGTCTTTCTGATCAGCCAAAGAACGATTGGAGTCGTGTTGCGCAACTCATTGAATCCGGGCTGCAACAGGATGAGAAGACCTTTGTTAACTTGATACCCAGGTGACTTTGAAGTTTGCTTAGTGGTACCAATATGTTGGTCTGTTGAGCCACCTGTGCCTTCATCTTCTTTGAATATTTAAACCGAGTCAAAAACTGACTCAGTTATTTTAGGTCCTTTTATCAACAAATTCTACCGAGCTCTAGCGCCTCACTTGTCATGTCGTATAGTGCTGCACACTGGCTCCCGTTACCGAATATGCAAGAGTGCCCTAAACCTTCGCCCTTTGGTGTACCGTCGCTCTTCATAAATTTGACCTCGATGGACTTTAGGCGATGGGCTTCCAGTAAGTTTGAGCTCCAAAACCTTCAAGTTAAAAGAACACATCATTCATTCGTAAAATCCTCGCTCACTTGTACATTGTCCATAGATTACAGTCATGATTGCTGGGTCTTGTTCCTACAGAATCGACTTAAAGAGGTAACCGACTAAAAGAATCTCCCCATCAATCACCTTTTTCTCAAATGCATTACATCTAGATGGAGCCAGGCGCTCTTGCCGTAGTCAAAACAATTGGCACCGAAGTCGAACAATCTGAAGAAATCGATCACGGAGGCCCAAACGGCTGTTTCGACTCCTCCAGCTCAACATCCGATATAACCTCCATGGCCCACAAAGTGCTAATGGAGATGGTCGAGCAAGGCATGCTGGACCCCGCATCATTTGAAAATGTAGTGAATTGGGCATATAGGAGAACGCCGTCACAAGTACGCGAAGGGTTTGAGAAAGTTCCTGAATTGGAACTGCTGGATATTCAACTGCAACGCAGGCCGCCGCCGCCAACGTCTGTTGCTGAACGACGAGAGTTTGTGTCGAGGATGTATGATGGTGCTTTCAGTATATACAAAGGTAAGGTCAGTAAGGTCTCCCGTAATTACCGCCTTACTGACGCAATGTAAATAGGCACAATGGGCGCCCTCATAAACGACATCTTCAAACGTGGATGGAAGTACCCCTCTGATTACACTCACGGAGCCAACCTATTCTTCCAACGCTGGAGAGAGGCCTGTGATCTAGTCCTTGAACAGTTCTTGGCAAAGAACTCGTTACCGCATCCTCGACATAAGCATGTTGGAATGATTATAGTCTTTAAACGTAAATAAGTTAATTAAGATCCTGTAGCTCTCAACTCTGGGTCTCGCAGCTTTACTTGCTCATAGTTTTGTTACATATACCGTTTTAGATATAATACTTTATTTATCATCATAGCTCAAAGCATTTATGAGATCACTCTTCGACATTTGGGAAACGTTTTCTAGGTCCGAAGAAGCGACAGCGTTTAGTTGTGTTGGGTCAGTCGTTTGAAGCGCTCTCTAAAAACCTTGCGCCAAGGATGCATGCTCCACGGAATGTATTCTCGGATTTACAATACACAGATATCTACACAATTCAAAAACTGCAAAAACTCATTTCCCTACCATACCACTGCATGCTTTCTTTGTAGGTGGAGCTACGAATTTCTCCCTATAACTTTGTTTCTTAGCATAAAATTCTGCTTCATAAGGTTCAGCTGGTTTCGTTGATGATGATTTTGTAGCTGCTGTTGTTATTGCTGCAGTCTTGGCAGTTTCTACTAGTGATTCTAGTAAAACTAGTAGTTTCAACCGCTGATTCTTCTTCTTCGGGTGCAGCTCTACGTTTCTTGGGAAATGCCGCTGATTCTTCATCAAGGACTTCCATAATTCCAGGAAGGAAAAGTTGTAAGGAGAGCATAAAAAAGGATCAATACTTACAACGACACCAGTCACGGTTTAGGTACGTGGTAAATTTCGTCCGTAGATGGCATTCCTGGATGGCTTCACATGTTCAGAAGAAGTGGAATTACTCTAATCCGAATGAAAGATGGTTATTCGATGTTGGCAGTCGTTTGTGACTACTGCTTTAATGGCCAATCGACTTCCACAACAAGCGATTGCACATACCGGCGTAGAGCACCTGGATATAGATTCACTGGATGTGGAGCAGCTGGAGCTACTAAAGGTGTTCCTATAACCACAAACCTTTGTCAATCATTGAGTTTTTTCTCAACACACGGTTGTCATTGAATGGCAGAGTGAAAGATTTCAATAAGCCTCGCCATACTTTTCGGCTTGCAATGACGGACATACTGTCTACTTTTACTGACCTTGGTAAAAAAGGCGATACAATTTCGGACTCGAAAGGAGCTGACATCAATGTGTCTCAACACACAGGTGGGATGTGAGTTAGGCGCCACAAATCATGCTTCTACACTCATATTAGCAGTTTATTGTCTGAAAAATCATTCAAACTGGTCAATCTGGTTGCCATCGTCAGAAACTTTGCGTCATTACCCACTTCTCACATTTATCAGGATAGATCTCGGACAGATTCACGTAGATCTCTCAATTTGGAGCACGGTGGAGTTGCTAGAGAGCAGATGCCTACTCCGCAGCGGGCAATCCTGCATACAAAACACCAGACTGTCAACACAACCCACCCAAATTGCACCACTCCACGTCAAGACAGCTTCTTTTCATTCTGCAATAATGAGTCCACACGACTGCGCCAAGAACTACCAAGGAAACACTACTACACCACTCATGTAGGATTCAAATGATCCATAAACGAACCGTGTGCTCGTGTGCCCGAGCAAGCCCCCACTAACACTAGCCAAATCTCTGGCACTTCTTAGGACCATGATCGTGGTCGTCTCGTCTTTCGTAAACTCGGCTCCCACGAGAAGATAGTCGTTTTGAAACATGTCGAATCGCAAACAGATTGCATCACTACGGAGGAACCTGAGCCAACGTTCAACCTCGACGAGCTCTAACAGCATGTGCACCGTGGCAATGTCTCAGTCAATTGACACCGTAACCTTCCTGGACTTTGGCACATTGCCCATCAGCCTGTATGGCAAAATACGGTGCTGGGCCTGAAAGCCAAGTGGCGGTAATAAGCCGTCAAGTCCTTGACTCCTCAAAACTTTTGAATATCTTCGATACATCACGATGTGGGTCTCCCACAAGACCTCCAAGCTGTTGCTGCCTCTACAATTCGTGTCAATCCTCTTTATCGATTTTTGACATTTAGTAAGAGTTACAGTAATTGTGTCTTATCGATTAGAATTCTGATCATCGTTTTGGAATCTAGGCATTTTGAAAAGCTGGTTGGACGCTGTGGAACGTCGCTCGACGTCCCCCGTCGTTGGTCATGAAACTCAAAATCGAAATACATGGACCCCTGGTGCTTTTAGCTATGAGCTTGGACTATTCGAATCAAAAGTTGAATGGCCTCCCTGGATTCGGATTCTTAACTCTGGACTCATCCACTGATATGGAGCTTGCACAAAAGTCGGTTTTCACACAAGTTGAATGACGTGGCTGACAGGTAATTGGATCAGTAACATGCTTTACCATGGATAAGAGCCATTTCGTGGCTCAAGCTTGCTGTGGCGGCAACAGCCACTTTTCTGTTTGTTTATTGGTTGGAAGGAGGCGCCTAAGGATATCCATATAGCTCTCTGGAAGTCAGTAGCTCATGGTTGGGACTACCAGAAAATCAGTTGCAGACCACTCCACCAACCTCAATGGCGGAGCGGCGAGAGCTCGTTTCACGGATGTGTATCAAACGTGCTTCATGAATACAGATGGGGAAGTAAATCTCGCCGTATAGAGGGAGGCTCGTGATTTAGCCCTTGAATAGTCCTTGGCAGCTCATTCCAGTTCTCGGAACGATTATAGTATTCAAACAATAAGTAAAGTAACCAGTCCTGTACCCATAACCACTCTGCATCATTTGCAGTTGCGGCTGCAATGATTCTCGCTTGTAGTTTGTTATAAATGCCGTGAGATATAATATTATTGTCGTAGCAGATGAGTCTTTTATATTTTGAAATGTTTTTCGGTTTGTTGTGTCCATCTCTGCCAAATCGAGTCGAGCAGAAGCTGTTGGTGGTTTGGACGAATTACTGACCAGAGGAAACGCAAATTGTGCAAATGAAATCCGTTTATTAAATTACAATTCGAAGATTGCAATATATCATTATGGGCGACCGGTCAGAAATCCTTGGTATATTGTGCGAAGAAAAAAAAACGGCAGGATTTCGTCAGAGGTTGCTTGCAAAGGGCAGTGCTTTCACAAGGCGACCAGGCGCATCAAGCTCTCCTTAAAGGCTCGCGTTTCCCGCCAAGAGGATGTCCATATGTGTTAAACAAGTCTGAAAGGCTGGGATAAAACGATTAAAAAAGAGGGCAAGAAACACAAGACTTTGCACTTTTTTTCATCAAAACAAGCTGTTTCATTACCATTGTTATCTACGATAATAACGAGACGCGAACAATGCCCAGCCTTTTATTAACCTTGAGTTTATCACTCCTCTTGATTCCTGGAAATATCGCTGCAGCAAGCTGCAATGAAATCCTCAAAATTAATTTTGGTACGTTTTCGAGCAAAGCTTTGTCATTCACGGTGATGCATCTCTAAAAATCAAACTTCACGGTGTTTTTGTATGTTTAGATGCTAGGTAAGCTCGTTTTCTACCCTGGTTGTCTATTGGAAACCACATAGAGTGAAAACCACTAATATGATCTGTCTGAACTTTTTTTTGCGGCGCATCGTAGCCATGATGCATCTACAACAGGTAAAATAGTATTCTATGTGGTATTCAAAAAACATTTAAACTTGTCACTGATTCTCGAATCTCTCTGGTAGCTTGGTCTGCACCTGTTGATGACTGCATCGTTCTAGCCAAAGGAGCCTTTCTGTACTTCCGAGCCACAGAATCGAGGGACTTTCAGTTACGAATTGAAGCTGCTGATGCTCAGTGTGCACCTACAAGTAATTTACTTCTCTCAGGTATGTCTTTGCTTCAGTGGTCTCTACGTGATTCTATCCCCGACACCTTTTTTCCATCATTTTCATAGATTTAACACGATACGCTATTGTGGACCAGAACGGAGGAATTGGTACGTGTCAACGAGCTATTAGCTACATCAAGAAAAGTTTGTAGCGATATTAACTTCTATTTTCACAGATTACTATATCCAATTGGATGACGTGGCAGTTGCGAAAAAGGTGATTAGTTCACAAAAATCTCTACCGATCACTGTTAACAGCCATTATAGTTCGTTTTGGAATCTGCTTTAAGTACAGGACCCACAATACGGTAAGCTCCGCCTGCAAGAAATATGTTGAAAACTGTGGATTGGTCGAAAAATCGACTTTTTGAGAAGTCACTACCGTATACCAGAATCTTATAATTGTGCACTTTCTAGGGACGCGGCAATCATTGAATGCTCTAATCTACGATACAAACGAGCTGCAAACAACACTGGCTCTTGTGGAGCTGGGGCTATGTGTGCACCAGGCTACTGCTGCTCAAAATACAGCTATTGCGGGAGATCGTCCGCGTGAGTGCTTTTTCTTGTGATTGCTACTCCTCATCGTTCAGGCAAATCAAGTCTTGACTCGTTTCCTCGCGTAGATACTGCGGCACTGGCTGCCAACCACTCTACGGAACTTGTAATGCAACAGCGAGTGTCTCACCAGCAGCTTCGACAGTAGTTACCTCCAAAGCACCTAGCGTTGCAGCATCCACAACAAAACCGGCCACATCACCCGCATTGGCATCTACAACAAAACCAGCCACATCACCCGCATTGGCATCCACAACAAAACCAGCCACATCACTCCCATTGGCATCCACAACAAAACCAGCCACATCACTCCCATTGGCATCCACAACAAAATCAGCCACATCACTCCCATTGGCATCCACAACAAAACCAGCCACATCACTCCCATTGGCATCCTCAACAAAACCAGCAACATCAGCTAGCGCCTCACCTAAAGCATCATCTACCAAACTCCCATCTGCTGCATCTACATCTCCAGCACCCTCCGCAACAGGTACCCCAGGAACACTCGGAGCGTCATGTGTCTCGGCATGCTCACCATCGACCCTGCAATGCATCGACGGGATCTGTCAACGCTATTGGGCACAACCTACATGGACAAGTACCGCTGTTACTGCAACCACGATGCTGAATGGATGGAATGCTACAAAACTGGCCTATGATGCTGGACGTAAGGTTGTTACCGATCCTGCCGGGTCTAGTGAATTGGTTATGAAAGTTGTGTACCCGGCTGGGAGTCGTGATCCGGCGACTACTCCTGTAGGTGGAACTGGGGTATGTTGCTTTGGATGCAAAGCTTTGGTATCGAGATGTTGCCAGCTACTGACATGGTTTTTTGGTTCTAGTTCTATGCGGAACCGATTAGTATGGCTGGCGTTACTCACATCACCATTCAATATGATGTCTTCTTTCCAACTGGCTTTAATTTTGTGAATGGTGGTAAACTCCCTGGTGGTATGTGAATTGCATGTTTGAAGTGATTTCATGCACTGGTTTATTCGTACCCCTGTTTTGCGTGTCTCAGGATATGGTGGACACGCATCATGCTCAGGCGGTGCGTCCGCATCGGATTGCTACTCAACACGCCACATGTGGCGAGCCTCAGGCGCCGGTGAAGCATATCTCTACCTCTATCAACCAATCCAACTTGCTTCATTCTGTCTCGCAAACATCTGCGATGCAGCATACGGTGTCTCAGTTGGACGAGGAGACTTCACATTCAAAACAGGCGTTTGGAATACCATTCGTCAAAAGGTCAAACTCAATTCGGTTTTGCTGGGAGTTGCTATGGCTGATGGGACATTGGAGGAGATGTGGTCTGTTAATGAAGCGACCCCTGCGACTGTTATCACACAAGCTGGGATAACGTGGAGACAGATTGCGAGCGTGGCTCCTCTTGGGCTAGATGTATGTTTGGTTTGTGTTTTGTTGAAGTTTGCTTAGTACTTTAACATTTTATCGTATACTTAGTTTGAAACTTTCTTCGGAGGCTCCTCCTCTATATATGACACACCCACTACGCAATACTCATACTTTAGGTATGAAAGGACACGTTGGACGCAGATCGATAACCTATGCAATGCTGATCTCGTTTTGCTCACCTTAACAGGAGGGCATCCATGTCCGTTTACTGATTCACAGTTATACACCATTCTGAAACGAAACGATACCGCCTCATCTCGTCTGGAGACCTCATTCTGAAACGTTTTTCTGAAACATTTTTATAGTTACTGAAGCTAGAGAAATCTTACCGTTCTAGACCTCATCGTTCTGCTCTTGGTTTTCTTGTCTCATTGTACTGCTTCTTTGTAACATGGCGAGGGAATTACTAATATACCAAGTACTCAAAAAGATCCATTGAGAGTTTCACGTTCTTCACTCCTTAGCTGTGAACACATCAAAGTACTTTTTTTATTTCGGTCTCTCTTTATTCATATGCGACATACGTTTTTACATTTTTTTCCAGGGGTTGAGACCCACAAAACTACATTTCTGAGGGCAAAGCACTTTCATTCTTCTTTTACTGTTGTTGCGGATGCTGTTGTTGCTGATCGTTCTGGCCTTGGTAGCTACCTCGACCACGACCACCTCTTGGACCTCCACGGCCTCTTCCACCTAAGATAGAAAGGTGAAGAGTGAGTTGAAGGAGCCACACAGAGCTAGGTTACTGCGTGAATCACATGCGTACCTCGGTATTCACCACCAGAGTAAGGTTGTTGTTGATATCCATTCTGATCATTTCCTTCATATCCACCTCGTCGACCACCTCTTCCGCCCCTATAACCAGGGTCACCGCCTTCACCATTTCCTCGGTAGCCACCTCTCCCACCTCGATAACCACCTTCTGAATTGCCCCGATAACCTCCTTCAGAGTTACCACCTTCTCCTCGATAGCCGCCTCTTCCACGATAACCACTCTCTGAATTGCCGCGATATCCACCATCAGGGTTGCCTCTATAGTTGCCTCTAGAGTTATCACCTCTGTAGTTTCCTCCACCACGACCTCCTCGACCTCGAGTTGCAGTCTGGAAGTCACCATTTGTTTGTTGTTGAGGAGATGGTTGACGAGGAGTAGCGGCAGGAACTACATCGTCCGCCCAAGAAGCAGGTTCACTTGAGCTAACGACTTCATCAGTAGTGGTAGCACCCCATGGAAGCTCTGATTCATCTTGTGCTGGTGGTGGTTGATATGGCTCTAAACAGTTGAGGATGGAGAGTGAGTCATTCCAGTCGAGTCGATGGGCTTTTGTTATCAAATAGGGCCAAGGGTGTGGTGCCTTGTATTGATCAGAGATAGATAGGCAGAGTTGTAAACATTCTCCCATCGGAGTATTTAAGACTAATCGTTATATATTCTGGTTGACTCATCCTCTCAATGCACCCACATTTCCATTGTCATGACTATACCAAAGTCAAACAGCGCAGACGTCAACATTAAGCGAACATACCTTCAACAGTGACTTCACTTGGAGTAAAAAAGTTAAAATTGGGAGCAGCACCAACTGCAGCAGTCTGAATACCAGAAGGCAATCCAGTAACAACCACAGGTTCATCTTCTTGAGCCATAAACGAATGTGATACACCAGTGGCTGCTCGCGATTGGTCAGCAACAGGAGAGTGCGATGTTGGCACAACAGCTGGTGGGGGTGCAGTAGTCAATAAAGTCTCGATGGCAGCATGTACTGCTTCATAAGTAGCAGATGGAGCCAATAAAGCCTGAGACTTAGCCAAGAGTTCAGAAACATGATGTTGAGCTTTCTTGAGGTACTCTTCCACCCTATATAAAATGGTTGGTGTGGTTGGATGTGTGCAAGTCGAGGAATACAAGCCATAATAGACAGGGGTGCAATAACTTACGTGTGTTGCTCATGGTTGAACAAGATAGCTTTCAGATATTCAATGCCATACAGCTGTTCACCAGTAATACGTCCATCCATTTCCAGTGCAGAGCCAGAGACATAAAAGACTTTCAAAAGAGACTGCAAGTCTTTCTCAGCTGCTTTCTATGAGCATACGTAGACGTGTGAGTGGTCAACACAACTCAGGGCTTCCGGACCCGTCAATGCTTCAAACAAGGGAAGACGAAGATCTTGAAAAGCAAATACAAACGCAGAATTACCTTGACTTCATCCACAGCAATAGTGATTTGGGCCTTAGTCTCTTGAATAGCATCAGTCAGTTTCTTGGTAGTTGATTTTGTCTCCTGCAAAACAGACAAACAGGGAGTATGGTGAGACAGGCTTGCGTGGATTCAGAGACAATAGTGCATGTAACTCTGCACCTCTGTTTCGATACGATTGATCATGGTCATGATCTCATCGTATTCCTTGATTGAAGCAACTACTTCAGACTTTTGGTTCAACATTCGTAATTGATCTGGATTCAGCGTTTTCTTGTCTTTGGTCTCTGTTTCTTCAATCTTGGTCTATTGAAACGAAAGCATATGTCCTTTTAGTTAAGATATAGATGGGTGACTTGATTGCAGGGTTATTCTGCCTTCATCAATGCATTCATCAAATGACCAGGGCCACGAAGACATTGACCTTTTACTTGAAAATTAGATGGATGACTCCCTTTCCGTTCCGTTTTGTTTGCATAAATGCATTCATCAAATGACAAGGCCACACAGACATCAAAAAATAGCAATGCAGAAACAAAGCAAACAACAAAGGGAGAGTAATCCATCCGAAAATCCATCATAAATTTGTGCAAACATCATCAAAACCTACCAATTTCTTCTTTAAGGTTCTTCGTTTTTTTGCTATAAGTTCAGCATATGGGTTTTTTCTTGGGGTTTCATCATCAAAAGCCTGAGCTTCTTCCACTGGTGCTGCAGCAACTTCATTCTTCTTCTTGTTGCGTTTTTGCTTTGGCTCCTGAGGCGTTGGAGATGTCCCGGCTTCGGTCGTCATCTTTTTGTTCGTTTGGGTGCTTTAATGACAGATTTTGTGAAAGAAAACAACGAACCAATGCATACACTCGACACGTCAATGTCATGATGAAATGAACAACCGATTATATTTCATAATGGAATAATCACGTAGCTCGTGTGCTTTTCCTTCTCATTTGAAGCGCTGAATCGAAGAAAGGACAAGCCAGAACGTCCATTAAAGCTTGAATAAGCTTCGTGAAGAGTATTCAAACTGGATCGCGGAATAAATAAATGATTCCATACTAGCACAACACACCTATTCGCCTATTGCATCACGTCAACGCCCCAACACTTCATCGTACTAATTCGCACATTCCAAAAAACAACATTCCAGTGATGGCATTCACCAAAGAGACCGTGCAGAGCATCTTGGATCAGACTGGGCATATATACTATACGGATATGGCCTCTTTACTAATGGTATGCTCATCAAAGTTCACCGTTTAAGTGTCTAATTGGATTCTCCTAGATCGTCGCCTTGACCAGTGCGAATGAACCTGCAGCAGCGGCTGTGGTCGCAGTCGAATATGTTAAAGTTGCATTCGCTGCTGGTTTACCGCAAGCTGTGAATGCTGTAGACCGCATTAGGGAGGCTGTATTCAAAGGTATGATGTCATGAACAATTTCTGGCATTCACCATATAACGATCGCTCGAATGCGCTAACCGCATCCATGTCTTCTTTATTCTAGCTGCTGTACTAACAGGAATGCCTAGAGTAAATACCTCGGAGTGCTCTAGTTTAGTTGAGAAAACCGTTGCGGCGCCCACGCTGACTTTCACTGTTTTGTTCAATTTAGACCATCAATGCATTGCAGCTGATACGTACATCGGTTGGCAAGCAAGTGGACCGAAAGATCATAGAGGAGTTGGACAAGAGACCTGCCAGAAGAGATCTCAACGCGGCCAGTTTAGAAAAGTTGACCTCACGAGGTCCTACATTCTTTGATGCCGTTTACGGAGCAACCAGTATGTCAAACATACCATTCGTGCTGTCTGAATTCGCTGCACTGTCTTCTCTGATCAACTCTGACCTTCGTCGGTCTACTACTAGAGGACACACAGAGGGCTGCATTGCCCAAACTACACCCAGACTTCCCAACTATGATTGTTCCACTGGTGTATGGGCTCTTGAATGGAGACATGGCGGTTTTGAATGAAAGGGAGACCGAGTTACTCACGGTTGCTGGAATAGCCGTCATGGGAGGAGCAACAGTCCAGCAACTTAACGGACACAGAGCGTGAGTTTCAATGAAATCAGTTCTTGCGTTTTCCGCGGTTCCTAACTCGACCTTCTCGACTAGTGGAAGTATGAACGTTGGATGCACACAGCGTGAGGTCGACACCGCAGAATTCATCGCCAAAGAGTGCCTAAAGGCGATATCCTCTCCTTTAAAACTGTAATTCACTTTACTGACACAAAACTGTAATTCACTTTACTGACACAATAGATCTCAATTGTTTCGATTTACTTGGTCTATTTGAGTTTCTGCTGACGATGCGAATGAGTGCTACTAAAGACTACAACTTCCCTTTACCAAACTTGCTCACAATGATATCTGTAATCTTTTCGACGTTTTCAACTTGCTGTATCGTCGCACCAACATAAAGCGCACCCCTTCGATGCGACTCAGATTGTTTCATAACTTCTCCACCTTGACTTCTCAAACACGCAACCATTCCAAGCTCTGTATATATAGCATTGAGCGTTGACACGTCCGAGAGAACTCTCCCATACTGCTCTGTCAGGATCGCATCCAGTAAATCAGGGTGGATTGAATTCAAGATCGATTTGACGCGATGAGCTAGCGAGTAAGAATACGTGGATCAGTTCAAACCTTCCATTGACGTCAATGCAATAAACATACTGTTCTTGTCGTAGACAATATCAAAGAACGCTTCTCCTCGTGGCCTCCAGTCCAAGAATTGTTCTTTGGGTCTCGATTGAAGCGTTGCCAGTGTAATGGAAGGATCAACTGCCTTTATCCCATTCGCAAGTTGAGTAAGGCCATTGATGACACGTGGAGCTCCTGCGACTGCAAGTGTCTTGTATATCTGGGTTTTGGGAGTGACTGTGTTTAATAAGCTCTCGACGTTGAACAAATGTCCATAGATTACCGTTTCTCGACACTAGAAAGGCAGGGAAACTTTAGATACAGACAATAGTAATACGATTCAGCAAGCTTACTAGAGTCAGCATGGCAGCAGCTTCAGGCTTATGATCGTTTAAAATGCATTTGACCAAAACAGGGAATGCTGGCGTCTGGTTAAGCCCTACAAAGGCTCCACTTATAGCAACATATATAAGATCTGACGGTAGTTCCGAGAATTCCTTTCGCAGTGTCCTTATGTCTTCTATGTCCATTTTTGTTGGAAGTGTAGTCCCGTTTGAGTGGAGAGTGATTGGAGTGAAAGAAGAACGTTTAGACGAGTGCCAAAGAAAGCTCGTCTTTCGGTAGACACGCGTTTGGATCTATCGTAGAGCCATGTTTGGTTACCATTGGTGGCCTATTGGCCTCGTAATCGCCATAACCGTGCCGATTGTTCAGAGTATTGAGCAACAGCACGTTCTGAATGTGGGTCAAAGATGCTCAAATGTCGCTAATATTCACGTCATATTCTCCAATCATCTTGATATTGGCTTGTAAGTGTTTGTTGGGTCAAGATCTTCTACATCAACAACACTCACTGACCTGTTTCTCATGAACTAGTACCCTACCAGCCAATGAAGTGGTGAATCAATATTTTCATACTCATTACCCGAATGCTATTGGTATATCCGGTCATGCCAGCGAACAGAACTATCTATTGACGTATTACACTTTTGACATAGATGTTGCAAAGACGCTGGAAGGAACACCAAACAAGTTCATATACACCACACACTCGTATTGTTAGTTCCTCTTCAAGTTCGTCAAGACCGTGACATTGGATCTAATCATACACTTTCGAACCACCCTAGTGATATCTCTCTTCTTTGATTGTCCTGTTGGCCTGGGCTTAAAGTGTCCAACTCAATCTCAAAAGGCTGCATTATCAAAAGCCATTGACGCCGGTATCATTACATACCACGCGTTTCCCTTCAATGCGCAAATGGAATACATGGACGCAACGCTGGTCGAGTTTGGAGTCAGCTTGACGCACAGTTTGGACGAAAAGTTCAAAAAGCCTGGAAAGACTGTATTATCACAGAGAGATGTTCCCGGAATGAGTGTGGGTACATTGCCAGTGTTGCGTGAAATGGGTGTGAAGGCTCTCAGTTTTGGAACCAATGAGGCATCGGCTCCGTTGGGGTTTCCGAAAGATACACCGTTTATTTGGAAGTTTGGGAATACTGATATGATGACCTTCCTCCAGTAAGTGAAAACAGACATGCCGTGTCAAGCATGATGGCTGCTGATGGTCCTTTCTTTGCTTGTAGTCCTGGCAACTATGGAAGCACTGATCCAGACTTGCTGACGTGTATGACCTCATGTCCAGTGGGTGCCATGTTCGCCTGGAACACCGATAACAGTAACTGGCTTCTTTTACGTATTTCTATCTTCCAACTGTTGAGGTTGACTGTAGCCATTTTCAATATAGAGGGCCCCCATACTGCAGAGGAAGTCACATCCATTCTTGAAACTGCACGGAAAGCCTATCCCAACGCCAACGTGTATGCAAGCACATTCGACAGAATGGTAGCAGACTTTGAGCAGTGTCGACCTGGAATGCAAGTTATAGATGGCGTTGAAGCTGGTGATACGTGGATATACGGTGACGACGGAGGTTTGCAGTGATAGGCTTTTAACTTGACTTACACTGGTAACTTACATACAGGTGTTCAATCGGATCCATACAAGACCTCAGTATTCCGAGCAGAATCACGAATACGAGCCTGCTTTGCAGAGAACCGCTGTAAATGGCCCGGCACTCAATCTCAATTTGACGAATGGTCTAGACGATTACTAAAAGCTGGTGAACATACGTGGGGATCCGATACCAAACACAGTTTGACGCCGACACAATATGCTGCTTGGGATCCAAAGGACTTTGCACAATATATAGACGATGCAGAACCACAGGCGTTCGCAGATACTTGGCAAGCTCAATTTGAGTGGGCTTTAGGTGGTATGCCGCAGTCTTTGGTTGATTTGGTCAAGGACGAAGTCAGCCCTCTGAACACAGTGGACGATTCGAGTTATAAGGTGGCGTATACCACGGCAGTAGGTGGAATCACGAGATTCGAGTGGCAGGACTGGAGAATTGGATTCGATAGCACTACAGGCGCCATCAACTTTTTGCTATGTGGAGACAAGATAATCTCGTGGTCGAATCGTCAACTGCTCAGGCTAGAGTATAAACGATTTGACGAGCACGACGTGAATAGAGCGCTATCCGAGTACGGGTATACTCTTGTAGATTGGTACTTTAAAGACTTTGGCAAAGTGGGTCTTGGAGCAGGCTCTAGCGTTACAGCCAACACGACGCTAAAGAGGATATCGGTTAGTCCTACGGGGAATGAGTTTGTCGTGTGGATGGATTTTGCTGATGAGATACACGGAGCTCCACAAATGATCAACGCATATCTGAAGCTTGATGATGAGGGTACGCGAATCGACGTTGAGGTCTCCTGGTTGAGTAAGAAATGGGATAGACGGCCAGAGAGCATATCGGTATGGTTTGATCCGGTTGTAAGCGAGCCAGGTGGGGTTTGGAAGATGAATAAGCTTGGGAGCTTGATTGATTCTTCGACGGTGGTGTTTAATGGATCCCAGGTAAACCAAGTTACTCCTCTGGTTTCATTTTGCATATCCAATCTTACACATCAACCCACGATGCAGCATATACATAACGTATGGAAGGGGCTAGGCCATACAAAGTCTCTATGGATTGATACTCTTGATGCAGGACTAGTCTTAATTGGGAATTCGACACCCTATCCAGTTCCTTTGACGCCACAATCTCTCAAGCAGGACTCGGGAGTGGCGGTAAATCTCTTCAACAATGTGTGGGGCACTAATTATGTACAGTGGTGGCCATATAGAAAGAACGATACTGGAGCCGCGAGGTTCAGATTCACAATCACTCCAGACTGGCGGGACTGAATCCCCAAACACATAGTGATATCAATCCAAACAAAAAACGTGTATTGGTGTAGTAAAACAACAACCTAGTTTAAGTCATAATACTAATATATCGTTGCCTTTTCAAAGTCTCGCCTTGGCGTACTTTGCCTTTTGCTTTTTACGAGCAGCTTCAAGAGCAGTTGGGATCTCCAAAATACCACCAGTGTTCCAGACTTTGATGTATTCAAGACCCTAATATGAAAATAGTCAGAACCATGATAGAAGAAGGGCGCTCAGGAATGTAATACTCACATCTTTAACACTGTGGTCACGTTGGAAGTTCAGTAGATTCTTGGTAGAGTACACAGCGACTGGACTCTTTTCAGCAATGATTGAAGCAGTCTTGATGGCAGCAGCAATCATCTCCTCCTTTGTGGCGAAGACTTTACCAACCAAACCAATCTGGTAGGCCTCATCTGCTGGCAAGTTTCGTCCTACATGACAGCAAAGAATGAGCCCTCAGATTACAAGATTTAGAATGTGCAAGGATGCATTACCAGTGAAAGCAAGTTCATGTAAAACAGACTGGTTGCCCATAATCTTTGGGAATCTGTTCAGGGTTCCGACATCAGCAGCAAGGCCAATATCGATTTCCTTGATACAAAAGTACGCATCTTTTGTAGCGTATCGGATGTTTGATGCGGTGATCAAATCCTATAACATCAACCATACGGACACTCAGATTGATTGAACCAGTACCTTGCAACTGTCAAACATTCGTTTCTTACGACACCAGCACCAACACATGCACCATTAATGGCACAGATGACTGGTTTTCCACAGTTTTCCAGCGATGACATGACATCTAGAGATTCAAAACGTCTAAGTTTACCCCCGAGGATTCAATAAAACGGTCTCCCTCACCTTGCCACTCTTGGCAATGAGCTTGCGACAAGAGAATTCGACGAGGTGGATCAGTCTCATCGATAGGTGGGAATGCTTCAACTAGATCTAATCCGGCAGTGAAAGCTCTTCCAGTTGAAGAAATGACAACACATCTAACATCAGCATCTTTGTGTGCTCGTTTAAAGCAATCGTAAATGTCGTCCCAAGTCTTGTGAACTATTGCAAAGGGAAGGGATCGGTCATTTTGAATGTGTGTGTGATGATGTCACAATGTAGGCTAGTTTTAGCAAAAACAATCGAGGCTGCAGAGCTCTCACGTACTGAATGAATTGAGCTTGTTTGGGCGGTTCTAGAGAATCCATCACGCGGTTAACTTCAGGGTGTTTGATAATTCACGGGAAAATGGATTCTTAAACAACTTACGAGCTCAACGTGCAGGACAGATTCTGCAGCCCAACTAACTCGAATGGTAGTATAAGCAGGATAACCGCTAGCAACTTGAACAGCTGAGGTTGCCATCTTTTGGTCTTGATTCGGTATGTCTTGTCGAATGTGTTGGTAGTAGTTGTGAAGTGCACGAATGTTGTGGTTGAAAATGGCCACAACGAGGAAATAAACTGACATCTTAATCACATTACTTTATTTTCGTTATTTTATGTCAATCTCAATGAGCGACCGCTAAGGAACTCGTCTTCTATCATGTAGATGACAACCTTATTTGGAAAGGCTATAGTCTTCAGCACTCTGACAACAACAGCCACTATCTATGCCGCATCAAAATACTCGGAGAACCTAGAATTCATCAAGCCCATCACCCTTCTGAACGACACGCCACCTGTCTTCCAACGAATAGTCAAAACACCAAGGAGGTCGACACAATGGGGACTTTGGAGCCGTCCAATAACACAAAAGCATGCATCGCTCGAAGCTATAAGTCAGGCACTGTTTGGATCTACTGCATACAAACTAGAACTACTCTTGTCCAATGCTAAAGAAAAAGCATCAGCCTTCAAGCAAACTCCCGGATCTAAACTTGGGAACATGGTAGTGCTGCTACGTCCGTCTGAGGATGAAGTAATATATGAGTATAAAGCAGAGCCGGACTTTGACTTTATAATGTACCTGGGTATAGACAGATGTGAGCATGAATGTAGAGTGAACCTAGGGTTTGTGGATTGGTCGGATAGTCAGGTCCAGCATTTGGGTGAGCGTGTGTATACACCGTTGCTGCTAGACTCGGCTGCTCGTGGTTTGAAGTGACTTTTTGGTTGCTGTCGGTATATAAAACCACAACCACATTTTGCATATATATAGATAGTTTGTATATTAGATCAATTAACATATTTATTAGAATCCCTTGATTATTATTATAATAGAGGTTTTTATAGCTGAGTCAGTTTAAAGGTATCATCTCATCCAAAGGCCATTCGTTATATAGCAATACGAATACAGTCTTCATCTTGGCCTCTGAGCCATTCCAGTCCAGGTTCGCGTCGCGGTACGATACCCGGTATGCCTTCAATCATGTTACGTTCTGGCTCTTGCTCGTCATCTTCTTCACATTCGTGTGCTGCAGTCAAGACGAATGAGGAATTGCAATGATCACATCGAAGTCCGATTTCGTGGACTTTGTGGCCACTTTCCGCTGTGTATGAGCGGATGGCACAGACTAAAATACAGAAGATTATGTTAGTTTTGGAGTTCCAACACACTCAAACACAAAACACCATACCAATCATATCACAACCAGGTTTTACCACATGCATGCTCTTTCCAGGAAGAGCCAATGCGGCAGAGGATACAGTAGGCGACGTAACAACAACATTACACTCTTCTTCCGCAACTTCTTCAGGTATTACTGGAGCAGCTACGCTACGCTGCACAATCTGCTTCTCACAAGTCTTCTCTTCTTGCACCACTACATTTCTAGCCTCCATAGCTTCCTGTGCAGCCTGCTCTTTAATCCACCCCTGCAGTTTCCGATGAGCAGAAGCACCGTTGATAGTCGCAAAATCCTCCCACACATTCTTGAGACACCGTACGGTCAATTTCTGGTTGGTTAGGTTATACGGAAGTCGGGGCGTGCTACATCCCGGCGCGGGACTCGACATTGGTCCTGGAGCAGTAGCACGTAGAGCTGATCGGGCAATGGCGCTTTCATCTTCTTTTCGGGTGTATGGGATTACGGTGTTTGATGCTGGAGCTGATTGGGTATGTGGAGGCGTGTATGGAGAAGCGGTTGCTGGTTTGGGTTCAATGACCCTAGTAGATGAAGGTCCTCTATTCCTAACCGTTCTTGGTTCTGCTGCGTGTGATGGTGTTGATGCGGTGGTAGCAGCACTACTAGCATTAAAAACTGATATTGGAGACGCGGGAGCGACGACAGGTGAAGCTGCAGTAGCAGGAGACACCACACTTCCAGCCTTTGCTTTTACCGGCACATTCACGCAACTCGGTTCCTCAAACATGGCAGCAAGAGACTCCAATTTAGCAGATCGTCTTTTCATTGAAGCGGTCCTAAACAATCCCGTTGAAGCTACTGGTACTGCTGTTGGCATCTGATTCTCAATTCTTGTCACTTCAGCAGCTGGAGCAATAGCGCTAACGACAGCAGGAGAAGAAGGTCTGCCAGCCAAATTCGAAGCATATACACCCAGCACACCATTCAGAGACGGCCGACTCTTGGTTTGTTTCTTTGGCATTAAAAAGCTATCTTCACCAAATGCCGATGATCGTTGTTGTTCAAAAATGGCTCTCATGTCTTTGATGGTATTGGAGGTTGGTAATTCATCGTCTCGCTTATTAAGGGACCATTGGGAGCCACTTCTGGATAGTGATGATGCTGCAGATGACAGCATTATGGAAAGCGTATCGATGAAAGAAAGCCTGTGAATAAACGCTCTTTAGCGAGACTAGCAAGTCTTGAAGATATTCAGCCCCGAATGCAATTGCTTTGTTCCTTCGTAGCTACTGTAGCTTCTACGTCCAGTTTGTTCGACTTGCGTAATTCATTGCATAGCAACTAAACTTTTCTCGCAAAAGCGCAGCATGTTTCAAGACCTTGCAAAGCGCCAACATTCTTCACTGTTATTGTATCTATCAACACTTTGCCTCTCTGTTTCTCATCCGAGACTGGTCAAAGCGAGTCAATCACTTCAATCATCAACGTATGTCACAAGGGCTGTTTTTTATATACATCGACAAAGATCAAAAGTAACACATCTAATACAAAAGCTGTTCAAAAGCAACTCTCTTACTCTGAATATGATTTCTCCTTGCGAGATCTTTTGGATTTTCTACTTGCTGCTCCTCCTCCAGCTGTAGTACTCTTGCTAGCGGCAGTGCTGTTCATTGACCGGGTAGAACGCCTCGTCGTTCTTGTTTCATTGATTTCAGTCTCTTCAGGTTTTATATCACCTTCTTCATCGTCTTCTTCGTCTTCATCATCGTGTTACGAGGAGGATAAAATGAGACGATTAGCAACGAAGACGGATTGAACAAATTCATTAAACAAAGCCAAATACAAAAAGGCGTATTACCTTCTGTATCTTCAATAGTCGTAGTAGTGGGCTTCTTACGAGACGATGAAGCAGAAGCAGCAACTTTAGCGGCACCTCCAGCCTTCTTGTCTGCCTTGTCTGACTTTTTCACAACGTCTTTATCAGGAGAATATGCCCATAACTGCTTCAATTCACCTCGAATTAAAGCAGTCAGTAGCACTGACAGGGTACATGCTGGTGACAGGTACAAAAGTGCAGGCTAAAATGTCCAAAAATCCAATATTAAAAAACAAGCGAAAAAAAAGATGGCAATACCTTTTTGATAACATACCTGAGCAGTTTTCGTAGTATGCATCACAGCAACAGTAGTGACCAATCCAATAGCATAAGCAACAAAGCAAGCTGTGAAGTACGGTTTAGGGAATGCCGTGCTGCGAGGATTTTTACGTCCGTTCTGAGTTTGCTCATAGTTGTACTGCAGGGTAGATGTTTTGGTTTGGACGGATTAAAGATTTAAAACACTCGATACAGTACTCAAAAACAGTACCTGGTCAAAGCGGAGACAGAGAGCTACAAAGATGCCTGGAATGACGATATCACCTAATCCCAACATGGTGAATTCATTCCCTTTGGCGACACCGGTTGTTATGAGTGCTACTATGTCCTTTGGGAAGACTACTTTGATGGGTGCGTCGAATGATTTTGCGACTGTGACCATCACATCTGTTCCGAATACCCAAAAGATGTCCTATTATGAAACCAATAAGTTAGATGAGAGGTCATGATTTGATATACACAGGCCTTGTAATGACGTACATAAAAGAAGAGTCCAACAAGGAGAGCGATTCCAGTCAAGAACGAGTCTAGATTGAGCATTGTCACAGCTGATGTAGCTAATGCTTCACCATACATATTGGATACAATCCATTGTTTGGTCATGGCATAGTATGCTCCAATAACGATAGAGGATGCCAGCAAGACACAATGAAAGATCCCAAAGTGAAACGATAGGATTTCTGTACTCAGGATAATTTGTTATCTTACATCTCAAAAAGGGACACGTTAGCTTTCCGGGCTTACCTTTATGTTGCTTAAACATTTCGAGTCGATAATCACCCTTCAGCTCCCACCCTGTGGCCTTCCGAGCAATAGCCAGTCCACTTTTAGTGAGTGCCCCTACACCAAGCAGTGCAAAGTACGCTATATATGACAAAAAAAGGGGAGCAGGGTCAGAAAAAATCTCAATCTGTGCAGTAGAGACATCTTCTGAGGTCCAGAAAGACCTCACTAGCAAACTCTTGATTGTTGATCGTGATCTGACCTGTCAAGACAACATTGACGTATGCTTTGTCAAAGTATGTAAACAGAAGATACTAGAGAAAGAGAGAGGCCAGTTTGAGGCATTCAGATTTACAAAACCATAGGAGAGCTCAACTCGACGGATTCAGAATTTTAAACCAAAACGAGTGAGAAGCAAAACATACCAAGCTGAAAAGTGTAGCAGAGCCCAGAATGGGAAACATCTTGGCGTCTTCCAAACTGAAGAATTCGACCTCCTCGTCGTCTTCTACTGGTAACAGAGGAGCAGCAATTCCATTAGCGACTTTTCCAGCCTAGAATTCGTGTTTGAAAATGTGAAAGCGTGGGTTAGATCAAGTTCATTAACTGTATCATTAGATCTGTCTGCTGTATCAATAAGTTCAGTGTTTTTCTATAAAGATCTCAAGTTTCTGATGCCTCTCGAGATCAACTAGTGTTTTCACTTACAGCCTACCTACCTTTTTGAATTTGAGACTGGCAAATGACCCAAAATAGATCGGAATAACTGCCATGACTCCTAGTGCAATGTACCTGAAGAAACCAATTCAGAAGTTTTGTTTACGTTTCGCGATGTCAAATGAAAGGAGCATAAGAAAAGACACTTACGCAATGAGCAGGCCATCTACTACTGGCAGAGCCTTTAAATCTACCGGTACTTCGTCCATTCTTGCTTTACTTGTAGCAATGCCTCACTTGTGAACTTGAGGTGTTGAGTTGAGTGTCAAACTTCAACGACGCGCTTTTAACACAAGATTCAAGAACAAAACCTTTATATTTCATCAGGCCTTATAAAACACACCAGTCAACTCTTAAACACACAAATTCATATAAAAACTCTCTACTTCTTCATTTCTTCTGAAGTAGACTTGCTGGAAGTGCCTTCATTTTCTCCAAAAACCATGGCACATTCTCTTTACCATCAGCACGCTTCAACTTCATTACGTGCGAGACAACCGCGGCTGCAATGAAGCCCTTAGCGAGGGATCCAGCAGTCCTGAATCGTTGGATTGTTACCAAGAATATTGGTAGCAAGACTGATTTGACGGGTATGAAGCCAAACATGGTGATGCTCTGATTGAAAATACGACAGTTAGAATTCCATAAAGTGTGTCCTCGCGTAACGTCAAGACTTAAAGTTGTACCTCTTCCGTCGCAGTGAATGCCCAGAGCCATCGTAGGGCGAACTCCAAGTTGGCAAACATGGTATATGGGACTAGTCCGTCAGAGGTGCTACCAACTTACGAGAGGTGCGGTCAGTCAAACTTCTTCCAATCGCAGTCAACCTTCATTCAAGTTCCTTACATCCTTGAGTTGCCACTTCTAGAGCCAACAAGACAGCACACAATGCAGCTTGAACTCTATCAAAGGTTTTGATGGAAACAACTGAGATTCTGTTCCGTTCTGCACATTCTCGTTCATCGTTCATCATCCGCTGCCAACGAGCGAATTACCTCAAGAAGAGATTCTCAGTAACAAGCCATTCAACCAACGTCTTCCTTGTGCCATCAGGTCGCAGCCTTTGAACTCCTCGTTTCACGACGATGCTATTTGCATAAGTATCTCCTTCCCCATTCAGGCGTCGTTCAACAGCAGATTGGTAGACCAAGATACCAACAACTCTGTTAATGACCTCGAACGTCGTGACTAGTGATATAAAGAGAGGTTGATCAGCTTTTTTAAATATCCTGACAAGTTCTTTAGATAAATTGCTGCAGATCGGTATCATTTCCACTTGACAAATGCTAAACGTTGCACTCACCGCCCAGAATAGCAAACCCAGTAATATTTCTATGCAGCTGCGTAGCTAGCTTGGGATGATACAAGTAGGTGCGCATGGGAGTGACATGCGGGAAGAAGGTAAAGCTGAAGTGTAACGATACACCAAGGACAGCAGCACAGCATGAAAGTGGTGCTGATTCAAAAAGATTTACGAGTCCTAGTAGTTGTAGTGAGGGAGAAAAGTGTTAAGTTAAACGGTCAATGCCAAATCCGATATTTGGCCGACACGATGAGGTCAATGTCTGACACAGTTCGTCAGTTACAATTGTAATAACGTGCTTGAAATTTGAAGTTTGCCACGGCCATCGTTAGGTCGAATTGCAATACAATTCTTAATTTCTTGAATTTTTAATGAGGTGAATTTGATGTGACGAACGCCCATCGTAAAGAAATGCGGCGAGAAAGCAAAGATCTCGATTAAGAAATATGAAATATCGATACTTACGTTCTTGCAAGACTGCAGGATCAAAGCGTTTCTTCACCGATTCGTTAGATCCATCAGAACGAGCTACAGCAGACATCTTGGTTCAAGGTTATATATGAAGTTGCAGAATTTCCGATTAGATTATGTCTAATTTATCTCTCTAAGGCCCTGAGTTGACTCCTCTTGCTTTAATGTCAAAACTAACAAAATACAAGACACGTCGAACACGTGGAAATGTTTGGAGGTTGACAGGCTGATGAGAACTCGGGTTCAATGGATGACTAGTGCATTAGTGGTATCTTATTTGACGATTCTGTGTACTGCATCTATCTTCTGAGCCTTAATAACGCGTCAGAGAGTCTATCAAAAGCTTTTCACTCAACGGCCACTATCGCAAACTACAGCCACTGGATGGAAAATGACTTTGAAGTGAGCATTGGCCCTCCTCGTTACTGAAAACCTTCGTGAAACTTTTCACCGCAGACAGCTTGACCCATCAAGCTCGCGATCACCATGCGTACAGTCCAAGATAGAATATGGATCAATAAGTTTGAAACAGTAAAGCCACAGACAGATCTACACTCTCCTCTACAATCCAAGGGCTGAGTCAAAAACTAGACACCACAACACACTGCCGTGGTTTACAGACTGATAATTTTGCAATATATTGGTTTTTACGAGATAGCAAGACTATTTATAATAGAGTGTTGTGTGTGCAAATGATAATGTTATGTTATATAAGTCGGATTATGGTTTTGAAGGCTTGTTCCTTGGATCCCAAAAGTGAAACTGGTTTGTGCCTGCCTATATGAATCGAAATCCTTCACGGGCTACTCGGTTCCTTTCTGGTTTTGAAGGCTGATGCACCGATGGCCTAATAGGCTGTCCCTTGTATGCGGAGAGAATACGTTGTGCTCTGCGAAAGATGTGGAAAGGTGTCGTGTGAGTAACCAGTTTGTCATATAGCGATCGCCCGTGAAACGAGGCATTGAGGCGACAATATGCAACACGAGATGACATGGGACTTACTTTGTTGGCTGTAGAACCATTGTGGCCCTTACGAACAGAGGTATCGGTGGATGCTGCATGTACTGCACGATGGCGTTTGTAGCGACATTAGTAGCGGGCATACTTGTAGAGGAATGGATAATATAGGCTGTATGTAGTTGAGCTTGTGTGTGTTGCAGCGGTTTTAAGTTCTGGAGTATAGTTCTAATACTTCCACTGTCTGTGATGTGAGACAAGATGCAGATCTGCAGTGATGCAAGCTGTTTTGACGGGTTTAGCGGCCTGATTGTGTGCAGAGATGCTTTAGAATTGGCCTGTCTCGTTTACTGTAGAGCGCTTGCTTACTTCTTGATGTTTTTAATGATGAGAATGTTTAAGTGTTGTCTTGCAGGTGACTAAGAACTAACCGGCAGAATTTCAAAAAACTGTGCGAGCGTCATTCTGAGTTAACGATAGGGTGATTTCATCAACTTTGACCAGGAGAGAATTTGTCCTGTATCCTCTGCAAGTGCTCTTCAAGGCCCTAGGCATCTGTAATCACGAAATAATGGCGATCGCCAGATGCGTTGCACTAAGCAATTAAGCAACTAAACTACTCCTCATTTCACCGCCAGTACACTCACGAAAAGTGCACCAAACATCGAAAGGTGGTCCACGATTACCAACTGTGTTGCCAACAATTAGTACACGAACCGTGGGTTTGCTGCTAGAGGCGACACATTCGATGTGGAAGTCGAAACAAGTTGCACTGTTCCAAACTTGATTAATACACGTACTATTACATCATATAAATGAAATAATCACGTATCGAATGAGTTTCAGCCCGTCTAACTTATTCGTTACACTTGTAGTTTGTGGCTGTTCTCGCCACTTTTTGTTGTTTTATCAGCGGAATCAACTTGTCAAGTAGCACTAGACATTGATTATTCTGGATATGTCCAACTCGAGCATTTGCGAGCTTGAACCGGGCGCCGTAAGTTTTCGAGTTCAGAGCCAAACCGTTGTTGTGTTTGTTTTTTGGATGTTGGACGTTCCCTACAGACAAAGGGACCTATTATCGACGATGAATTGTGGAATGGTTTATCGGTCATCTCACTTTTTGATATTGTCTTGGCGGGGTCCTGTTGGTTGATTATCGTGAATTGGAAACATCAGCCAAAACACACAATTTGGTGCAATCCCAACACACACGCATTTCTGGAGCCCGAAGCCAACATCACTTCTCATTTCCTTTGCAATCTACTTAGATCGAACCAGGCATCACATTCACTCAGCTGTTGAACGTAAGTCCATTTTCAAGCTTGATCCAGGTTAGATCCAGTTCTAACAACACTTCTTTAAGTTTGTGAATGAGGAGAGACACGTTCAAGGATGGATCATCGCTGGAGCCTGTGCCGCCCTCGCAACCACCTTGTCCATCATCTTGATCATCCGTCACCTCATCAACTACAACAGCAAAGATGAGCAACGGCACATTGTTCGCATCCTCCTCATGGTCCCGATCTATTCAATCATCTCATGGATATCATTCAGATACTACTACCATTCGACATACTATAATCTGATCAGGGACGTCTATGAAGCATTCGTGATATACAGTTTCTTTGAACTAGTGCTACTCTATCTCGGGGATGATTTCGATTCCCAGAAATTGTATTTGAAGAATAAGGAGAAGCGAAAGTTTATTATTCCACTTTGCTGTATGAGCTATCAGCCTTCATCGTCGACTTTTCTCACTAATCTCAAGATTGGAGTCATGCAATATGTGATCATCAAGGTGTGTTTCCTGTTTTGACGCTAGCCTCTATATCATGTTGAACCACTGAATTGCTTTTTGTGTTAGCCATTGGCATCTTTAGCGGCGGCAATTACCGAATCTGTCAACAAGTACTGTCCAGAATCCATGAGTCCAATGGTTAGCAATTTATTGAACAAGAGGTCATTTTCTTGTTAGAACTACCATTCTCAACCTGATATCTGTTTTTTTTAGTATGCACATTTGTGGCTCACGGTTACAGTGGCCCTCGCCGTCTCCTTAGCGATGTTTGTCTTGTTGACGCTCTATTTCACTGTGGAAGAGGACATCAAGGAGCGAAACCCCCTTGGAAAGGTAAGATGGTCAAAACCTGGCGGATCGGCAGATTGTGATGTTGCAATTCCAACACATTTTTGGTTTTCTCCTAGTTCTTGGTACGGATTTCAAGGCCTAATTTTTTTATTAGATGACTGATAACAAGTGTCTGATCCGCTGACTTGTTTTTCTCACATAATCCGTCTGTTACATAATAGTCAATCAAGTTTGTCATTTTTCTTACATTCTGGCAGCAAATCCTCTTTGGTGTGTTGACACATTACAATGTGCTCAAACAGACTGATTATTGGACAGCGGCCAACATATCTGTATGTGGAGTGTAACATCCGTGTATAACAACTTTGACAAGAATCTGACATTCTGGGTGTATACAGGGAGGGTTGCAGGACTTTCTTGTATGCATAGAAATGTTGTTAGCCGCCATAGCGCACTACTGGTGAGATTTCATTGAAGCCCTTGCCTCGATTGAAGTAGTGTACTCAACAACCACACCTTTCTCCTTCACCAGGACATTTGGAACTCGCGAGTATCGCAAAGAAGGACCAAACCGCTTCACAAACCCTCTCTTTGCGCTCTTTCATGCCTTTAACCCGTGGGACATTTTCTACAACATCTTCCTCATCGTGGAATCTCTCTTCCATTCCTGTGCTCCTCATAAAAAGAGCAGAGCAGTGCATTCGTCGGATGTAGAGATGGCACATGCAAGTCAACAACAGCCGCTAACCATGCAACAACAGCAGCCAACAACAACAACGAAGGGAATGGCAACTGAGAATGGCAATGGTGTATATCGGAATGGCACACCGAGTAGCCCAACTACAAGCTCCAGGAGCAGAGGAAGTCCCCCTGTGGTGAGAAGGGAGGAAGCAGGACCTCCTACGCCTACTAAAGATAGATAGAGACAGGATCTGTAACCTCAAATTTGCTTATTAGAGATTTTAGGTAGTAATACATATTATAATGGGTTAGTGACAAGAAGATCGTATTGATGTGGATGGCGCGTACGAGCGTGTGTGCAAAGGAACAAAGGAACGTGCATCTTGGCAAAAGATCGACTAACTGTCCTGATTCCCTCAGTTTGACCTGATTGTAGGAGCTGGGGTCAAACTTCAAGCTGAGCCACTTGTAAGTTTCGTTCACACAACAACAGCCCTGGAAATGCAACCCAGAGCGATATATAGCTGATTTGATACACTATACATTCACTCATTCAAGCTGGATTTCAGTCTGCAAGATACGTAGAAGGAACTGAACGCCTCCGAAACGGCAAACACAACATGATGTCTCAGAAGAGCCCATCAGTTACATTCGAGGATTCTGTAGTTCTCAGGAGGAACAGTACTCTAAAACGGGTATGTATTCATATTACTTAGCAGCCTCTACCGCATCGGGGCCTCACAATCAAGCCAAAAAGAAGCAACATCGGTGCAAAACCTACCGTTTTTTTGCACAACATTTTGAACCTTATTTTAGAGAGATCTGTTGCAAGCACCCTCTTGGCATTACTATATATTTCAATGAAACTCTATCATCTTTCGATTCTCTGTACTAACAAACTTTACAAAACAACAAAAGCTCACAAATATCAAGACGGTTTCGACACTCGGAGGCATATGTTTGCTCGTCAACGGGATGACGGGGACTGGCATACCGTTCATTGCACCCTTGTTTCAGCAAGCCGGGTGGGCAATCCCTATACTGCTATTCGTGTTCTTCGGGATTGTTGCTACGTTTTGCTCGCTGTTTATCATCGAGGCTATGCAGGCCATACCTGGTAACCGATACTTTCAAGTATGTCAGCACATGAATTGGATCTATTGGATCAAAGTGTTTTGAACGCACATTATGAGATTTTGACGGTCGTGGACGCTGATTGGAGAAACTTTGTAGGGCACTGTCGAGTTTGGTACTTTGATCAACTTTTACTTTGGTCCTGCATCACATGTTGCTGGGCAGATATTCCTGTATGGAGCGCTGGAATCGTCGGCTATACAGGCTATTATTTTATCTGCTCAGGTAGGCAAAAACAGACGAAATTGTTGTGTGATGACCTGGCAAACACAAACTTTTCGCTTCACACACAGCTAACCCTGTAAACTCATCTACGAACTAACATACACATCCTCACTAGACATTCGACAACATCATCATTGACATCTTCAAACGATCATGTGGTGTATCATTTGGTCCTGATAGTGGATGGTTTTGTGTTTCGGAATTATCATCGGGATCGCCATATGGAAATGAATGGATGCTTTGTACTGGTGGTTTGATAGTACGTAGAATACCGAAAACGCTTTAGCTACCGCGATCAGAAGTCGATAAAATCCTCTTTTTGTAGTTGGTCGCCATTCTTTGTGTTCCAATGGGACTGGTCGATTTGGACTCGAATGTCTGGTTACAGATAGGTATGTGCAAAGCGGAGACACTCAAGTCCTGTGTATTCTCTCTGAGTATTGCATCTCCCCTTTGTTAGTTTCCTTTGCCATCATGGTGTTGGTTTTTATACAGTGGGTGGTTAGTGGTGCATTGGCTGGATCCAATGGCAGTGTCCCTGCTATAGGTGCTGGATTTCAATCTGTTGTTGGTGTTATCATGCTCAACTTTGGTAAGTATGAGTTGATATGGCGTTCTCGTTTTTTGTTCTGACGTCCATGGAACGCGTAGCTTTCACAACGATTGTGCCGTCTTGGGTGAATATCAAGATGAAGGATGTGAATACTCAGGGGACTTTATGGTACTCTGTATCTATTGGTCTTGTGTTTTACTTGGTTATTGGCATCATTCGTATGTATCTGTTCGATCGAATGTTTTTTTTTGCGTCGTGCAATCACAAACCAATACATCGTTACTCTAGCTGGCTTGGCATTCAACATCCCAAACGGCTCAAACCTTCTCCAAGTGCTAACAACCCAAGGAGTTCCGCAAACCCTCTCAAAAGCAACAACCTACATCTTCTCCATCGTCGCTCTAGTAACCTCAATCCCAGTCTTTTTCATCGTCGCTCGTGATAATCTAGTTCAGAATCGAGTATTAGGAAGATCATCAGCAACATTTGTTGCATTTGTACTGCCATGGATTGTTGCGATTCCGTTTCAATCCGGTAGCTCGTTGACGTATTTCGTTAACTGGAGCTCTCTTATATTTACATCTGTTGCCAACTTTATTATTCCGTTGGTCATATATTTGAGGTGTCTCAAGTTTCGGAGAGGATATAATGAGAATCGAGGTAATGGCGACGATGAGAGCTATCGTGGTGCATTTCACATGGCCTTTGTTGTACGCGAGTGCTTTTTTTCGCTTTGAAATGCATCTCGCTAACACTACCTTTTATCTCTCTAGTCTTGACGGGACATCAAAAGTCACTTTTAAAAGCAATCCATTTTGCTTCGAATACCATTCAAAGAGGTATCGACGACGGGAGTATTGATCCAAACTATGATGGCCTACCACCTGTAACACCCGACACACCACTTCCATTCTGCTTCGTAGTAGAAGACACAACCTCTGACGAGGATACCACAACAACTACCAGAACAACAGGTGTCCGTCGTCTACCAAAATTGAAGACAGTCATGGAAACACCTAATATCGCAGCAGTAGGAACAACAACAGGCAGTGAAGACAGCCGCAGAGGAACAACGAGAGTATCAAGCACGTCGAGTCCACAGACATCGTTTACTGGACTACGTGTATCTTTAGGTGACGAAGAGCTACAAGAACAGCTGCAGCAACAGGAACAAGATGGTATAATAATAGTAGAAGACACAACAGATTCAGACGCATTCCCAACAACCTCAACAACCACAACAACGCTACATACACGAATAACAGGCACAACACTCCTAGTTGATGCTGAACCACTCCCGCAACGAGGTAGAGGATCAATACTGCGAGGTTTGCAAACCATCATGAGACCATCAGCTGCTGAACGAGACATTCCATTTGTATCTACTGGTACTGAAAGTAGTACTGTGTCTGGTACGGATGATGATGCTGCACTGAAACGAATTCTGAGAGATGATGTGCCGGATCCGGATCGTGATGATGAAGTGAGGAGGGGTGTTACGAATAGGTTGTTGTCGAGGGTTAAGCCTACTGGTGGGAGTGTTGCGTGGAGGAATGGGGATGAGAGGTCAAAGGCGTCGTATAAGAACAATGCGTAAGTGCTAATTTATCCATTTTTGGTTTAATGGAATGCAGTCTTTACTGAACGAAAAATCCCCGTTTCATTAGATTGATGGTACCTCCCAGCAACAACAGTCTACCATTCGTGACAAACATAATCCCAAACAACAACACCAACCTACCATTCGTGACAAACATAATCCCAAGCAGGAACCACAGTCTCCCATTCGTGACAAATATAACTCCAACCCCTGCCAGCCACAACAGACATCTTCCGTTCGTAACCAACGTCCCTTTATCAAGCATATACAACCAACAGCAAATACCAGAAGACACGGAAGAAAACCACGCAATGAGATCCCGCCTCTCCTCCCTAATACCACGTCGCATGAGAGGCGAAACCGTCGAACTCTCCACGATATCCGAATCTGAAACCCTCATAAATAACACCAACAACAATAACGACAATACAACTCTATCATCACCAGCAAGCAACCACACAATCACCAGCATCCACAGTAACAATAGCATAACAACACGACCAACTCACAATAATAGGAAGATTCAATTCTCATCGCCAACGTCACCAACAGATTCATCTTCAACGGGCCAAGGGTTTAATGAATTGGCATCGAGAAAGATTACGCAATTGACTGATGCTGGGTTTGTGACGAATACGGCGTTCAGGGCTTTGCCGAGTTGGTTACCTGTTAGAGGTGGGACGCTTGCGACAGTGTTTTTGTTTGTTACGACGGTTGTTACGGTGTTGAATCTGGTGTTTAATATCTTGCAGGCTGCTGGGCTTGCTCAGTGAGGGCGCGTGTGATAAAGGTGGAGAGTGGTGGGTTGTGTTATAATGGAAACTTAGTAATGTTAATTTTACAGTGCCTCAAAGTAGAAATACACAGTTGAAATTTGTACAATAATCTTTAGTGTCTTTGCGCTTTCGCTGGTAAACAAGTGTGTGTTGTTAATCTTACGATGGAAATTGTATATTCGTTACTCTATACCAAACTCCAACGTCAGCTAAATATATATAGTTTCTGTTCCTTCCTTTGCCATCCTATTGCGTCTCTTACATACTACCAAACAGATCATCAATGGCTCTTTGATCTGCACTCGACAACACACTTGACGTAGAAACAGTCGTGGTTCCTCCTTGTGTACCAACACCACTATTGCTTTTAACACCAGGAAACAGGTCTTTCAAACTCTGTGCTACACTGGCTGATATCGGTGATTGTGGTTGTCCCTGCTGTTGTAGTAGTGATGGTCTTCTCTGTTGGGCTTGAAGGGGCGGTGGTGGTGGAGGCATAGTAGACGATTGTGGTCGATTAGCGTACTGTTGGGTTATCTTCACTTGTCGCGGTTGCTGTTGTTGGAGTATTGGGGCTGGTGCTGAGGGGAGACTCAATGGCACGTTATAAGTCATTCCGTATGGTGTTGTTGACATGATCATTCCACCACCTATACTACCGCTATTACTGTTCATACTACTATTATTATTGCTATATGGATTATACGGTGCAGCGACTACAGGTGTAGCAGCAGCAACAGCAACTTTACGTCTCTTTGTTCTCACGACGGCCTGATTAGTCTCATACGTAGAATCGCCCCATCCCAATTCCGGAATCCTAGCTCGTTTCTTGAGCACCTCGTCTGTCACGCTTTTGGTCTTGTGTTCTTCTAGCACCACTACATTAGGTGTTGACACGTTATCTGTACACACTCTCCAGTCATGCACACCGGCTCTCCATACGTTTCCGATGCGAGGCTGGAGTTCGAGCCCTTGTTTCCAAAGTGCTGCTAGTAGTTCACGGGCTGGTGATATGTCTATTGTTGGAGATATGAAGACGAGAGAGGGAACTGTGTCGTTTGTGTTGGGTTGACTGCAGTTTGCTGCTGTTGTTGCTACTGCTGTTGTGGGCTGTTGAGTAGCGGGCAGCTCTGATAGAGTGGATGTTGATTGTTTGGTAGATGCGACCGGTAGCTCTGACATAGTAGATGATGCTTGTTTTGTAGTTGGTATTGTCGATGTGGTTTGTGGAGGAACGGCAGGCTCTGAGATAGTGGATGACTGTTTGGATGATATTGTTGATGGTGGTGACGGTTCCTGCATCGATGGTATAGGCGGTATAGTCATCGTTTTCTAAAAGACACAGACAAGTTTGAGTCGAGATGTTGGGTAGATGAAGAGTTGACACAAAGAAAACCATCACGATATGTCAAATGTCCGATTAGGAGATAAAAATGAACATAATCTTTATGTTTTGATTGTCGTTGCCAACACTTTCAATCTCCTTTGCAAAAAAAACAGCTGGATAGTGAACTCACCGTCTACGAGCGCTTCTCACAGTAAGGCTCTAATTCACTAAATAGAGTCTTGCAGTTCTTGGATCGGTATATCAGAGCTTCTTCTTCCTCCTTTTTGATCCTTTACTTCAAAAACAGCCTGTTGTATCCCTCGTTGATCAAAACGCTACTGAAGATTGAGAAGTTGACGAAGAGTCAAAGCACGTTGCGGTTTGACATATGAACTCTATGAAAACGAGAATGGATACTAATGCAGCATTGGCCTTCCATTTGACCGTGTTGTTGAACGAAAGAAAAACAAAAACAATTCTAACTCCTTTCTCGCAGGGAGACATCAGAACACGAACGTGATCTTTGCGTACAAAATTGCAAACTCAGATCCTCAGTCATGTTTTCAATAACGCTTTAATGCTATTGCTTCACTTTTGGTGGACTGAAATTGTATTTGAAGGTCCTGATTTGCCATTCGCGTTTTGAAAGTGATGACTTCAATGGTTTGGTCATTTCTTCAGGTATTTTGTTTCCAAGAAGTACAAAATAACAAGATCTAGTATACAATATATCAGGACTAGCTCTTAGGACGCGTCATTTGCTCTCAAAAGAGCCCAACGATAAATATAGAGATAAAAGCGAAGTGCCAGCAACTTGATCCCAGGCGAATCGGCATAGCTTGTGATAATCAGTGATTTGCAACTGTGTGCCGTCCATGAAATACAACCAGGGGTTGGTAATGTCCACAACTCGACTTCGTAAAAATCGAATGTCTGGTATCCTCGACAGCAAGACGAGACTAGACTTCTGTGATTAAGTAGATCCTTTCATAAAATTGTACTCGACTTGAGGGATTTAGCCTAGTTCTTGGTTATTCTCGTAAAACCGAACGACATTCGTCAGCGAGATTCTGGTTGCACGTTTCTACCGAGACACCAGTCATAGCTGAAGAAACTCCGAAAAAAATCATGGAATTTTCAGAAAAAGTCTAATTCGTGCATTCTACTCTTTGATCTACCGGGATGGGTGTGATCTGTTCAAAAAATGTAGAGTCAAGTTTTGGAGGGTTAATCTGAGGTACTAAAACCATCTCATTGACTCACGATCCAGTCGTGGGTACCTCAAGATAACTCATTCGGTCTGGTTTGTTGGTTGGGATTTGAAAATTAGATTCAGGAGAGCGCAATAAGATATCTGACGTATAGCCACCCAATTAAAAATGAATGATGCAAGATGCCACATGGCGGTTGGATGCTGCTTCGCATTCTGTGGTGTGGCTTGTTTGAGTAATTACCGGGAAACTGAACGCGACTCAGTTTTTTCTGCAACCTTCAGATCCACTTCCACCAGAACTACTCGAATCATACAAGAACGACAAGGAACGAACAAAACGACACTCTTGGTCTACGCTATACCATCCAGATCTACCAGCCAGACTACCATCGAAGCAGTCCAACGAAACCACCACAATAGCAGCCACGTCAGTCACCACCGCTAGTTCTTTTCTCCACAACGTCAAACAGCAACCATCAGACAAAGTAAGTCGCGGTTCTTTACTACTGTGGGGATCCTCAGATGCCCCCTTGGTCGCAATTCTTTACAGATCGTGTGATTTCAAAGCTTTTGTCGCATCGGCTTTACCAAGCAAGAAACTTGGCGAAACTTGGCTGAATAACCATCGCACTCAACTAACCCAAAAACATTTACAACAGATCGCACTCATATAACTGTAATCGTAATATGGAATCACTATCAATACTACAGGACTCGAATATGGCATCGGCCAACGTGTCGTCTAGACCACATCCGCACCTTCAGGTACAGTCACTAGAAACTTGGCACCTTGTGTCTTTGGTGGTAGATCGGGTTCAGGAACGAGAGATCATGACGTTATGTTTCCTAACAATGCTACCCTCGACTAGATCGTGACAAAACCCAGACGGATCCGAACGCAAGCAGTGAATATAACAGTGAAAGATATACCAACTCTTCTGCCACTAAACGACTGGGCAGTCACTCCAACGTCAATCCACACACATCCGAATAGAACTCGTCTTTGATATACCAAAGGCGCTCGTTGTTATATAGTAGTCAAGTTTTTGTTAGTCATCAGCCACGTATATATTCTATTTAGTCACTTTTCAAAGCATTGCCATATACAAACACAATACATATAGATTCACGCTGCATATTTAATGATTGTTGTAATGATCCGGACGCGGTTTGAGGCGAAAGAAAGTGGTTGCCAAATGAAGTGCAGTCGAATTGGACCATGACCTTTTTAGTACCGATCGATTAGAAAATTTTCAGAGTGGTGAGATTGTACATAATTCAATACTATAATGGGACAGCTGAATCCCCACCGAACAATGCCATAATCTTGCGAATCGGGTATGTTTTGTTGCAGCACCTCCATCACTTGAGAAAGTACGTAAAGCCGGTACATATTTTATGCACTAAATTTCGATTTTTTTATAAAATTATCTTTGATGATCGTCAGAATTGGTTCAAGTAGAAGAAATACATGTCTCACTTGGCCTAGCAACAACCCACAAAACCCACACAAAAATTCACGCCCAGTCAGCCCGACAACGAGTTTTGGAAAACTGCCGGAAGCCGAAATACATGTTGGTGTTATGCGGGTTCTTTGACTCATTGAGTCTCCAGGTATTGTAAGTAGGTGGCCTCGTCGTGAAACGAATGTTAAATTCGCTCATTGTGCCTTATAACGAGATAATCAGTTCGTTCTTGTTCGAGTTGCCGTAGGGGCTTTGTATCTCTGCGTCCGGTGAATTCAGTGAAGGCAAGTTGAGTATTGATAGAAATAACGTGACGAGAAGCCACCCAGAACCGAGCAGACTCAATTCCCTCTTTCACTAGGGTACGCACTCGATTTTATTGATACTACTACAGTGTTTTAAGGCGCATAGGTCATAGTGCTTCCACCTTTAGCTAAACGCTCAGGCAATCTATACTTGTAAACCAAGTTGACCCATTCAACCATCAGTTCGCGCGTATCAGCCGGTGAAACCATTTCTAGGATAATTGGAAAGTTATTGAGATGCAGCTCATAAAATCACCCTTGTCACATCGACCAACTCACCTTCAATATCAAATGCCTCAGCAGTCAAGAATGGAGACGCAACTTCTCTGAACTGTTCCAACAATCGTTCTCGAAGTGAAGGATCCTTGATCAAATCTTTCTTGTATGCAGCTTCAATACCACCCTCTAGTGGAAGAGATCCCCATTCTGCGGACGGCCATGCGCAACGTACGTTTATGCCTCCGCCTTCGACGTTACCGTCACCACGACATCCTAAAGAATGGTGGATTAGACGATGTGATATTCCAGGCATCGTTGACGTTTGTATTCTTACCCAAAATGGCACCAGCAACACCATACAACCGTCTAACAATAACCGTATACCATGGGACGGTCGAATCGTATACTGTGACTGCTAGTCTTGAACCAGCACGAATTGTCCCGGCAGCTTCGGCCTTGGTTCCAACAGCAAATCCTATTATCGAGAAAGATTGGAAATAGTCCCAAAACACCTCCAAAATGCATACAAACCACAAACCTGGACAATCGTTGAAGTTGCAGATAGGAAGGTTGAACTGGTCACAAACTAGTGTATTCAAAACAATGAGAAAAACCTGTCTTGCCATGTATTCAAACCAAAACACGCCATACTTTGAACGAAGCGGTTCACTTTGTGACAAGCAGCAGCGGAAGTGGCTCCTCCATTGAATCGTGGATCACCGGCAATCACACCCACAGACCATCCATCGAGACGAGCAAATCCAGTTATGAGATCGTTACCCCAGTGTGTTCCAATCTCAAAGAATGTGTTGGGATCCATGATGGTTGACAAGTAGGCTGTTCGAGGATCGTATTGTCGTTGTCTCTTTTTGGGGATTGCGTTGAGGAGTACGGATTGATCTGGTTTGAAAGTCTCAGTGTCAGAAGGAACAGCTAGAGGATTCTCACAAGGAAGCTATTATTACCTGGAATAGCTTTTGGAGGAGCGATTCGAGCCGGTAGCTCGTGCCTATTGGTTGGAAGGTACGACAACCATTTGGCCATGGTTTCGAAGGCTTCGAGTTCAGAACCAACAATGTTATCAAATGTGCCGTTAGCACCCATGATATGAGAACCACCAAGTTCTTCCTTGGTAACGGTTTCAAACGTTGCGTATTGGACGACTGGTGGACCTGCACTGGAGATTTTGTTTGGAATTGAGCATTTTGTACACATTGCATCAGAATAACAGTTGCTTGAGACATACGCGAAAAGTTGACTCAATCCAGCAACCGCTACTACGAAGTGAGTAAGCGTGGCTCGTGCTGCACCAGCTCCAACTACAGGCACCGAAAATTGATGTTAAGGGACTTCAAAGAGTGAGGCTCAGCAGTATTGGAAATGATATTCAAACAAGAAAAAGGCATCAAAGTACCTGCAGGGCCCAAAATACAAGCTCCAACTGGAGAAATCTTCAGAAGTCTGTTCATGATACTGACTGAAGACATAGCAGGAATATACGTGCGTCCAGTACTCAAGTATGTGGTCACGGATCCACCTCCAGAACTGCCGTCCAATAATCTTATCAACGGCAAACGGAGTTCAATTGCCATTTGCTCCGTGTAAAGCGACTTTCTAGCGATTCCACCATCAGCATGTCCACCTTCGAAGCAAGATGAGATTGAGCAACGTACCGCCAAGCACAAGAAAGACTACAACACTACATACCACGAACAGAAAAATCATCAGCACCAACAATCACGTCCTTCCCTCGAATCTTGCCTCTTCCAGCCACGAAGTTTGCTCTCACAAACTCTTTAAGCTTGCCAGTCTTTGGATCTCGAATTGCTTTCCCAGCTGTAGAACCCCATTCACGCAAACTACCAGCATCCAAAATCAAAGCTACACGTTCTCTGGCAGTGAGTTTGCCTTGCAATCTCTGTCTTTGTATTCCTGGGTCTTCTTCGTTAAGGACCGCAGCTAGTTTGCGTCGTGTTTCGAGTTCTTCAACAGCATCCTATGATATCAAATATAGAGGTATGAGCACCTGCAGGATGTGGTTTTTGTCCTTGATGAACACATCGTGGAACCACAAAACAAATTCCACCAAAACAAGAGTCACACCAAATAGTGATCACTCTGCTTTGAACCAAGATTGCAGCCGAAGAAAACTTACGGCCCAAGACTCCCTTTTCTGCTTCTCAGCTGCGAGAGCCAGTTTGCGTTTCGCTGGAGTTTGTGTTGTCGTTACAGCTGCTTCTAGGACATTGGGAGCAGCAGAATCCTTCTCGTCCTTATTGGCCGAGCTTATGTGCTTTGCAATCGAGTTGATGCGTTCTTTGGCCTTGTCCATTTCTGCTACTTGGTGTCAACGTTGTGACTTTCCGTGTGTTTTTGGAAGTACGGTTTAAGCTCAAGGGGGACGATTAGAACTCAAATTGTTTGCCAAGCATGCCTTATTATATTACATCATGTATTGATTATACGTCTTTATTTGAGAGGATCAATGCTGGTTTTCAAGTGACGTATTGGCATAAACTCATTGCAAACTTAAGCAACATGGTTTGAAGTGTCAACCAACAAGGGAAGCCTCGGAAATCTGAAAGAATCGCATATGCTGAATCAGGACGCGTCGTCGCGGTTATAGTGATCAGGAGTACTATTGGGATATTATATTCTTTTGATTTGACAAGAGATTGAGCTATAATATACTAGAAAGGACGTGATTTTCTGCAACTCGTGATGTATCTTGATATCAGACGCGACAATCCACTGCACCCTGACTCCACAAGAAACAAGAACCCAGTGTATAGCGTCGAATCATTCGACCCAACCAAAAACCCTCAATTCGAAACATATACACATCAGTCCCAGCAGGTGTTCAAGGACAAGACGCTAATCGCTGGCTCAGGACAGAGTAGCTGATATGGCCACGGCCGCCACTGTCTCGCCTGTCGAGTCTCTAGGGGAGAGACTGGGCCAAATGAAGGAGGATGTTAAATTGGCAAAGGATTCAAGGACGGCCGATTTGATCTTTGGGTCTGTAAGTTGCCATCCAAATTGCATTGATACATATTCATATGCCACGTGTAAAATTTGGTGGCTGGCTTCTTGTATATTGGAGTTTGTGGGTGTGGCAATCCTATACATCTGTTGTTTGCGACTTGCCACGGATTGTTTGAACTACCACGTTGTGGAGGGGGGAGTTTGAGGACGCATCTCTGGTCATTGCGACTATGAAAACAGAATTTATGTCATTTGGAGTCCACATGGATGGTTTTTGACACGTCATATGCTTTTCTGAAGGTGGCAGGCTTCACTGGTAAAATTGTGGAATTCCCATTTGATACAGTCAAGGTTCGTTTGCAAACGCAACCACTACCGGAGCCTGGAACGGCACCACGCTTTCGAGGTGCCATAGACTGCTTCATAAAGACTGTCAGATCAGAAGGTGTTTTGGGTTTGTACAAGGTAAGCGGGGTTTGTGTTCGATACAAAGCAATATTCTAACCTTGATTATTACCAGGGCTTGTCGCCACCTCTGGTTGGATCTATGGTCGAGAACTCGGTTCTCTTCTTCTCATACAATCATATTCAAAACCTCATACGCACTCATACATCATCCAATCCCAACGAAGCTCTGTCAGTCCAACAACTCGCATTGGCCGGTTTCCTATCCGGAGGGGTAGTGTCCTTCATCCTCACTCCTATAGAGCTCGTTAAATGTAAACTACAAGTACAGGACGTCAACCGGCTATATAATAATAATAATAATACCAATAATAGTAATACTAGTAATGTGACTACCAAGCCATCTATACCATCACCAACAACATCACATCCAACACCAAAAGCACGTCCACCACGAATACCATTCTCGGGACACCCTTCCGAACCACCGCCGCCACCTGTCACTACTACCACAGCAACAACCAAAACTCCACTTGTTTATAGAGGACCTATACACGTAATTTCGCATACAATCAAAACGCATGGGGTTGCTGGACTCTACCAAGGCCAGTTTGGAACCTTTTTGAGAGAGGCTGGAGGTGGTGCTGCATGGTTTGGTGTGTATGAACTTGTTTGTCGATGGATTGTAGACAGGGATGTCAAGCTGAATGGGAAGGAGGACCTGAGTCCTATTCAGTTGATGGGAGCTGGTGCTCTCGCTGGCATGGTGAGTGTCGTGGGTTCTTTAAAAGATACATTTTTATTTTCTCTACAATTAACACATTCCCCTGCTCTACATAGTCATACAACGCAGCCCTCTTCCCAGCAGACGTAATCAAATCCCGCCAGCAAACTGCAGAAGAACTGGGCCTGAGTTCATCATCCACCAAGATTGGACGAGACGGCAAACCGAAACGACCATCATTCTTCCAGGTTGGACGAGACTTGTACCGCGGTGAAGGTATCAGGGGATTCTATAGAGGGTGTACCATTACTGTCGCGAGATCTGCACCTACTTCTGCTGTCATCTTCTTGACTTATGAGATGCTGTCTAGGAACTTTACCTTTTAAAAACAACAACATATAGACAAAAGCAACGTACCAATCAATTCACTATCGCACTCAGCTGCATTGTTTATGTAATAATTGAAATGAACATATATCCTCAAACACACACAACAAAGAAGGTCTTGTCCAATATGATTTTATTGGTTTCGAACTGCAGTTTTGCGCTGACGATGGGAATATGGAATCATCAGCAGAAGAAAATCAGATACGAAAAGTATTGCCGTCGCAGACATATAGTGGAGTTGACAACATTGGGGTTTATGAGATAAGCAAGACTACGACATAACTACAACATAAAGAAATCATAACAGAGTTATATAAGAGGACACCACAGTACTTCTCACCACCTATTTTCCAACGCTGTTGAACGCCCCATGAAAGCCAAACGGTATTACATGGTCCTTTTCAAACCCAGCTCTCGCAACCTCCACAAACGTATGTGCATCCAGCACCAGCAAGAACGAGCTCCCTTTACTAGCATCCAACACCACACTCAATATAACTCCATCATCTTCAGCCGTGGCATTTGGTGAAGGCATGAACACTGGTTCGCCTGGATAGCAGTGTGGTTCAGACCATACTTTGGCGGCGTCAACACCTGTAACATCCACTTTACATAACGCGTCGATGAAATCCGATTTGGTAGAGATGCCGTATACGTATTGGTATGGCTTGCGGTGGTAGTGCGGGTTGAAGCGTGGGAGTTCGACGCCGACTGTTGATATGATCTATGGGAAAGAGGCGTGTTAGTGTTTGTTGAAGAAAAAACAGGTGACCTGGTACATTCATATACCGTGAAAGAAGCCTTTGGTGCCTTTGATGCTGCAGATGGCGTCAAGGTCGCATCATTAGGATCATGAGTTTTGATAGCCTGACTCAAGTTGCTCAAGACGTAGCGACGCACTCGAGGGAATTTAGTGAGACCACCCTTCTTGCGCATGTTGTTTAAGTAAAAGTCCGTTACGAGGGTTGCGTCGTCTACCCCACATGTGCTAGTGAGTTGGTTTGTCTGTGAGCTACATGCTTCCAGTGATAATATCTTTTTTCGCTGGCGAAAACACTTACTCAAAGATGATATCGTCACCCGCATCCCATGCATTGATTGTGTGGAAAGCGAAGAATGAGTCTGTCACGTATGTCTAAATGGAATTGATAAAGTCAGTGTCTACTATGTGACTGGGCCCATTTAAAGCTAAGGCAACTTACAGCAACGTGAGCACCACTCTTTCGATCAACGACAGCTAGCCGTGTTTCCTTTGATCCGTCCCAAACCAGCGAGTCCAAAACGTTTTGGTGCCACAGGACAGACACGCCGCCGATTGATACCGAGTACGGGTAAAATGGGATTACGATGCTATGTGGGGTTTCCTTTAGTTTTCATTTAGTTCAGCATACGAAGTCAGACTATAACTTACTATTTGTCGGTAAGAGTAAACGAATGCACATATGCAGGAATACAATTGTTGATTGTCACAAGCAAACGTCCCTTGGGGTTAGCTTCCGAGATGGTGAATAAGTGGAATTTAGTTTTTGGTCCGAATTCGATTGTGTAGTTGTAGTATTCACGGGTGCCTAACATTGAGAAACATCAATAACACAATCCAAGACGCTGGCATAAATGCTGCGAGAGTAGACTTACTAGCATCAAACTGATGATGAGCAGCAGACAATGCACCAGGAAAAGCCGGATTGATCTCCGTATAGTTGAAAACTCGCACAGGTTCCAGCGTGACTGGATCCAATTCTTGCAATATGTTGGCATCAGTTTTGACGAGTAGCGTTAATGGTTCGTTGCCCGTGCTGGTTGATTTTCGGGCTGATTTGGCTAGTGGGTAGTTTAGCGAGACTGTAACGCCCACACTAAGATACATCATAGTCATTAGGTTAAGTAGGCTTTGCGTGGTTGAACAGGAACTCACTTTGCAGAATCAGGTTTCCCAGAAGACGCAGGTCGTGCAATCCCTGTCAGTGCCGTGAACGTCGTAAAGACCTTCTTGAAGAGACTTCGACAGATATCACGTTGGGCGAAAGCGACACCAGAGATTCCAGATTCGGAAATGGCTGCTTCTTCGCCGTTTGCAGTAGCGCGAGAAGAGTACCAGACTGATCCGTCTGTGCGGATATCGAAGCGATGGATTACTGACATGCCCTGCAAAAAGCAGAGAATGTAGGTTGTGAGATTTTAGATGCACGTCTTTAGATCGTTGTTGTCTGGCAAGGTGGAATACCACCACCAAAACAAAAGTTCGTAAGAGACGGAGCACTTACATCAAACCAATGGTGAATCGAGTATGTTTTCTTGCCAGTTTTAGCTTGAATGTCCTTGGTCAATGGGATTTCGAATTTGGAAGGCCCAGCTCGGAACAGTTGACCAGCCAGCCATTCAGGTAGATTGCCAGTCACGTGAAGTTTAACTGGGACTGGCATTTCAGCAGAGTTTGCGAGTCCAAGCCCCCATTCACCAGCGTCTTTTGCTGATGGAGCTTCAGGAATGTATGGTACGACCATGATTTGGAACTAATAATGAAGAAATTGGAGATAATATCAGATTTGAACATGGGTTGAAACGTGCTGTGGTAGTGGAGAGGTGCAAATCAAGCGCTCAAACCACCAAAACGTTGTAAAGTGTGCCTGTGAATCGCAATTCGACAAACGATGACCAGATAAACCACCTACTGGGGAGATAAGAGTCTTGGTAAGGCTCTGACACGTTGTAGATTGCTTCCGATTGGGTTTTCTTGGTGTGATGAAGGAAGAGAATTGAGTTATCTGAGTTGGATAGTTCACAACCGCAATTGTGATTTGAAAAAAGCAAAATGGAGTTTGATATCCGCATGTACAACGTGGTGCGTGGTTCTGAGGTATATGCTCGCCAAGGAATTCGTATCAACAGTCGGCAGTGCCTACTTTCTCAATTGAGATAATTTGATCCAACTTCCTTGTATGCCATCTGCGAATCGTCCCCTTGTGTGTCGAGGCTGTTTGTCGAGGCTGTTTGTAAACGATACAAGATATGGCGAATGCAATAGTGACGCGTCAAATACGTTTGCAATTCAGTTTAGACCATCTTTCTCGTCCTCCGGTTCGTGCCTATGGTTCTTAGCTCTAACTTCCAACACTTGACTTCCATCTACTTCCCACATTTTGCAACTTACAAGAACTACGAAATGGCCACTCCAGCTGCTCCTGCTGCTGTACGTATACAAGTTGAATCAATTTTTATTATGTGTGTTACTAACTACTTTGTTCTCTATTGATATCTCTCGCATATGAACATTTCTCGCTTGGCATTGCAATCACCATCTTCATGTTTCCAAACTTTGAATATTGGCACCATGAATATTATATCCAAATTGAAATTTATTATCGTGCCCCTTTGTCATCGTAACCTTGAACTTGCTCCACGAATGTTACATGCAAATCGACAGCCTCTACCTGATTTCGTTCAACCAAAGCCCTTTGGTGTATGTTGAACGTCTGAGAAATTCATTTTCATTACAAGCTGAGCAACATCTAATATGTGTTCATCTTCCCATTCTTTAGGTAAAACTGGAAGCTGGAAAGGTTGGTGCATTGTTTGCTTTGAAAGCTGCATTATGCATGGAGATCTAGACCGAAAAGCTCATCGATTTCGAGTAGGAATACTATTACTGTGCCTGTGGAAAGAGTGAGTACTGGAACGACGGTCGTTTGTGGTCGACGTGTTTAGATTCTGTCAAACCGGAAGCATTTGAGTGTTTGGCAGATATTCATCAGTTGATCAAAGTCAGCCGAAATTTTGTCGTCAGTTAATATTGTTGCCATCAACTGAGATTCGACAAGACTTTGACAATATGACGATCTGAGATTCCACAACGACGATACTGACCTCGTTGTCCACTCACTGTTTAGGTCAAAACCAGCCTTTCTGTGAGTACTGGACTGGTTATATGTAACAAGAACGGTGGTACTCGCAGTACCAGTCACAGCTGCTATCTACGTCGACACGACATCCAGTGACCTCAACTGTCTTTTTTGCTGAATTCAAACTTGCTAGGTGATGGCTCTCACAAGGGCACTGAATTCAAGCCCAAGGCCTTCAAGGTCGAAGAGACCAAGGACTACTACTTGTGTGGTTGCAAATTGACTGGAAATGCTCCATTTTGCGATGGTAATGTCACAAACCTTTTCTTGTTAAGCTTTGTCGAGTTCTGGTTTGGTATTGACATCTATTATAATGATAATTAGGTACTCACAGACAAGAAGCTGGCGTCAAACGTGCGTTTTATTTTGTCGCTGGTTGTTGAGACCTTTGGCTTACAATGTCTTTCGGGTCGTTTTTGAAGGATACAATGAGTTCTTGCTCAAGAAGAACACTGAGTTGAAGGCAAAGCTCGAATCTTCTGAGAAGCTCCAAGTAAGTACAACGAACTCATATTTTGTGTGTTTCACTGAGAAGCTCTGATGACTTGGAACTGAATGTTCAAACGTGTATTTGCTAGGGTTTCCTGGGCGCTGCTGCAATCGGTGGTCTCATTGCAGCTGGTCTTGGTTTAGTGGTATCCAAGATGCAATAAGGCTGTTTAAGGTTTATAAAATGCCTACAAATATATCAGATCAGAGCAGGGTTTCCGACATGTAAAGATCCATCGCGAAATGGTGAATAGTTTCGTATGATTTCGAATGACCCTCTCTGTTGGAATGTTCCGAGTTTTGATTCTTGCGTTCAACTCGTCCTGCAACATTTGGAAAGAATTCAAAGTTACTTTTACGACGAATTCAGGCCTCGGAACCATAGTTCAAGACAGCATTCATATTGATACAGGGTATGTTCAACTGATTCAGCTTGCTCGCTCTATTCGGAAATCTGTCATTTGGTCTGGTCAAGCGTAATTGTCAAAGCTTATTCTAAAGGACAAACCACCAATCGAACGAGGAGCTCTGCAGAGCGACGAAATCACCTGCATTCGTAAGTTGCTATATTACATATGCGTCTAGCCTGACGGAGCTATTGTATGCCCTTTTCATTCAAATGGTTCACCTCAAATCAACATCATACATTCCCATCTTTCAAACATTTCACAAACACAGCTAACCTACATCGTTTCCCCATAGATTCATATAAATCATCATAGCAGTTTAGATCGATCAGATACATATATCACAGCAGCAGGCTAGCCTTTCATCCATAATGCCTGCAGACAGGCCGAAACGAACTCGCGTGAGAGTCTCAGTCATGTCCCCAGATCCAACACCAACTCCCTCTCCATCGCCAGAATCGCCCAGTGCTCCAACCAGTCCATATGACGTCGATTCGGTGCCTGAACCACCACGTCCTCCCGTCTCATACACTCAACCACACAATCCTGAAATGTGTGCATTGGAACTAGTCGAGCATGAGATTGACTGGTCTATACTACATCCCACTGAAAAGGCGGCAAAAGAACGTAAAGGTGCTGCGGCATTCAAACGATCTGTGACGGGGTTGCAAAAGATTGTTAATGAGAAACTGTATCGAGTGAGTAGTGTTGAAATGAGTTGCTCTGAATACGAAGAATTTGTGCTGATACTCCTTTTCTTTGAATGAATAGGTAGTAGCAACCTCTGTGAGCATACTCTTTCGCTGCTTTGGGCCTGCAGAGTACTCACAACTTGTGTTCATCATAGGTGCAAGCATATTTCAAGAATCGGTTTGATTTGACTAGAGCTCAAGCTTATCGCTTCATTGATTGTGCAGTTGTTCTTGAAGTAAGTTACGGATAGATATTGAGTAGAACCAAGTCTCTCATCGTCACCAATGCTTAACACGATCTTCATGACCTAGATCCTCACTGGACTGAAGCATCCTACAAGAGAACGATTATGTCGCTGTTTGAAAAAGACATGCCCAAATAAAGCTGATATGAGAGCTGTATGGATCAGTGCTCTGGCTGAACGACAGAATGATCCTGACAGAGTCAACTCGTCGTTGATTGAGAGTCTTGCAGAGGAACATCATAAAGACGCTGCAGGAGGAGGTTCGAGTAGTCCAGTCGCATATATTGAATCTGGAAATCCAGTCAGCACCCGAGTTAATGGTGCCTTGCGAAAGGTTACCTCTACTGGATCCATTCTCACTCCTGACTCGACCATGGAGGGCGAACATAGTGAGGAACCACAGTCGGATAATGATATAGTGCAACAGCCGCAGCAACATGAGCCACAATTACAACATCATCAGCAGTTTGATAATTCTCATTTGATGGTCGGGATGGATCAGCCAGCAGTATATACATCACCAGAACCTGTCGTAAAGCATGAAGGCTTAGGAGACCAGCAACATTACCTGGCACCACTAGCAGCTTCCGATGACGATAACTCTTCTTCATCATCCGAAGAAGAGATCGACACTGATGACAGTGATGTATATGTTCCTAAGCCCACCGTTAGTAGATCCGGAGGAATACGTCAGCCAAGTGCTCGTGGTACTCGTGGAAGACCAAGAACGAGACCGCGATCTCCAGCATCCAGTGTAGAACCTCCCAAACGACGAGGTGTATCGGTAGGAAGTAATGGCAGTGGTGGTACTCCTCAACCAGTTCGTAAACCTCGAGCTGCTACTCTTAAGAAGCTGCAACAGCAAGCGGCAGCAGCCGTAAAACGGGAAGCAGCCGCTGCAGCGAAACCCCCTCCGATGAGTAATCCACAGCAACTAGCTGAACTAGTAGCTTCACAAGGACAAGTTGCTGCCAATATCCTACAGCAATTCAGTCAACTTGGGTTTGATTTGCAGCCTCGAGTAGGTCAAACCTGGCGTGGTGGTATTACGGAGTGGAGGGTGTCAACTATAGCCAATCCACCAGCTGGTTGTATCGCTATTGACGACCAAGGTGATGTCATGGCATGGGAAGGTGCTTCAGAGGCTGAACTGGAGCGAGTTATGAATGAGGTGGTTCATTCTAATGATATGGAATCTGAACAATTGTCAATGGCGCCAGCTTCTCCACTAGATATGATGTACAATCCCTATAACATAATGATGCACCACCCGTCTGCTACTGCTAACCGAATGATGCACCACCCGTCTGCTACTGCTAACCGAATGATGCCACCCCCTCATCCACCACATGTAATGATGGGTAATAATTTAAGCATTGCTGGCAATCAGATGATGAACCTGCCACTGGGTGCAGACTCTCAATATATCAGTAATAGCAGCAGCCATCTTCAACAGCCACTGCACATGATGCCAACGCCACCTCCAACGAATGCAGATACGACACCATACGCTTCTCGTGTACCATCGCCGAGTCAAGGATCAGGGCAAGGCCCATATGATTGGGCTGCTCCAGAGGCCGTCAATGCAGCAATGATACGAATCAATAGTAATGGTGCATCGGCTGCATACGCTAGGCTAACCACCAAACAACAGCTCCCTGTACCACTTAATCGACCACTTGAGAATAGTGCTCCCAGTATAGGTGGTTACCAACAGCAACAGACTCCACACCAGGAGCCTTCTCATGGTGGCGAAGAGCCTCTCTTCTCTGATCCATACTTGCAGCCGTTTGGAAGTCTAGGGAGACTGGATGGTGGTAGTGGTGGTGAACAATAATTACGATCGGATTTCGAAGTGATGAAAAGGCTCATTGAGGAGAGAGATTGGAAGAGAGAAAGTGTGTTCAATTTAGGGGGTGTTTCTGTGGATTCTCTTTATATTTTGCGTTTGAAGGGGGTTTGGACTTTGTTAAATTAGTTGGATGATGTGTCTATTTTCATAAAGAGAGAAGATGAGGATGATGAAATTGTATGTTCGGTAAAGGAGCCCAGAAACGAATCATTTTGTAAAACAACATTTTGCATCAACACAATAAGACAAGAAGTATGATAATACGTAGTGGCATAGCAGATTCGAATTTTTCTGGTTTCTTCAAGAGTTTTCTATTCTAACAAATTTTAAATAAAGCAGGTACTGATACAAAAGTAGGAGGGACATGGAAGCCCTCACTAAACTAAACACCAAAGAAATATAAGACCTAAACAAAGTCCTGTACTCTAGAGCCAATCAGTAAACCGAATAGCGTCCCTTTTATACGTATTGTTCTTGTTGCTATTCTATTTGATCCGGTTGCCAGCCAAAAGACGTAATCCAGTCGCAAAGGCGGTTCGAGGCATGAGCAGCCATCCAATTCCAAAAGTTACTCCACCCATCAGATAAACCCATTATATTGTATTTACCCTGTTCTACTCCGTGACTAGGGGATGGCTCAAGAGACGTGTATGGTGTCGCATCCGGATTCGTTGCTGGTGGTGTTGACATCATATGTAGCGGTTGTTGAAGATGTTTGGTGTTGTTACTGATAGCTTGAGAGTCTCCATCCACTAGCATATCCATTACATGACTGTCAGCTGTACTTGGACCACCTTTATTACCCATCATTACAAGACGAGTATCAGGCGACAACATCCTTTGGTTGGCAGTAGCAGACGGATGGTGCATCATTATGCTATAGGGACCATACATCATGGCAAGTGAAGAAGCTTGCATCATGAAACGGGGTTGAGATTCCAAACCATTAGAATGAGCTAACTCGTTCATAGCTGGCTCCAATTAAGATTCTCGAGCACCTTCCCATCGCATGAAATCACCTCGGTCGTCAATAGCGATAGAGACTGCTGGTGAATTGGCTATAGTTGATTGCGTCCTTTCCATAACATCATCAGGCCAAGTTTGATCTACTCGACACTGTAAATCAAATCCGAGGTGACTAAATTCCTGTACGATAGTGGCACCAGCGTGTCCTTGTGAAACTACTAGTTCGGTCAGTTGCTGTGGATTACTCATCGGAAGAGGGTCGGCTGCAGCGGCTGCATCCCTTTTTACAGCTGCTGCTGCTTGCTGCCCCGGCTTCTTTAGAGTAGTAGCTCGAGGTTACGAGCTGGTCGAGGACTACCATTACACCTACCGATACACCACATCGTTTGGGAGACTCCACACTGGATGCTGGAGATCGCGGTCTCGTCCTTGGTCTTCCACGAGTACCACGAGCAATTGGCTGACGTATTCCTCCAGATCTACTAACGGTGGGCTTGGGAACATATACATCACTGTGGTCAGTGTCGATCTCTTTTTCAGATACTGAGGAAGAGTTATCGTCATCGGAAGGTGCTGGTGGTGCTAGATATTGCTGCTGTTTTCCCAAACCTTCATGCTTTACGACAGGCTCTGTTGAAGCAAAAACTGCTCGCTGATCCATCTCGACCATCAAAGGAGAATTGTCGTCCTGCTATTGTTGTTGTGACTGTGGCTGTTGGTGCTGCTGTTGCACTATATAATTGTCTGATTGTGGTTCCTCACTACGTTCACCCTCCATTATCGAGTCGGGAGTGAGTGTAAATACACTAGAAGCAACCTTTGGCAAGACACTATCGACTCGAGTGCTGGCTGGATTTCCAGATTCGACATATGCGACAGGACTACTCGGGCCTCCTTTTGCAGCTTTTGCTTGATGTTCCTCTGCAAGAGTCTCAATCAACTGCCAGGAAAAAACGTTCCAAGTGAGCAAGAAGCTACAGAAGACCTCCAACTAGCCAAATTCACATACTGAGGAAGATTGACATGTGCATCACACGTTTCCCAATATTGGATTGACCCAGATAGTCGACCAAGACCCTGCCATTCGAGGTAATTTCAAGGTGGATTGTCAACGAATAGCATTCTGAAGAGAATGACCAACGAGTATTCCCTTTTTCTCGATCCATGTTTGGATTTTCCCAACGATGACATCTACAATTAGTTCCACGTACTTGGTGGACGTGAATGCACGGATATCCTAACATTTACGATTCGTCTTGGATTTACTTGCCTTGAGCCTTGACTTGAGTACTGCACATTTGGACAGTGTACTTGAAACCATAGTCGCGGAGGTGTAGTAATACTTGGATTCCTCAATATCATTCATTGATTGCGAACAGCCTTTATGGTATATTTTGACAAATGAGGTTTTGACATAATGTTAGTTTCCATTAAATCTTCCGAGTACTATATCCTCCTTCACAGCCCCTTCAGCTTCCTATAACGTCTAAATCTAGCTATCGTTCCACCTTGTCTCAGCATTCACGACCTCCTACTGACTAGCCTCACAGCACGATTCCAAACTAGAGTCAAAGCAGGTCTCTTCTGCAGGCTATTCCTATTACGATGCCAGAGAGCCAGCTCTCTAAGCCCGCCAAAGATGGCCGTGTCTGAAATTGCTCCAGACTCATCCACCAGCCACCTATTCAAAATATCTTCAAAGGCAATAAACGGAAACAATACTGGCTGCGGAGGTTGGTGTAATTGCTGATCGTCAGATTCTTGTTGTTGTCGACGATTCAACTGTCTCCAAGCCTTCTTCAACCAAATCTTTCCTTGCATTCCAAATTTAGAAGAAGGGCCTGATCTCATCATTACTTCATCTAATGCAGGAGCAGCAATAACATTATTATCTCGAGCCACAATATGATCTGATGATCGGGCGATATTGTGACGGTATCTGTGACGATGAATCCATTCTTCACGTTCCGCATCACATAAAGCACACACTTCTCCTAAAAGAAACCCAGTTTAAATAGTGCGCTTCGGTTTAAAAATGCGCTATCGATATAAGCACCTTCTTTTATTCCGTGACTCCAATACCATCTAGCCTATGTATGAAAAATGGTTGAATGAGTGCGTTTACCATGTGGAAAAAAAGGCTCGCCATGCTCTCTATATACCTCAACATTCAGATGCAGCCTGATGGGTTCAGTATCAAGTCCAACCTGATCAACCATACTCAAGAATGTCGATAATTTATGAGGTGGTATCAGACACACCGGAGACGTCGGCCGTGAGAGTTGTAGCTTTGATCGCGAAGGGGAAGATGGTGGGCTGTTATTGCTAGCCTTCTCAAACCGTTCAGGATGCAGCATTCTAAATAATTTACCGGGAGATAGTGCGATGGTTGATATTTGTAGAGGATGTGAGGTTGATCCCCATCTGGGATTGATCAAGGTATCTATATCGTGCATGTCGTCGTCAGCCGGTGGGTCTAGTGAAATCAATCCACTGGGTGATGGATGTAGCATATCACTGTGTCTGCTGCCTGGACGACGAGATGGTCCAAATGAGTATAAGAGGGCTGTTTCAGTGCTTAGTAGTTTACGTATGGGTTTAACTAATTGCAGTCTAGAATCAGATTTTGGTGGTTGGGGTATCTGGAATAGTCTAAAAGGACTTCCAATCGATCTATCATGGCAAGTTCCAGTGTCAGCTTACAAACAGCGGATTCAAAAGCACGAGTTCATCACCACCTTATGCCTCCAAATGCACCCTTGATGCAAATTGCCCCGACCAGATCCACGGTTGGAGGATAACCTCTTCCTATACCTTCTCCAAGTAATGTAGGAGGAGACATATGGAAGCCAACATGGACTGATTTGGCAGGAGCAGGCGGCACAAAGTATAGTGACTTTGCTGCAGGATCGTATCTGTCAAAGACGAGCCAAGATCCAGGAGCAAAGGCTGCACCTATGATAATATGTCATGGATGAATATTGAATTCCATGTTGTCCTCTTTGAGATGCAGTCTGAATGTGCGAGCTTTGGGGTTGTCTCCCAAATGTTGAAATGTTTGATGATAACCAAGCTTTGAGGAGAGATTACCTCCGAAGTCGCCGTTCGATAGTAGTGGTAATATATATGTGATCCTTAGCTTCAAGCTATCGGCAGCTAGGACTCTAGTTAACAAGCCTTCGCAAATGGTCTTGTATCTTGAGGATAGCCTCCTAAGTCGCCATAGATCGATTAAAGAGAGAGGTACAGCCGTGTATTTGAAGATGAGCTCGAGGATCTCGGCAGGTAGGCATTCCATCCTCTTTGCTCCAAGCTGACCTGTCGTTTTCGCAGTGTGTTGATCAAAACCAAAAAGTTTACGGGCGTCCAATCACGTTGAGTCTTTTGTACTTTTCGTGGATGCTTGGTAATGGGGGAATGATGATGCAAGTGCTGGATCTGCTGTATCTTTCGATTCAACGATGATCGAATAGTCGAAAGTTTGATTGCTTGCCGGAGTCTACGTTGGTTGATCGAAAGATAGTTCTTGGAGTGAAATCCAATGATTTCATGATTTGACGGTGCAAGCACCTGTCATCGCGTCGGCCTACACGACATAAAACCATTCCTCCATAGGTGTGGGTTATTAGCTGATTTGGTAAGCCAAAAAAAAGACCTTCTGAAGGGTTCAGTAAAAAGTGAGCAAAATCCAAAAACCCATCCCTCAAAAGCAGCATTCAACAAGCTGTATACAACAGACACGAGACAGCTACCTACTGACACGGCCTACTGGCAACGCACATCGATGCCCGCTGAACTGCTCCAAGTGTCCCAACCTATGGATGTTGGCCGATATGGCAGCTTCAAACAACGATATGCCTTTGGAACATCGGCAAACAACACTGCTGGAAAGAGCATGAGCGAGTAAGTACACATATTCTACACTGATACTGCACATGTCATACATCCTGCCTCCCTCCGCCCTCTTGTATTTGGCCCCATCTGTCTGCATCCATCATTGCATGTCAAAACATTCATGTGTCAAAAGTTTCTCTCCATGCAAGCTTCCGTCTCCCTTTTCTGATCAACCAGAAGAGAGACCTGATATCGATTTATACATATGCACTCTCACTACTGCATGGCAGTGGAGGCACCTTGTTGCTCCTGAACATTATGCAAGCCTCCCACCCCACACCACCCAAATCCTTTGCAAAACTTAACCGTCACTAACCACAAATCTTAACCCCATCCCCTTCTTTTCTAGTTACTTTATGATGTCGCAATTCTCAACTACCCCAAGCATGGCCATGAATGTCTCACCCTCTCCTCGCTTCACCGTCCTCGAAGACAAATTCTGCAAGAATTTCACGTGTTGTGGCCTGGAATTGGACGATCTGCATATGCTACTACAACACTTTGAGGAAATCCACGGTAGAGAAGATGAAAACATGTCGGACGATGAAGATGCCGGTGACGATGATATGCCATTCGAGCTGGAAGGAGATGCAATGGATGTAGACATGCCAACTCGTCCACAGACTATTACTACTGTTGTAACTTCGCCACAGGATAAAAGAGCATCGCCACCGCCGGGAAATAATGCTGAATTCACTACTACTTTATCAAATCTCACCGAAGTCATTCTCAAAGCTCATATACAGGTACTGTGACACTTTTTGGTCTATGACTCTTATCCGACCAAACTCACTTTATATTCCTTCTCAATTAGAATCAACAGCAACAGGCACAGGACCAACCTGATCCTGCCACAATGCAGATTGTCGCCCCGTCCGATATCTACACTCCCGATACATCCCGATCCGCTTCCCCAGCGTCATCTCGTAGATCCGACAGTAATCAACGCAGTAACTCTACTCCTTCTCCTCGATCATCCGCTCAACGCAACAAGAACCATAGTAGTAGCAGCAGTAACGCCAGGCCAGAGAAACGACATTCTACACCGAGTTATGATTACGATATGGATGCCGAAGACCCCGATTCAGACACTGTCTCCATCGGCGGTGTAGAAGCAAATATTAACTTGCCTGTCATCAACATTGTTGAAGCTCCCGTTGAACGAATATCAGAGAGACCGTCGAGACGTGTCTCGCCTGTATTGGATGAAGACTCGATGCAAGCAGATCGACCGTATAAATGTAAGATCTCTGGTTGTACGAAGGCTTATAAAAATCCTGGCGGTCTCAAGGTATGTCATTCATCTTGTCGATGATGTGGGATTTTTTGTTTGTTACATTCATGCAACGTGGCAGTGGCTTGTTCCATCCACCAAAAACAATAAATAGGAACCTATTGGATCTAACATATAAACTCGTCGTATCTAGTACCACATGCAACATGGTCACTGTGAAGATACTGGCGACCCGGAACTCAACAATGTCATCCACAAGCCTTATCAATGCACGGTTCCTGAATGTGGCAAGAGATACAAGAATCTGAATGGACTCAAGTATCATATCGGTATGTTCTAAATGTTCTATGAAGGAATCATCCAGAAGTTTCATTATGGTCTTTTTTCCCTCACTTTTGCTTACATCGTTTTTCATTTCCTTTAGAACATGCACATGTTGAGCTGTTGGGTTGAGTCTTCTGGTTGCCTATCTTATTTGTTTGAACGATTGGTAAGATACCCATTCCTAGTTCATGTTGTGTTGCAAGTCTGTATGATGCGTATACATCTCGAATACAATTTGCTAACACCACTCGCTCTTCTCTTCCATCAGATTACACACTCTATTACTACTACTTGTACAGTAAATTACGTCCGGAAAGAAAAACTTATTACGGTCTTGGGGGGAGAAAGGGGAATTCTTTTGGTTGAGGGGAGGAAGGGGGATTCGGTGTTATTGATCTTGGGTTTGGGGGTTGAAAGAAAGAAAGAGAGAGAAGAGAAGGGATTTACCGAGGGGATATTTACCTGGGGTTGTTGATTGTTTTTATTTTTTCGCTTTCTTCCCCGTCGTTGTTGTTTCTTTAGATGATATTTTTAGAGCCTTTACAGTTATAAAGTTCCTCAATTCGAGTTTCTGTCATACTTTCCTTGCATACCTTCGCTTTTTGGTGGTGGTTGTTGTTATTGTGTGCTTGGAGGCACTAGCTGCAATATTTGTTTATAGACCATTTGTGAAGAGCGAATCATGAAACTGGTATGCCAAGTCTAAATTCTATATTTCTATGTTGACAAAACGAGGAAACGAGATCTTAAATAATAAGATCCATCCAGAACACGCCCACACAGAGTATCAAAGGTTTCATGCTGCCAGCCATGTCCTGTGAATCATGTAGATCTCTCCCAGTCCCTCATCGCCCAGAGACAACAGGTACTGGTCAAACCCATCAAATGTTGCGTTGATTGCATTTTTGGCAACGATTGGTCCGTCTAGAAGTGGTGGTAAGAGAGATGATAAGAATATTATATGAAGGTGTGAACCCAAAAAAAAACCTCGAGTCTGCAATGGATATACACACCCCAGAACTTGTCGTGAATTTCATAATCCAATTCATCCAGCAAATCTAATAAATCTCTTGGTTTCCTATGAAGCAAAGGGCTGAACGATAGATATTTCTTAAAATTGACCCATTGGAAGCCAAAACTTACGAGCCAGCTCGAATCAACATAAAATTAGATGTCTCGCTCTTCAAAAATGGTGGCTTCACATCTTTGAAAAAGTTGTAAGCCCCTTTCATCACATGTGCCTCAAATCCTTCCGTATCGAGCTTGACGACCCCGACATTCCTCAATTCAGGCACCACAGGCACGATTTCATCAAATTCCATAATCAGTGTAGTGCCCATCAATGAAAACCCTTCAGGAATATCAGATGCGTTTACATTATTCCCACATTTAACAATCCCATTCCTAGAATTTGTCATCAGAGAATATGCCAGACACACAGATCGGCTTCCATCTACACCACGTTCACCAAGCCCATAAGGAATGACTCGCATCAGTGGGTGGAAGCTTGGGTTTTTACATATTGATTTAAGGAGCGACGCTTGGTTTTGGCCCATCATTTCTACAGAGACAACGTTGTACCCTGATGCAGCAGCTGAGAGGGAAAAGAACCCAATGTTGGCTCCAATATCGAGCAACGTGACATTCGTGCCTCGTTTCTTGGCAACTAGTGCAAGTCGGTCGATTACAGATCGGACTTCGCGACCCTCCCATTGGTTTGTGGAGATGATGGAGTAGGAGACAATGTCGTCTTTTCCGGCCTTGACGACCATTTCGAATGGGTTCCCGGGCATGGAGGTTATGGTGACTTGTTGGTAGTCAATGTATTCCACAGAGTTTGACCATTGGCAAGTGGTCACTACGTGATTTTGGTGGTGCTTGTTAGTTGAGAATATAGTAGATCACAGAAAGGGACTTGATTTGGTTTATATGTGCGTATCCAACAATCAATACAGCGTAAAGATCAAACTTTGTGGTGTTGTGTGCTAAAAACAACCAATCTGAACAGCAAGATGCAGTACATGAACTTACGCTGAGTAGTATCAGCATCCTCCATAAGCTCCATTGCTGTCATACTCAGGAGACTCCTACTCGCACGATGCACAACATGTTGTTGAACATGAGGTTTCGGTATCACTGGTTCTTCAACTCGATGCGGTTTCGATATTACTGATTCCTCTACATGACGAGTAAGGACGTTTTGGGATCCAGTCCCGTTCCTGTCAGGGAGAGAACGGTAGCCTCTAATAGGATGGTGAGTCTTTGTGTGAAAACGACGACAGGAAATTGTTGCCATGGGACAGCTTACTGCATTGGCGCACCAGGAAACAGGAGCCAGATACAGAGGACTGCTAAGAAGGAGCCAGCCACAATCCAGAAAGTTCGTTCGGCTCTCATGGTAGACCTTATCACGAGTAGCTGAATTGTTGATCAAAACACACCAGATGAGATGAGATGTTGTCAGAAGAGATGGGGAGCTTGCGTCTTGTAGATCCCTTGCCAGAGATCAGAGTGGATGGTTATATTTGATCCCAAACAAGCAATGTCCCTTCTTGAAAGCGTGCACAATTTGGAGCTCCAAAAGGCTTCTGCGAATCAATACCGAATGTAATAAGAATTATTACATAACAGATTAATAATCACGAATCACGTCAATTGCGACCGTTGAAGGTTTGGGTGAGGACTTCGGAATGCTAACTGTTGGCTACAAGCTTGCCAGACCAAATTCAGCAGCAGTAAAAGACGCAGCATCACCGTTGCATCTGCTTCTTTTCTGACCACTGCTGCTTGTCCAGAAAATTACTGTCTTGCAAAAAGCAAGGGTCCTTCCAGCCAGGCTACAGTCAGCATCTTTAATACTTGGTCAAGATACGGACACAGTCAGCATCTTTTATACTTCCTCCGGCGTTTGCATGGACCTTGTCTCCAATGCAGTCTGTGAGTATATATCGAGGCCCTAGCAGTCGTCAAATAGCAGAAATCCTGGGTAGATTCCTTATTCCTGTAGAACCTCAGCAAGTCAAGTCTTCCAATTGTCCATGAAAAACAGCCACAGGCGCCTCAGCAGAAGGAAACATAAGATATTTGGGTCAAAGAGTCGAAGATATGGCTATATCACTGGCAAACGCGCGAGAAGTTGGCATTTGCTCCAAGTTGTTTGCGTTGTTGGCGTCGTTCGCGTACATCTCGACAGTTCCACAGCTCAGGATTTGATCCCTCCAGTACAGGAATTGGGTTGACGTGGTTTTGTAGTTGTATGGTGTGCGTACTATCCAAGTTCTATCACCGTTCTTGGCCCTCATCGCTCTGTATGTGTTTGCAGAAGGCACCCCGTATCAACAATGCAAGTCAACTAGGAAGAACTAGACAGCCTAATGTTACAATGGCATCCTAATAATCCTAATTAAAATCATGGATTATGGACGCGACTGACGCGAAAATTGCAAGTCCTCGTGGCTTTCTTTGATCACCCAGTTCATCAGTTCCTCATCACAGTAGTAGGGTCCCTTGTCCTCGAGTTCTAGAGCACTGCTTGCAACCGTGGTTACCAACAACCGCGGGATCTTGCGATGACTTCAGACAAGTGTAAGTTCAGCTGGAACGATGTGACGTCGTCCTGGTGTTAGGCATTTGTTTCATCATGTTAATCATGTTCCTACGTAGATGATGTAGGAAGAATTTTTCTCGAACAAGCAACTGCACTAGCAGTTTTAATGTGCTCGCAACGGAATCAAGGAGGCTACAGAAAATTGCGATCATCTGTGCTCTCATTATACCAATCGTTGTATATATGTTCCTTCCTTTACCTGGGCTGACATCAGCAAGCACACCAGTTCGAGAAAATCTGCTCATTGCAAACGCTTTGCAATTCTTATTCAATATGAGGTAACGGGAAAGAACTGTCTACTCCCAATTTGGAGAAGACGGTATTCTGGTGAGCCACTTCTCGTTTTCAAAACACTGAAATTACCGTTAACCCCGTTTTGCAGGATTATCTATTCGATAACTTGGGGACGACAAACAAATACTACGTAGAGTTTGGTACTCAGAATGCCACCCGATGTAATACTCGGAATCTATGGGAAGAGCATGGTTGGGATGGAACGCTAATAGATGCAGGTGGTATTGGTGAAGACGCTCGTATCATTCGGAATCATTTCGTCACAGAATACAATATTGTGGATCTCTTCCGTAAATATGACGTGCCAAAGGATCTGGGTCTACTTTCTGTTGATATCGATACTCAGGACGTTTTCGTATTGGATGCAATTCTACGTGCACAATATCATCCAAGGGTCATTGTGACTGAGAATCACAATTTCAGATACGACGAATCTTATGTGCGTAGTGGTTTGTTTGTTGCTTTGAAACTAATTGTGCCTTGTCTATCACTGAACACTAGTTTCCATATAGACTGTTGATAGAAGTCGTTCAATTTGGAAAAATGATCCAATTTTCAGGTTTTCTCCATTAGCCGCTGACCGACTTTGTAACAAGTGGGGGTACCGCTCGGTCTATATGGAGTCTAATGGTAAACAATTCGTTTGAATCATAAATTATTGTCCATCTTCAGACTCACTCACCGTCTCGCAAACAAATTTCCAGGAGTAAACGTGTTCTGTATCTCCCGCACCGTCTTATCGGACTTCGTCTACTCGAAAACCAATATTAGACTAGATCCAAACGAGGGTCAACGAGTACATACCCCAATACTCATTCTGGTGGCAAAAACACACTACAGTTCACACCACCAGTTTGTTCAAGTTCCGTAATGAATACTTCAGACAACCAGTCTGGATGGAAGTCAATGAGCATGGTGTAGCTGTCAATCGCACCAAGTTTTAAATAGAGCATTGTAGTTTGTTGCTTCAGATGTACCTGTATCTACAGGAACAACCCCAAAATTTAAACAATAAAATGAAACCATTATTACATCTATTCTTCTCGCAATTGACATGTAGTCCGACGGGGAGTTTCAATCGAGCAATGAATGCACATTGGGATGCACCTTTTTGAAGTTATGATCATTGTATCTTTGAATATGAAATATATACAAAAGTGCTGTTCAATTTCGTTGGATTATGTGAAAAAAAGATCGTCGACAGACATATTCTGTACATACTCGAAATTAAATGTGAACAGGCCGAACTGCTTCCATCGCCACGCTTTGAAAATCTTTTGAAATGAAAACCCAATCAACGAGATGGCTTGCCCTTGCTGCTCTTGCTATTGCCGTGCTATCTCTGGTGTCGTTTTCACCATCCTGTTGTCTCAAATCTGAAAAATTGCTGAACGAACACACACAGATCGACTGCATATCCACCATTAAACACTCTCCTATAATACCGCACCCAGCTGCTATATCTGCTACGAAGTCTGACTCGGCCTCGCCTGCTTCATCAGACATTAAATGCACTTTCAGTACTCCAAATCTCACCATAGTAGGTCTTGACTTACAATATTCTTCCTGCCTGACCGAATATGGAGAGCATTCGTGCTCAATATTGTTTCACATTCAGTGCCTTGTGGGGTCTTTGTAACAGATAATCGATGCTGATGACTTTTTTTACTGTTGCAGGAAGCAGCGGCCATAGTTCCACTGCCTAAACCTGAATTCTCGCTGCTAGATGCATGGCTGAAGGGCGAGAGTGCCCGCTACGGCCCTGCCCCCAAAACTATACCGGACACTTTACTTTCAGAATTCACCATGAACGACACAGTACCCGTTTTTGATGCGTACATTGATCAGGCAAGCGCTGATTTCCGTGCCCTACAGTTTTCGATATCTAAAACTGTGCACGTTCTGAGTTGATTATGACGCCCTAACTGTTTCAGTCAATCAACTACTTTTCTCGCAGGCATATTTGGGTGGAAAAGCACTTGCACCGGAGTGGACGGTCGCCAAGGTGGACGAGATTCGAGCCCAAACTCGCGCTAGGAATATGACATTTAATTATAACTCGAAAGATATATATGACGCATATGATGTGTTTGCACTATCTGTTATTAGAGGCAAACGAGGACTCGTTATTGGCAGTGAGTGGCCTTGGATGGAGGCCATGCTGCTAGAATATGGTGCCGAACACGTCTCCACTCTAGAATTCGGGACGATAGTTAGTCTCCATCCTAAAATAACCACATACACTCCCAAAGACTTCACATTGGGTGTTTTGAGAAAAAAGATTGCTCCGTTTGATTTCGTCGTCTCGTACTCATCTCTTGAACATGATGGGTTAGGTCCGTTCCTGCATGATAAAAGGTTAGACTACGCATGAAATTCTAACTCCCTTACTGTGTAGGTCGTTATGGAGACGTGCTAAATCCTATAGGAGACTTACAAACGATGGCCAAGATGCTCAGTGTACTGAAACCTGGAGGATACGCTTTTATTGGTGTGCCATGCTGTGTAGATTCTCTGGTACGTGTTGCATAATACGTTGTAGTATTTCTTTCCCGTCCGCCCCTACGACTCCTTTCTTGCTTAGGTTTGGAACGTCCACAGAAAGTACGGACCCTTGAGGTTGAAGCTCATGTTTGCCGGATATAGACTTGTCGAAGTGTTTCCAAGAAACGCCTTCCTTTCCTTTAAGCACCTAGAGGATGGATCGCAACAAGGGTTTTTTGTGGTGCAAAATACATATGGCTGCTCGAACGGCTGGCCTCGAGAGCCAAACTCGTATCAAATATAACATAGCAATTTGGTAGCAATAAATATTACATGGATCGCAACAAGGGTTTTTAAAATTATGCTATTATGTGTCTATGGTATTATGACGGACGGTTCTACAAGTGTCCTTGTGTATGTTTGACGATCTTCCCATGCCAATCCTTCAGGTATCTGCCACCCTTTAGGCATACCGTATTTTCTAGAGGTGATCGCCTCTTTAAGATATGGATGACTATTGTTTTCTCACTCTCCATTGGCCCGACCAGATCACCATTTTTTCCTGTTCCATAGCGCTTCATGCAATACTACCAAACTCATCTTCCAAAAGTTTTAAACCTTATTTTGCTCGGTCAACCATACACCCGTTTGTACATCTTTTGACCAGCCTTATGTTGTCGTCGATACGGATCGATTGAAATCCACTTTACAAGCTCATACGACTACAAATAGCTCCAGCCTGCCATGTACCTCAAATTTCCCACTTGAAGGCCTAAATAAGTTCCCTCGCTCTTATCTGCACCTTCAACAGTCAAGAAATGCTCCAAGTGCTGTATCATGAGCCAAGCATCGTCATCACCTTTATGTTTGTACGTATACGTGCCGTTCGGTATGTCTCTACCAACCCTGCTAAACCATTCACAAGTTTTGCCTTCATTCATATTTTCTTCGTCATCTAGTATCAGGATGTCGGAATACATTTCGGTTTCTAGAGAAATGTGAGCCAAGATATCGGTTTCTTTTGACCGCAGCCTTCCAATGACAAAGACATAATCTATTGTAGCTGGCCGTTACCTTTTATAAGTCAACCGGATGACTGGCGTCTTGAAAATCGATCCGCGGTAGTAATGATGTCCAATAAGAGTGTTTTGTTGATGCTGCTGGTGTTATGCAACTCTTGCTGCCACCACAGCGTATCGTGCAGAGACACCAGCGGTTCTAGAGGAACCAACGGTTGTATAAATCGCACCAGTTAGCCGGGGGCAGTGCGATCCCAAGTAAGACGAGCTGCAAACCTGAGACAGATCCTGAGTGTGACCATAAAGATGGAGGATCATCGTTGATATATGTTGTTGGCCTTCCTAGAGCGACCCTGCCTGACACAGGTGATACAGCACTGAGGCAACAGGATCAGCGGACGCAGGAACATCCGCCTGCTCTCTGGCATTATAGAAGCCGATGTTTTACGTGACCCGAAGAGTAATAGGTGGCAGAATCTAAATGGAAACATTCAACGTTTGTTCGTTCCGGTCCACATTTTTGATTTCGTAGAGAGTAGAACTCATTCACAAAAAGAAGGAGTAGATAAACATTTATCTTCTGGAGTCTACAATGGTAATGCAAATCTGTAAATACCTGTCCCGTTGGTGATGTAAAACCAATTTGCTAGACTCAAAGACTTGCGACTGTTGGTGGTACCTTTGGTCTCTCTCACACCGTACTAGCATGATATTCTCCAAAACCAATATTAGACTAGATCTAGTCGAGATCAAGGAGAAATGTTCATTCTGGAGGTGGCAAAAGCCTGGGCAAAAGCGCATCTTTGCATACAGTTCTTTTGTAAAACTAACAAGCAATAAGTTATCTCCAAAGTTGATACGTTGGACGGCAGTCCAGAAAAGGATGGCCGGGCAGTCGAGAAAAGTCATGGGCGGTCATAGGCTCTCCCAGTTCCGAATAGTGGGATACACGATCTTCATACTGTTGTTTTCTTGGTTTTGCTGGACAACGCTGATAGCCACCGAGTCCCCGATAGCTGGTATGGAGAGGAAAATATCAGTTCGTAATCAAATGTTTGTTTCATCCTTGAACGTGTCGATCTCCTTCTTACAAGATTGTTGGACCATTTTGATGAACATTTCTCATAACATGCTGTAATTATTAGGGATTAGGAAATCCTTAGTGCCAGTGCACGACGAAACACGAGAAGAGGCCTTTTTCAGGTAATCGTCGGCTTGAAATTATCTCCTCCGTGTAGTGTTCTAACCCGGAACGCATATCTTGGGAAAGAGTGCTGTCGTATGTTTTACGGCGTACAGTTACATGCAAGGACCCAGCAATGGTCGGCGGTTGGATTTATAATGGAACTACTCAAGGCGATGTAAGGCCGTCAATTTAGATTGAACTCACCTTCTGAACTGCTATCGTTTAACTCTTTTTTCCCAAGCCAAAACAACCAGAGGGCGCTTGGCCCGTATGCAGCGATACATTCGCAGACAGGAGGAACAAATGTGTCGTGTACTCTTTCGGAATCAACGACGACTTCTCTTTTGACGATGAGGTTGCTGAGACATATGGCTGCCAAGTGCATGCATTTGATCGTATGTCCAAAAAAGCAATTTCTCTAGTCTACCTTTACGACCCGAACTGAACTTAGCATAACGTAGCTACCATGAAGGTCGAAACTTATCAGAGATCCAAGAAGGTCATGTTTTGGAATGTTGGTGTTGCTAATCGCACGCTCCCCAAAAGTAAGGAGGGATGGAACGTCTCCACTGTGAAAGATTTGATGACCAGTTTCGGACACAAAAAGATTGACTTGATAAAAATGGGTGGGTTGTGATATTATCGCCAGGTCTTTAGAGTTCGATTTGCTAAAATGTATTTCTTTTGGTGTAGATATTGAAGGTCTCGATTTCACGCTGTCTCAGACCAACCTGCATGCTTCTCACATTCATTTGTGTTTCTTCAGGCAATGAATGGCCAGTGCTACAAGATTGGATTGAAAAAACTCCAGAGGTGCTCTGGGCCACAGATCAACTGGACCTAGAGATTCATTTAGAGTTGGATGACATGATTGCGCAGGCGGATTTGATTAGACGGCTACTAGAGGACTTCGACTACCAGATATGGGGCTGGCATGTATGTTAGGCTAGCGATCGGCGTGGGATTTACGGGATGTTTACGATGTGTCGTATGTTTTCTGTATAGGTCAACCCTAAAAATCCTCCCTTGGAGCTCGAGTCTATGGGTCCCATGATGCTGTCGCAGCTACTGGAGATCGCAATGATACGAGTTCGATGAAATCAGATGTACTAAAAAAGGATAGCCACACGTCGAGGAGATTTACTTTGAACCCCAGCAAATTTGTAGCAATGTTGACAGCCGTGTTTGAAGAAAAACACGCAGGTTGGCCTCGGGAGCCACACTTGTATCAAATATAATGTGGCGATTTGGTAGCAATAAATGTTTACAGTAAAAAGGTTAAAGTTATGCTATTATGTGGCTATGGTATTATGAAGCTTCTACAAATGTGCTATGGTAGGTACGGCTCGCAATCTTCCCGTGCCAATCCTTCAGGCATCCGGCACCTTTTTGGCATTCTGGGTCTTATAAATATTCTACTGAAATGAAGAAGTGATCGCCTCTTAAGTTGTGAATGGCCATTGTTTTCTCACTTTCCATGGGTCCGACCATATCAACAAGTTTCCTATTCCATAGCGCCTCATAAAACACAACCAGACTTATATTCCAAAAGTCTTGGCCATATTATGCTCGTTCAACCATACAACCAGTTGTATATCTTCATGACCAGCCTTATGTTGTCGCAGATACGGATCTATTGAAATCCATTTTACAAGGTCATACGACAAAAAGTAGCCCAGTCTGCCATGTACCCCAAATTCCCTACTTGAAGGCCTAGTTAAGTTCCCTCTCGTTTGTCAGCCCCTTCAACTGTCAAGTCCTGCTCCAGGTGCTGTATCATAATCCAAACATTGTCATCCCCTTTGTGTACATACACATAAATGCCTTTCGGCACGTCTCTACCAACCCTGCTAAACGATTCATAAGTTTTGCCCTCACTCATGTTTTCATCATCATCCAGTATCAGGATGTCGGAATACATTTCGGTTTCTAGAGATACGTGAGCAAAACCATCGGGTCCGTTTGACCGCGGCGGTCCAATTACAAAGACGTAGTCTATTGTAGCTAGCCGTTGCCTTAGATAAGTTAAGCGTATGACTTGGCATTTTGAAAATCTATCCGCGGTGGTAGAGATACCTAGTAAGAGTGTTTTGTTGATACTGCTGGTGTTGTGTAACTCTTGCTGCTGCCGCAGCGTATCGTACGGAGACACCAGTGGCGTTTGGAGAACCAGCGGTTCTAATCAAATCGCAACGTTAGCAGTGCAATTGGACTGAATCAAGTAGCAAATCTGAGTCGGATTCTGATGAGGGGAGCCGTGTTAATGGAGGATCATGGTCGATTCTGTTTGTTGTCCTTCCCAGAGCCATCCAGCTGGTCCATGTGAGGATGGTACAGCAAGTCAATAGGATCAGTGGACGCAGGGATATCCGCCTGCGCTCTATCATCACTTGAAACAATGCCTTGCGTGATCCGACGAGTAAAAGATTCTAAGAAAAAAATTCCGAATAGAGTGAGTAAAACGTTCGGTCAGTTTGTACGCTTCGTGGTGGACACTTTTGATTTCCCTCAGAAGTACTCACACACCAAGGAAAGGAGTAGAAAAACAATGTAGCCTCTAGATCCTAGAGTTGGAAGTGCAGATTCGTTCAGTATCCTTGCTGTTCCGTGGTGATGTAAACACATGTTTGGGAAAACTTGCAAACATGCAAATGTTCGTACCTTTGGCCCTCTCGCACAGTACCAGTCCGGTCTGGAAACCCAATACTAGAATAGAGCCAAGCGAGGTCAGGAGTATGGCCCCCAACATACGGTCCGATGGTGGCAAAAAACATAGCATACAGCAGTTCGCAGGTTTCGTCAAGAGTAATGGACAAAGTTATAAATTGATCTAGAACGTGTAAACCTTGTAAACTGCCGGTTTAGCACGTAACATTCCGTCCTTGATTCCGTCTACTTACCTCCAAAAGCAACCTATCTACCACACTGCCTCTTCAACAAACATTCTAGGAGACGAGTTCAAACTCAAGGAGTTGGCCCGCCTTGGTTGCAAGCTGGAAGTCCATGCTGATTCGCTCGAGATTTTCTTTGATCTTTTAACGTGAGTTTAGCATCTAGCACTCATCGCACACTCAACTTCTGAAGCTTATTGGTTTGTGTCTCATAAATAAGCTTGCAAGATTTTTGATTGGAATATCACTCTCTGTCGTCATATTATATAAAGTATGTTGAACGTGCCAAATCGCACTTCACATTTTGGACAGACACTTACATGTTTCATTGTTTTGGTAGATGCTATGGTCCTCACGTAGACCGCCCCCAAACCAAGACCTTTTGTATGTCTTCAGGCTCTAGAGACCCCACCATTCTTAACGTTTGCTGACGACGACCTGCACAATCGCTACGTACGGGCATCCTTAGAGTACAACTACCCAATCGGTCACTACGTAAAGTGTCAGGCCCTCTTATACGATATCTTCTTCCGTGGTCATGATTCTACAATAGTAATGGTCGGCCCTGGATTCGTATCGAATCTACGCAGAAACACTACATTTCTTGTAGATGGTGAACCAGCCAAATTCGAGTTAAAAAGTAACGCCTTCCATCACTATAATGCAAATTTAATAGTGTCAGGACTCCCTGCAAAGGGATTCGTACGAGTGGAAGCACCAGACATTGGCTTCAAAGCTACTCGGACGAAAACTAGACCTCGTATTAGACGTGAAGGTCAATGTTTATGAATTGTTTTATACAAGAAGGAGGAAAGATACAGTCTAGTGCAATTATTTTAAAATTAAATATGTCATTGTTTAGCAGTTGGCGATGCGGCTTTTTCCCAAAACCCAGAATCGTTGGATTCCCTGTCCTTTTCACGTTCGTCAAGCTTTTTTTTCAGAGCTTGAGTCTGTAAATCCTTGACTCGTAATAGACTGAAATGCATTACCTAATATGTAACGAGTGTGTTAGTATTGCGATGTTGGTTCTTCATCATAGCTGACTCTCGAACTTTGATGCACATACCCAACTAGCCAAACATTCTTTTTCAAACACTTTGCCCTCACTTCCACAAGCATATAGATTCTTTAATTCTTGTCTAGAGAGTGACTTGTCGGTCATTGGCGTTATTTTAGGAGCAGTTGGATCGACTTCCACCACCTCTGCATGTGTTTTAGGAGCTAGTCCCCGCAGCCAGAGAGAGTGAGAATCTAGACACGCAAAGTAGGCATCTCGAGCTGCCCAGCATTTGGTACGTGATGACCGTGTTGGTGGTTGCTTGCTACTCATATTCTTGTAGTTGTGTTTTGATTCAAGCAAAAAAAGCGACAGAGTGAAGCACTGATACGACTTTCCGTGTCTAGTAACGCCAGTACCATAAAAATGTTTCCCAAACCATCATCGCAATGCATGCAAGCTATAGCACGTACATCCTGCTTCCGACCAGCCATAAACGCATCAACACATCATACACTATCATCCTCACTACACACAACATCCATCACTCGCTCAAAGTACTTGAATCGTGATTTCCTGCCTGAAAACAACCCAGATGCCGAATCTCAAATGGAGGCATTCATGGCTCGCTTGCGTCATGATGGTGGTGATAAGGTAAACATCAGCCAAAAAAAGTCTTGTCAATAGGGTCATCTATTTCTTTTTCGAAAACGGCTGATACGTGCTGCCTCGTAGATTGTAAGGATCAAATCACTCCTACTACACGTTGATACAACAAGACTAGTACCTTTTGCAGATGCTATCAAGGGATTAACGCTTGATCAAGCATTACTTCAACTCCGTTGGTTTCAGAAACCTGCTGCTCGGAGGTTTGAAGAGAAGCTAGTTGAGGCTGCAGTGCAATTAGGTGATGATGGATGGAAATTACCTTCAACTTATGTTGGTACGTGATGTGTGTAGCTAATTTTGTTTTGTTGTCAAGTCGCTGTCACTCACATCTCTAACGCCAAACACCAATATTAATTCATACAGCTCATTGCATGCTATCTCAAACAAACGAACACCTCTCACAAACCCACATGCGTAAATACGTCAAAGGAAGAGGTCGATATGGATCTACGCCACATCCACTCGTAACATGTCTAGATTTCACATTCCAGGAACGAAGTAGTGGATTCCAGACTCGGAAAAACGATCCGTTGGAATGGATTCGTCTTCGATTGAGAAATCAACAGAAACCGTATACGAAGACTGCTCAAGAGTATTATGAGGAGAAAAGAGCTGTTAGAAAGGTTAAGCCGCTTTATTGCTGATAGGGAACGATGTTCTAGACTTTTTGCACATGTATAAATTCTTCAAGTATAAAATATAATAATAGGAAGTTGCATCGAATTATTTTGTTTCGTGGATCTTAGACCCAAGAGTACTTTTCATTACAAATCCATTCGACACCCTTTTCAGCTGAGGGGCCCCAGTATGCCAACCCAGGTAATGACCCTGTTCGTAAAGAACGTTCCCATCTCACACCTGCACCGACATCAAGTGTCTCAACACCCAAATCCCATATCTCGATCTTACCCAATTTACTCCTCAAAGCCTCATCTACTACAGAAGATAACAACAACTCTGCTTCACTAACCGTACCATATCGGAATCGAGTCACATACAGCAAATTGTCCTTCCAACTGGCAAACCACGTTATAAAAGCATCAGAATCTGGAATCCGTTTACCAAGAATCGGCCCTAATGTAATATCTCGAAGCGCTTTTGCATAGAATTCCGAGCGTAGATGTAGCCATTCTATTTCATCCTTTGTTGGTAGGATTATGAATGTTGGTGTTGTGGATTGAGATGCGGTTTGTTCTAGTAGCTCCCTATCCCTGGCTAGCACTTCCTCCACATTCGATAACGTGATGTTGAGTAGACCAGATGCATTCCTCAACTCGCAACCATCCTCAATATGTATATAGGTCGTCGGTTTTGGATAATCCTTCCACCCGATCTTGGCATAGAATGTAGGTCCAATATCAGAGTATAGATACGTTCCAACAGCATCTGGATCTTTCTTCACTTCTTCCAATCTAAACGGCAAAAAAGCGCTGATCAGTTTCCATATATCTTTGCAACGAAAAACTTACAGAAGCTTCATCATCGTCGATCCATAGCCCTTCTTTCGGTATGCAGGTTGCGTAAATACACTAGCAATTCCATATGCAAATGATTTTTTGACTTGTCCGTCTCCAGATGTCACGAGAACTTGACACACGAACGATTCACACGAGCTTAACAAATCCCTGTTTGAAAGCGAATTGTCAGGTGGCGGAATCAAAAAAAATTGCATAAACAGAAATTCATGAAAATTCATTAAGTTTTGCAACTTACGAAGTATCATCAGCTGCATCATCGTGCACCAAAATCCAAGCAACTTCATTTTGGACGCTGAAGCGACATTCTAGCAAGCTGGTTTCTCTCTTGATGTATGTTTCAGGTGTCAGAGGAGGCCCCCATTCAGCACTATTCAAGCTAAAGCTGTGTAGGTGCTGGTCTCGAGAAGCTCGAAGTAGACGCATGTTTGTGGTGGAATGAGGATGACAATGTTTTTGGAAAGTGGAGGTAGATACAATTCAGTTGTTTACAGATTTACATGATATGAAGGGCCCGCGTTCTTTTACGCGCTTTTGGCCATGGCATCAAACTCGTCCTCAATTTGAAAGGCTTGACTAGATCAAGGAAAAGATGTCAGTTCAAGAATCGTTTTCGACCTGGACGCAATCAGCTCTACCATATTTCACGTAAGGTTTTAGCATGAAAGATTGAATTGAATAGAGGATGCTTGCTGTTAAACATGTCTCCATTCAAGAGTGTATACTAAGAACAAAAAGGGAATCATTATCTAGTACTAACGAGCTTCAAGAAACTCGAACGACTAGCACAAACCTTGATATACGAGACATTATGTGCACCAAAATCATATCGTAAAGTCCTTCTCAAGTATTCCACTGCCACAACTAGAGCAGGTAGTAGAGTCCCATCTCGTTGAAACACTGACAAGTTGCGATGTGGTGCACGAGCCATCATGACTGATGCAACTCCTAGTGAATACGAAAAAAATTAGGTGGAACGAAGCGTTTGAATCTTGGACAGGCTTTGTACCTGTTGTGTCCATGACTCGCTCAGCATGCTCTTGTGAAAGCACATCGCCATTAGCAATAACAGGTATGGAAACAGCATTCACGATAGCTGGGAAGATACTCCATCGGCCAGGGTGACTTGATGGTTCCTTCTTAGTTCTATTTAGTCGACGTGTGAATGCGACATTACCAAATGGTTGGGAATCCATTCTCACTAACCGACAATGTACATGCAAAGCCGTTATCCCCGTCGTTTCCAATCTCTTGACTAGATTAATGGTAGCTTCCACATCGTCAAACACTCGTATCTTACACGTCACGGGCAGAGGACGCACAGTCTCCACCAATGCAGTAAGTATCGAGACCAGTCGATCAGGATCCGACAAGAGAGCTGCTCCCATGCCACCTTTCAAAGAAAAGGCCTTCGGGCAGCCACAATTGAGGTCGATGCCTGAGACATCGTCAGCCCTAACGGCAAAAAAAGCAGATATCAATCTAAATACCAGCTTCACAGATAGTTTACAAGAGATTTCCTACAGCATTCTAGCAGCCTTCACAGCAGTATCCGGTGACGCTGACCCTAGCTGCACCACCAACCGATCTCGCTCACTAGGATGAATGCGTAAAGCAATCTCCTTCTTTTTCGTGTCTTCAAACGTGATAATTCCAGTCACCGGGTCCACAATTCGTTCACATTTAATTAGCTTGAGATCAATGATTTCAGGTGAAAAGACAATGTCGGCTCCGTATTCTAGTGCTGTGATGATTGAGCTTTAGTGGTGTTGTGATTTCAGGTTTTTGATTGGATTGCAAGATGTTTGACAGGATGACAAAGCAGAGATTTGCCTAAGAGTCTGAATGCAATGGAATGGCCAACTCTGACCATAGGAGCCTGGTGTGTTTCCGTAAATGTTTGTCAGTTGAACTTCTTGCGACAAAAAGAAAACACAATACTGGCGCAACGTAGAGCTTACCAAGATGCGCTTCCTCCCTCCAAACTCAAGCATCGCTATGAATGCTAAACCGTACAGACTCTGTTCTGCGACTTGATCCAGTCAAGCTCGCACGTGAACGTTGGGAAGTGCTAATTAGCACAGAATCGCAGAAACTGATCAGAATGATTATTTGGTATTTTCAGTAATCAGTAATCTTGAGTTATTAAATTATGGCAATCACTCGGAATAATAAAACTACGTGATGACATTGAGACAGTGTAGCAACGCGTGCTTTTGTCATGGCTTCTTCGTCCATGATCTATGGATGCAAAAGATTTGACCTATCCCTCCTGGTCCAATATTGAACAAGTACTCTTCAAAGCCATCCCAGTTTTGTCCCGTAAACCCTGGTAGAGCTGTCGCGCTTTGCGGAGTCTTGGATACGACTGGACCATCTACTTGCCACGTTGTTGTTAGTTTTGGCATACTAAGGCTAGTCTCGAGCCGCAATCTCACCCCAATTTCTGTTTCGAACTTCATAGTCCAATTCGTCCAGCAAGTCTAATAATTCTCTTGGTTGCCTAAAGTGTGGGAACAATAGTCAGCTAAAGCGCCAAGTCGAGTATACTCGAATTGAGGTGAATTGGACTTGAATTGTTTAAACCTGAGTTAACAACAAAACGATTCACTTACGATCCAGCTCTGATGGCCATAAAATTAGATGTCTCCGTCATCAAAAATGGCGGACGCACATCCTTGAAAAAGTTATAAGCTCCCCTGACGACATGCGCTTCAAATCCTTCTGTATCAAGCTTGACGACTCCAACTTGACTTAATTCAGGCACGACCGGCACGAGTTCATCGAATTGCACAATAACTGTAGTTCCCATGAGCGAAAACCCTTTTGGAATGTCTGCAGCATTCACATTATTCCCACATTTCACAATTCCATTCCTTGAATTCGTTTCAAGAGAGTATGCAAGACATTCTGAACGTCCAGTATTGTTGTCTTTCGCTTCACCAAGACCATAAGGAATCACTCTCATCAATGGCGGGAAGGTTGGGTTTCTACAGATTGACTTGTATAGCGAAAGTTGGTTGGATGCCATCATTTCCACCGCCACGACATTGAATCCGGATGCTGCCGCCGAGAAAGAGAAGAATCCAACATTCGCTCCGATATCCAGAAAAGTGGGCTTTTTTTGTAAGGGGGCCCAGCGAGTTTGCACATCACGTAGTTTTGCTATCATATTGAGTACTTCTGGAAGTTCCCAGTGGCCGCGCGACGTGATTGCAGCAGATACGATGTCATCAGAACCTTTTCTCACATAGATATCAAAGTGGTTTCCAGGCATAGCCACGATTGTTGCCTTGGTATAGTCTTGTAGTTCCACTGAGTTGATCCATTGACATGAGGCCACTAAAATCAAAACGATTCAATGAGATTGTGGAAACCCCACTTCCAAAAAAAACAAGAATGTTACATTGAGTGGTATCAGCATCATCAACCAACTGTTTGGCCGTCATATTGAGCAAATTTCGATGCGAACGATGAATAGACTGAGTCTCGACTGCCTGAATTGGGGTTTGTGCCGTTTGCGCATTGTTACAATGTAACGAGGGTGATGTTCCTTGCAATACAGTCTCAGAGAGAACTTGAGCATCGTCTGCCGTGCGAGGAGCCCATTTTTCAAGAAGTTCTCTTTAAAGATTTGACGATGAATTATTAGCATATATGTCGTGTAGCTAACAAATAAATACAAAACACAAAAACAACTTCTGTCGCATTACCCGCTAAATGGTGGAGGGATGGAGCACCAGAATAGAATGAGAATTACAGTCACTAGAGCAATCCATAATCCTCTTTCTCTGTGAGTGACTGGTCCTGACGCCATGTTTTGCTGTATTGCGTCCAACGAAATTATGGCTCCAAATATTAGACTGCTGCTGTTTTTTTTACACATTACTGCGGTGCTCAGACTCCTATGCAGTCTCCCTCTCGTCGCATAGAAAGTGATGCGGACCGACATAGTTAAACTGTCTAAGTGGCATTGGTTTGGTCCCACCGACAACGGCCCTACGACATACCGCTGCCACTCTCCTTGTGTCGTTGAATCAAGTATATATGATTAGTTTATTTACAAGTGTGACGATCATTAATGTGGTTACGATCCAGGAGGCACAATTATATAGCGCGAGAGGTTTTGTGTGAACAGATTCTACGGTGTCGAGGTTTCTTCAATCCATGTTCTATGAATCACGTAGATCTCACCAATGTTGCCTTTACCAAGCATGGCTTGATAATGGTTGAAGCCATCAAATGTCAAATTCATAGGAGTTTTGGAAATGATTGGTCCAACGTGAGGTGACGACGGTCAGTGCTAGATTTTCACGACTTTGGATGCAATAAGTTTCACAAGAAATTCAAATACACACCCAGAACCTGTCGTGGTTTTCATAATCCAATTCATCAAGCAAGTGCAATAAATCTCTCGGTTTCCTGAAGCAAAGAGGTGTAAATTTCAGATGGGTCAACATCGTTGGATTGAAGGCAAGTAGCACTTACGAGCCAGCTCGAATAGACTTTAAGTGGATGTCTCGCTCATCGAAATTGGCGGTTTCACATCGTTGAAAAAGTGTTAAGCCCCTTTCATCACATGTGCTTCAAATCCTTCCGTATCTAGCTTGACGACCCCGACATTCCTCAATTCTGACACCACAGGCCAATTTGATCAAATTCCATAATTAATGTAGTTGCCATCAATGAAACCCCTTCAGGAATATCAGACGCATTGAAATATTCCACAGGTAACAATCCCGTTTCTAGAGTTTTCAATCAGAAAGTATGCCAGAAGCACAGATCTACTACCATCTACACCCCCATTCACCTAGCCCGTACAGAATGACTCTAACGAGAGGCTGGAATGTCGGGGGTTTTACCTATTGATTTAAGGAGGGACGCTTGGTTTTGATGCAGCAGCAGAGAGGGAAAAGAACCCAATATTGGCTCCGATATCGAGCATGGTGACATTCGTACCGCGGTTCTTGGCAACTAGTGCAAGTCGGTCGATTACAGATCGGACTTCGCGACCCTCCCATTGGTTCGTGGAGATGATTGAGTAGGAGACAACGTCGTCTGTTCCGGCCTTGAAGACCATTTCGAATGGGTTTCCGGGCATGGAGGTTATGGTGACCTGCCTGTAGTCTATGTATTCTACAGAGTTCGTCCATTGACAAGTAGCCACTTGAGAGACAAAGATTGGAGAAAGAAAATGGTGAATTCAAATTCAATAGATTCGATAAAAGAGATGACTTTCAACGAGTCACAGCGAGCACCATCGGCAAGTGGTCCGATAGTTTAGCACATAAACTGAGAGTAACTGGAATTAGTAAGAAGAGAAATGGATCTGTGTTTATACTTACGATGTGTAGTATCAGCCTCTTCAATTAATTGTCTGGCGGACATTTCAAGCAAATTGCGTCCTTGCGATGAATGGCTGATTGTCACAGTTTCTTCAATGTTTGGAGGGGCGACATCTTCTAATTCAGATCCAAACCAGTCTCTATCAGGAGTAGGATGATGGTGGCCACTACATAACAGATATATCTAGTCAGTTCGTTTCTGCGAAAACGAAACAAGCTTACACACGGTAGTATCGGTGCAGGAGGGGCTGAAGCAAAGAAGAGAGAGAGCATCACGAGAAATGAAACAGCAAGAAACCATACCAGCCGCTCGTTTACAGCAATAGCTAGTTCTTCCCCCATTTTGACACTACTTTTTCTTGAGTTTAGCTGTATGTCTCCAAGTTTCAGAGTGAATTCAACGAAAGCAGTATCCAAATTACGCTTGAATGCGTGGTATTTACATGGCAATTAAGTGCCAGAACAGAACTGTCGTAGAGCACCTTCGTTTGTGGTGAATTGAATCATTATCAGCAAGCTAGCGGAGTGAACATGGACATGGGTACACGCCCATATACGACCTTTGAGAAAGCTTGAGGTACGTAAAAAAACATCTGATTCATCGATTCTAGTTGGTTTTATATCAAGATTCTGCATTCTTGATTTATCAAACCGAGAATCAACCTGTTTCCAAGCAATGATCGAATTTTGAGCCTGTTGGAACGGTGAAATTATCAAAGTTGGTCTATCATATGCCTGGAGTTTGGAATTCTCAGATTACTTGACACAGTCCTGGATCCCCATCTTGAAGTCGTTTTGAATTTCAGAGTTCATATTTCTCATATATCTCAAGATTACGACATTGAATCAAAATTGTATGGAAGCTGCAAGTTGTATTAACATGTCACTGTGATAGAGGTCCAGTTTGGACTGAGGTTTTCCTGCAATCTGAGTTGCCATAATGGATGAGTTTGCCGAGGAATAAGATACGACATAGGGATACCACATGGATAGTTTGGTAATAGACTATCATTTCAGTCCAAATGACATCTTTACATAATGAACAAGATCAGGGGTCTTTGAACTCGAGAAGTTGGGTTGTCTTGCAGCGACCTATCGTCAAGCGACGAGGACACAACAGGAATTACAACGGCACGATCTGAAGAGTTTGGTCACGCATTCACCTAAAAGTGAAGGCAGTCGATTTGCTGTTGGAGAATGGGTCAACTGTGGCCTAGATCTAGTACAACAGAGTCATTCATTATTTAAAACAACGGCCATGCGACGACAATAAAACATCAAAAGCCCTTAACTGCCCACCGTTGGCTTTGGAGCCCTAGACCCTCGTGTTTTAAACTGCAGTATTGCAGGTGTTTTAAATTGCAGTATTGCAGATGTCTTTCAATGCACTTTATTAACCTTCCATCTCGACGTTCTTTACTCGTTTATCAGGAGGAGATGCAATGGTTGCGAGGCAAGATGTAGAGAACAGGTTTGTAGTTAGGCCCTTCAGTGGCTTGGGTGTTCAGTTTGCAAACCTCAAAGCCATTATTGCCACCCGTTTTCGTTTTTGAGCGAAACCAGCTTTCTTACAAACTCTACTGCTTCGCAAAGCTGCTAGGTGAACAAGAGAATATTAAGGAGAAGACACGCTGCATCGTCTTTCATCAGGGTAGGTTATCGTTAATGGCTGGTCCAGCCTCTGGTTCTTGATTGAAAAGGTGCCACCGTTAAATTCTCACCAAAACCACCACATCATCGATAGATGTCATCTCACAAAGGCATCAAGTTCTTGTTTGCAATATTAGCTTGCTACTCTGGTAGTGTAATTGCAGAAACATGCTTCCAATCTCCTCAGTCTGCCCAGTACTGCAGGGATGGATTGTGTGGACCTCTATCTTGTGCATCCATCGAAGAAACTTGTGAATCTTACTGCAATTCAATGGATAAGAAAGCTACTGTAAGCCTCTTCTAGAATGTGTTTAATGTCGATGTGTGTACATACGATATTAAGCCACCAATTACGCCTTTAGGTTCATTGCTCGAGAAAACTGATTTACCCAAACAACCACTGGAAGGTTGATTGCAGCTGCCATAAAAGCGACTTTGGCGAACTTGATGCCTTGAAATACTCTTTGAACGTGCTTGGTGAACCTCTACCTCTTCATCAAGTTGAATGTGCCACCAGCACTGTATGTAACAATGGAGGCGTACTTTCAACTCCGTCTGATAAAGCTTAACACTTTTGTCTTTCTATTAGCTTTCATCGGCTCCTCTCTTGATTGATGAGGCACCTGAGCTGAAGCTGGTCCGACGATTGAATTTGCAACAAACTGCAGCGTAAGTACATTCCGTGAAATTCCGGTGTTTTTTTGACTTGTTGTTACAATGCCGATCTTTCAAGATATATTGTAATGATTTCTCATTTTACTATCACCAATAGCCCAAGCTCCAGCCCTCTTCCATCCGCTACCACCACATCTGCTGCTGCTTCACCGTCACCTACATGTCCCCCCATTCGATACTTTGATGTGATATATTACCCTGGACAAATGAACCAGCTCGGATGGGTGTGGTCATGTAACGGGTACGTCTCATCATCTGCTCCCCTCTGTGGTTTGGAATCCCACTCACGTTTGTCATCTTGTTTTTCAAACAGCTGGAGTTGCCCCATGCCCCATTGTTTCGTCAATGAAGGGCCATACTCAGGATGGTGCGCCCAAAATGGGAACGACTTGGCAGTAGCTGGAAAGGTCTGCGCTAACGGGTGAGTATTGGAAGTAATCGACATCAGAAATCACAAAACCACAAAATCGTCCTGATCTTGGATCGTTTGCTGACATATCTTCTCTTACTTGTACTACCAGTACCTTTGTGGATGCCGAAACCTGCCTTTATCCTTCTACTAAATACTTTGGGAGATGCTATCCCCTTGGTAGTATGAATGCACTTGGCTGGACGTGGACAACTCGAGGATGGGAGTGTGATTTACCATCGTGTTTCGTGACGCAGGGACCTTATTCAGGATGGTACGCTAATTGCCTTTGCCTCAATTCTTGGTTGCTGTGTCTGACATGTCTGTTTGAAACTCGCAGGTGCACCGTCAATGGGGATGGCAACAAGATCCCTGGCTCCATTTGCTCAAACGGAAACTTTGTCTCAGTCGAAACATGTCCTTACCCTGCTGTAAAGTACTTTGGAGAGTGCTTTGTCATTGGAAACGTCAACAGATTGGGTTGGACTTGGACTCTTGACGGATGGCAATGCCCAGCTCCTTCATGTCCAGTACCTAGTGGCCAGTACGCCGGATGGTGTGCGATGGACAGAGACGGTAGCAAACTCGTACGTGTTGGACTTGAATACGGGGTCGTGTCATCGAATTTTGAATTTTAACGAATCCTCCATATTTAAAACCAGGGATTACTTACCTGTATGAATGGTAACTTTGTTGATCTTGGTTGTCTATCTCCCAGTATTAGATACTTTGGTAAGTATTGAGATGTTCCTGTTTGCGTCCAGTTCAGATTTCGGAGTTTTCGACATTTCAAGACTAAACTGTCGTACTCGCATTAGGACAATGTTACAACATTGGCGACAAAAATACTCTTGGCTGGATGTGGAGCCAAGCTGGTTGGGTTTGTCCAGCACCCGCATGTGCTGTTCCTTCGGGACCTGTACGTACTTTTCGTGTTTTTTGGGCTTTGATACCATATTCGATGCTAATTAAAACATATTCTCGTTTATAGTATGCAGGTTGGTGCACAGGCGCTGTTGTCGTAAACGGGCAAACTTGCAACAACGGTGTCTTCACGAGCAACACGGCCTGAAACCCCTCTAAATTCCATGACGAGACGTATGATTCAATGCTGGAATATTGGATACGTTAATCTCGCCAACATATAGAACGTAATAAATCCCAATCCGATAGAGCCATAAGAGGCACCCTTACCCTCTGCAACAGAAGTAATCCTTGTACTAATATGTTGTAACCCTCCTACAATTGAACCCATAATCTATGACTCCTTGAGGTTTATTGATGCTAGTGCGCTGTGCATCTACGATCGATCTTATTAGGAACTGTGCAGAGCTAGATTTGAAACCCCGAAGAACAGCAGAGGTTGAGAAGCTAGTTCTTTCCTCCAAAACGTTGTCGAAATCCTATTACAGTAGATTGCGAATAAGACCGTAGACTTGCCTGAACATTGTTGGTGCTTGCTTTTGCGGTTTTCATCAACCACACAAAACACGCAAAAACATCCGTTTTGGAGAAGGAAGCACTTGAAGAGCCGGTGTCTCTTTCCTCGATTAACAGTGGCCTTGGGATCGTCGTCAGATGCGGCTGGGATGGTTGATTCGGTCGTTGAAATTGATCTTGTCTCCACTTATGTCTACAGAAACCTTTAAGCATCCCAACTCTCGCAACAATGTGCCGCTGTCGTCCGTAGTGATCACTGCTCTGGCTATAATCGCTGCCGCTGTATGGGCTCTTGTGTATACTGCTACTGTCAGCACTATGGGTCTGCAGTCAGAATCATGCAAACCACGACAATTTGCTCCACTCAACACCGTATCTAGTGCTGATGCTGCTGTTGATACTGCTTTTGAAGAGTACAGGGTATGAAAGTGTCGATCCTCGTTTCAAAGTCTCCACATATTGCACAAATTTTCTATTGATTTTCTGACTGGTTTCTCTTCATTTCAGGTCAGACACGAACGAGCTCTGCGAAATGTTACAGCTCATCCTTGGATCATATCAAAGGCCATCTATGGTGGACTTGGAAATCGTTTACCGCAGCTCGTCAATGGAATAGTGCTAGCTCTCCTGACAAACCGAACTGTCTTATTGGTAACAAACAAACCTGCCTGACAGAGATATTCCGTCTGAGACATTGTCTCGTTATGTGGTGAACTAACCACTGGTTTCCCTTCCTTCTGATGTCTTAGGAATATCCTGATCATGTGAGAAACATTTGGAATTTCAACCTGGACTTGGACCGATGGAATAGAGACTTGGGCGAGGAGGAAGATCAGGTTATGATAGTCGGAGAAGCAGTCTTGCTAAAGGAACGAGCTCGGAAACTCTTCACGGACTGTATTACAGAAGACCTGTCAGCATACTATGATGACCCCGAGGTAAAGCAAATGGAGTCAATACGAGTCTCCGTGTCGTTTATAGAACGTCTTTCCTAACTTCCTCTCTTTCAAAGCATGGTGGTGTACGAACGTGGGTAATCCTCGGTGTGGATTACTTTGTTCCGTTTTGGCAGGCCAATCCTCACTACCGCAAAAAGTTTGAAACTATATTCCCCGATGGCCGTGTTGCATATCACGTATTACGAAAGACTCTTGGACTTAGGTCCGCTCTGGATAAAGCCTTGTCTGAATACAAGGCTGCCCATTTCCGTCCATACATGGTTGGAATCCACGTCAGAGCTCATAAGCTTAAAAACATTGGTTATATGCGTTCATACGCAACAATAGCAAAGCAATTAGCCATGGTATCAGGCAGGCCTATGGATGAGGTGGGCTTCCACCTAGCTACAGATAACGTCCAGTCTCGAGACGAACTGATATCCTGGTTGGGAGTGGATTATGTCAGCTATCTGCCCGTAAACTTCACCGCAAACAATGGCGAAGGTAATCCAGGAGGTAGTGACGAGTTTGCGGCTATAGATTATGTAGCATTAGGGTCTTGTGACGCTGTAGTGGCAACATACGGCTCTAGTTTTGGGCAATGGGCTGGATCTTGGTCTGGAAGGCCGTATGTCACCATGAACCAGCGACTGGACACCTACAATACTACTAGAGAAGTCTCTTTCTGGAATAGTCTTATATCCGAACCTTGTAGCTTTTCCGTAAAACAGTTTGCAGAGACACCTGGTGCTGGATCACATAACCTGACGGAGCTGGAAGAGCAGTATGCTAGGGACGTCATGTATGGAAACTGGGCTTCTATTGAAAAAAATCGAGAAACACGGGCTGTATCGTTTTTAATGGCATTGCCCCAATATTTACATCACACGCAGTGTCATCCTCTAATGGTTTAAGTGTAGAAAGCAAAATAGTATTAGTCTCTAATCTCGCAATATATAAATTATTGGGATCGTTCGGAAGTCTTGTAATGTCGTTTGTTGTTTAGCACGGTGGCTTTGAATTGAATCTTTTGTTTTGTCCTGCCTGACAAAGTTCTCTACGACGAGAAAAACAAAACTTTGCGAGGAGTGGAGGAGGATCCGCTATGGGTGTAGCCAGATTTGTTGACTTTGCTTTCATCAGTTTTCTGGTGTTTGCTGTTGCATCGGCACAAGAGTAAGTCTTTGCGTAGCAAAAGCTCCACTAGCTTCAACATTGCTGACCAAACTTATCAATCTTAGATGCGGAAGTCAAGTGGGCATTAGCTGTACAGGCTCTCAGTGCTGCAGTGGCGTAAGTCCGACTCCATCATCGCTGCTGTGACGTTTGTAGTTTACACCCCCAATATTTCTAGGATGGGCAATGTGGGACGGGGACGAGGTATTCAATCTCTTATCATGCATTTTAGTACGATCTTGTAAATTGATAGCCTTTCACTAGTTTCTGCTCATCCGGTTGTCAGCCGAAATATGGGGTAGCTTACCCAGAAAATGGTCCAACAAGCTTATTGGTTGAGAAGCTCACTATTTATCTTTTAGAACTGTGACTCGTCATATTTATCATGGTGGCCAACTGCCCCCATCTCTAGGGTAGTAGCATGTGCATCGCCCAGCATCCTGTACTTTGGAGTATGCTATTCAGTTGGGTCGCAAAACGCCCTCGGTTGGACGTGGACTGGTAATAGCAGCACCTGGCAATGCGTACTCCCATCATGTCCTGTATCTACAGGTCCTTATGCTGGTTGGTGCACTTCGAGCGGAAACACTGCGGCAATCCCAGGCTCTATCTGCTCCAACGGAAATTTCACCACGGCTTGCACCGGTTGTTGTGCGCCCAGCATTTCGTATTTCGGAGTGTGCTACTCTGTAAACCAGACCAACAGTCTAGGATGGCGTTGGGATGGAAGTAATTGGCAGTGCTCGGCACCGTCGTGTATTGTATCTTCAGGACAGTTTAACGGTTGGTGTACCACAGACGGCGACACCAACAAATTACCTGGCTATAAATGTAGTAACGGAAACTTTGTGTCGACATCGACATGCATCTCGCCCAGTATATCGTATTTTGGAACATGCTATTCGGTCGGTCAAGCAAACTCACTGGGCTGGATATGGTCTGTTGGTGGCTGGCAGTGTCCTTCACCATCGTGTATAGTATCTACAGGTCCTTATGCTGGATGGTGCTCGTCTAATGGAGATACTAGCAAAGTAGCAGGGTCCAAGTGCACGAACGGAGAATTCGTTTCAACAGCAGTTTGCACTTGTTGTGCTCCCAGCATTTCGTATTTCGGAGTATGCTACTCTGTCAACCAAACAAATAGTCTTGGATGGCGTTGGGATGGAAATAATTGGCAATGCTCGGCACCGTCGTGTATTGTATCTTCAGGACAGTTTAACGGTTGGTGTACCACAGACGGCGACACCAACAAATTACCTGGCTATAAATGTAGTAACGGAAACTTTGTGTCGACATCGACATGCATCTCGCCCAGTATATCGTATTTTGGAGTATGTTACGCTGTTGGTCAAGCAAACTCACTGGGTTGGATATGGTCTGTTAGTGGTTGGCAGTGTCCGTCGCCATCCTGTATAGTATCAACGGGCCCGTACACTGGATGGTGTTCTGCCAACGGAGATACTAGCAAAGTAGCGGGATCCAAGTGCGCGAATGGACAGTTTGTATCAACAGCAGCTTGCACTTGTTGTGCGCCAAGTACACTATACGGTGGGACTTGTTACGCTTTAAACCAAGTCAATTCGTTGGGCTGGACCTGGACAAACAGTGGTTGGCAATGTTCATCACCATCGTGTAGTGTACCTTCAGGCCCATATGCAGGATGGTGTACTACTAGTGACGTAGCATACACAGGCTTCACGTGCGCGAGTGGAACTTGGGTGGCGGTAAGAGTCGGTCATGAAGTTTAGTATTCTGAAGAATTCTCTTTTGAGTATGTACTGAACATACTCTGCTTTCTCTCCAGCAATCGACATGTAGCACACAAACCGTCTGGAATTCCAACGCAGTTGCAATCCCTTCGTCTAGTACCGGATACGATGGAACAAGCACATTGACCAACCTGAACGGAGCTACTCAGTTCAACCCACAGGCTGGTGCTTGGTGGTTTGCAAGTACCGGCAGTACCTGCTACGACGTTTCTCGCTTTAGCTATTTGACAATATATGTAAGAATCATTGCTGGTCCATCGGCACCACTCTCAATTGGTTTCGACATATACGATCCAAGTAAGCTCTTCACCTTTGTCGTGTACTGAATTTTTTGGACTGGACTAAAGTCTTTCACCACATTTTAGCATGTACGACCAAGGCCAATACCTTGTTCTACGCTGTATCAGCCGTCACTGTTTCAACTACCAGCTGGCAGATGATTTCGGTGAACCTGGCATCGGTTATTACCGATTCCACCTCACGCCAACGTGTCAAGGCAATCGTTCTGACCGGATTCTCTGTTGGCTCTGTATATCAGTGGAGTTCCATAACGTTCCAGTCATGTCTTCCGGTGAGAAACTACGGTTGTTAAACCCCTTCTTGTGGATCCTGAACCTTTGATTTTGTCTTAGACTCCAAGCCCTGTTGCGTCTATAGCACCAAGCCCCGTTCCTTCTCCAATTCCACTGCGAACCGATTTACCGATAGTAAGTCTGGGAATAGTCAGCAAGAACGGTCACGCACGCTCTAATATCGATGATAACATCTACTGCCAATTTAGTTGGTGAGTGGCCAATGTGGTCCAACTGCTGGTGGTATCTGCAACGTCCAGAGCACGGATTCATGGTAAGAGCCATTGCTCGTCACATTCAAATTGGCTTGCCCAGTATTGAGTTTCCTGTTCAATGTATTAGTTGCAGTGCTTACGGCTATTGTGGAAGTGGAACTACGTGGTGTGGTGCTGGTTGCCAGCCCGCGTACGGAAACTGTGATGGAAATCCAAGACCATCTCCATCACCAACTGCGTCGGTATGTCTTGCCCTTTCTCACATTTGTCAACATTATCACTTCTCACACCCTCAACAGCCTCTGATATGCTCACCTGGACCATCTGCAACTCCAACTATGCCAGCGTCATTTAACTCGAGGTTGGCAGCAGGCACTCTTATTGGTGGATATTGGGGTCAAAACAGTTATGGAGGCGTCAATCCTTCTCAGCCAACGAAATGGCAAAAGAATCTCGATTACTACTGTGACGTCACGCAAGGGTCCAAATCAACGGTTTTCGACTACCTTGTAATCTCGTTCCTGGATATCTTCCCCTTCACGAGCGTCACAGTGGTGTGTTTCATCGAAAGTTGTTAGAGCAGAAAGAGTCATTGAACTGACTTTTCTCATTTCAACAGAACGGAAGCACATACTACCTTCCACAAGTCGAAACTAGTGCTGGATGCTCCGGTAGCGGCATCAATGGGTTAAACAACTGCTCATCCATTACATCCGCTATCGAAAAATGTCAATCTCTTGGCCGCAAAGTGTTTTTGAGCATTGGTGGTGCAACTGGAAATTTCAATTTTGCTGTACCAAGCGTGCCATCGGCTGGTCCATCTCCTGTTGCTTCTGCTACGACCAAGAATACCGCGTCTGCTACTTCTGTTCCGTCGACAACGGTGTTTTCTGCTACCACGACCACGGTCGTGCCTGCTGTCTCTGCTACACCTGCTCCTACAGACATGACTGTACAGCTTGCATATGCAGTTTGGAATATGTTTTTGGGAGGAACGTCGGCGCCATGGAATCAGTATCGACCGTTTGGTTCGGTTGTGCTTGACGGCATCGATTTGGATATCGAGGTTTGTTTGATGGTTTCTCCCATGTTCACAAGGAGATCCCAAGCCTAAATAGTCTTATTGTGTGCCTAGAGTGGAAATCCTTCTGGGTGGCCATCATTCGTTGCTCAGCTTCGGACGCTAATGACAACTGATTCGACACGGCAATATTACATTTCTGCTGCACCTCAATGCCCATACCCTGATCTGAGCGATGGTGAGTGGAATTGCTGAAAAAAGGGGTAATAGTTGCCGAACTTGTGTTTTTAAATCTGCTGCAAATTAGGTCCCGGAATGGGAACCGTCCTTGGTGCTATTACTGCATCGACTTATATCGACTTGGTGCAAGTGCAATTCTACAATAATCCGTAAGTCGAATGTCACGCTACGTATAAGAATAATGTGTCGAGATCAACATTTTTTGCGGTTTTTTGCTTGTTTAGGTCTTGTGCGTTGAACGCCTTCCAGATTGGATCGTCGACTCAGCTGAGTTACAACTATGCTACATGGGCCAACTGGGCGAAAACTGTGAATACCACCATTGTCATACGTGAGTTTTCCTTGAGTCTTATAAAAAGAAATCGATATTTGCCTCTAATTCTGTATTATTTTTTGGTAGTGGTGCCTGCTTCTATAGATGCAGCTGGCTCAGGCTACATTGCACCAGATGTCCTCTCATCAGTTGTCACATACAGCAAAGCGCAGGGAGCATTTGCTGGTCTGTCCATGTGGGATGTTAGCCAAGATCAAAACAATTTGATCAACTATGGCCCTGGCTGTATAAATCAACAACCTTATAGCCGTGCTATGAGATCTATGCTGTCAGGTTAACAGCTGTTTCGGATACCCTCTATATATATTATCTCACATTCTCTTAAATACATAATACCTCTTTCCGACAAGTGAGTCAAGATTTCGTTCGTGACATGTACAATCTATTTTACAGATATATTATTTACAGTTGAGGTTGGAATTGAGACGCTGAAATCTATAGGTTAATCAATGATATTTCCATACAAATTCTTTGACTTAAAGAGATGCACTATGCGCGTATCCTCGACATTCTCTGCATCTCTGCACCCTGAGCGATCTGATACACGTGTGATTGTACGGTAATGATTGAGCCATGCAATATTGGGATCCATATATAGTAGCAGCCCATCTGAATCCACCACAATATGAGTAATGACCAAATGCGCTACAGTAGGCCTAATTATAACCTTCATTCTAAACCAGCGACCCTCGCTTTCATCCTTCCGGAGCGTCAGATGCTGAATGAAATTATCGTTATTATATTCGGTGCCTGGTGGTGGACAGCCAAACCAGACCGTTTCTAAACTAACAGCTGCAAACTTTTCCGGTACTGTTTTTAGCCATTCATTTACAGTTGAGTGCTGCCGTGGCACTAGATACTCGTCATTATCGTTTAACAGCAACCAGGATACATCATACTTGTAACGTTGTATTGCATGATTCTGAGCGGTGACTTGACCGGAATTGACTATACCGAGCTCAAATGGTTGGAAGTATGGATATGGCCATGACCAGATTATAATTGTTATGGGCTTTTTGATATCTTGGACTAGTTTTGTTAGTATTGTTGTGATATTTGTTGGTGTCTCGTCATTCTTATAGAGAAAGAATGCGTCAAACCCTATTTGATGATGATATGCAATCCACATCGGCAGCAAATCTTCGTCTCCTTTATATATAGTTTGTGCTGCTACCCTCAAGCCTGATAGTGGTCTAGTTTTCGTCAGCGTTGCTTTGAAGCCAATGTCTGGTGCTTCTACCCGTACGGATCCCTTTGCAGCGAGTCCAGATACTACTAGATATGCATTATAATGATGGAAGGCGTTACTTTGTAGTTCGAATGTGGCAGATTCACCATCGACAAGGAAGGTAGTGTTTCTGAGGATGCGTAGATTCGATGCGAATCCAGGGCCGACCATTACTATTGTAGAATCATGACCACGGAAGAAGATATCGTATAGCAGTTCCTGGCAATTTACATAGTGCGCGATTGGGTAGTTGTACTCCAAGGTTGCCCATGCATAGCGATTGTGCAGGTCATCGTCAGCAAACGTTAAGAATGGTGGGGTCTTTAGAGCCTGAGGACATACCAAAGCTTCTTGGGTTGCCTGCGGTCTACGTGAGAACCATAGCATCTACCAAAACAAGGAAAGATGCTCAAGTAAGTGGTTTGGCGAGAGCAACGAAATGTGATTTGCCACGTTCAACATACTGCATATAATACAAGGACAGAGATCAGTATTCCGATCAGAAATCTTGCGAGTTTATCTATTAGAAAGATAGCAGCAATAAGCTTCAGGATGAAGGCAGGAGGCTAGATGCTCAACTCACGTTTCAAGATCAAGGAAAATCTCGAGCGAATCAGCATAGACTTGCAGGATGCAACCAAAGCGGGCCAGCTCCTTGAATTTGAGCTCTTACGAGCATTCATCCTCGTCTCCTATGCGCCAGAACGACGCCACGTGTGTGTTTGAGGTTTCTTGTAGAGCGAAGGTAAGGTTGATATGTTGCCTTTGGAGGTAGGTGGACGCTACGAAACGCGTTACGCTGGCACTCTACAAGGTTAACACGTTCTAGATCATTTCTTTACGTTGTCCATCACTCGTGACGGAACCTGCAAACTGTCTGCTTTTTTTGCAACCACCCAACAGCCAGAATGTATATTGGAGGGCATACTCCTTGACCTCGCTTGGATCTAGTCTAATATTGGTTTTCGAGAGTACCGGGCCGATACAGGTGCAAGACAGACCAAAGGTACGAAAGTTGACATGTTTCCAAGTTCTTTTCACCATGTTTTTAAATCACGGAACGGCAAGGATACTTACTTGATTTGCAATTCCCACTGTAGTCAGAGGCTACTTTGTACATCTACTCTCTTCCTTGTGTATGAGCCCTTCTTGAAGGAAATCAACGACTGTCAACCAGAACAAACTGACCAAACGCTTCATCTTTACAATCTAAGACTGGTGCCACCTTTTCCTCCTTGAATCACGCAAAACGTCATGATAGAGAGCAGGCGCATGCCCCTGCGTCCGCTGATCTTGTTGATTCTGTGCTGTACGATTCTGACATGGACAGGTTGGATGGCTTTAGGAAGGTCGACAACATCCAGTATCCACTATGAACCTCTATCTACAAGGCTCCCCTCATCAGAATTCGTCTCAGGTTTGCTACTTGCCCCTACTTTGGAATCGCACTGCTCCTGCTAAACATGATTGATTAGAACCACTGCTTCCTCCAGAGCCACTGGTCTCTCTGTACGATACGCTGCGGCGGCAGCAAGAGTTGCACAACACCAGCAGTATCAACAAAACACTCTTACTGGGTATCTTTACCACCGCGGATAGATTTTCACGACGGCACGTCATACGCTTGACATATCTAAGGCAGCGGCCAGCTACAATAGATTACGTCTTTGTCATTGGAAGGCCACGGTCAAACGAAACAGATATCCTGGCCTACGTTTCTCTAGAAATCGAAATGTATTCCGACATCCTGATACTGGATGAAGAAGAAAACATGAATGGCGGCAAGACGTATGAGTGGTTTAGCAGGGTTGGTAGAGACATACCGAGCGGGATGTATATGTATGTACATAAAGGGGATGACGATGTCTGGCTCATGATACAGCACCTTGAGCATGTCTTGACAGTGGAGGGTGCTGATAAGCGGGAGGGAACATATCTAGGCCTTCAGGTGGGGAATCTGGGCTACATGGCAGGGTGGGGCTACTTTTTGTCGTATGATCTTGTAAAGTGGATTTCAATTGATCCGTATCCACGGCAACATAAGGCTGGGCATGAAGATGTACAAACGGGGGTTTGGTTGAATGAGCATAATAAGGTCAAGAACTTTTGGAATATGAGTCTGGTTGTGTTCCATGAGGCGCTATGGAATACGAAACATGTTGATCTAGCTGGGCCTATGGAGAGTGAGAAAACTATGGTTATACACAACTTGAAGGGTGATCACTTCTTCATTTTAGCAGCTAGGATATTTATAAGAGATGGAATGCCTAAAAGGTGCCAGATACCTGAAGGATTGGCATGGGAAGATCTCGAGCCATATCTACCACAGACACATTTGTAAAAGCTTCATAATACCATAGAATAATAGCATAAGTTTAAAAAAGGTGTTATAATCTTATTGTACCAAATTGCTACATTATATTTGATACGAGTGTGGCTCCCGAGGCTAACCGTTAGAGCAGCCATATGTATTTTGCACTACGAAAAAGGCCTGCTACGTACTATCCGTACGTATAAGCATTGCTCTCGCAAGGAAAAAAAGCCGTCTCTTGGAAACATTTCGACAAGTTTGTATCCTGCAAATATGAGCTTCAACCTTAACGGCCCGTACTTTCTATGGGCGTTCCAGAGCGAAATCGGAAGGATTGTCAGTGTGTCGCGAAATATATACTTCAAGATCCATCCACACCAGAGCATCTACGCAGCATGGCAGGCCGATAAAAGCAAATCCGCCAGGTCTCACGACACTGAGCATCTTGGCCATCGTTTGCAAGTCTCCTATGGGATTTAGCACATCTCCATAACGACCTACAGTCAGTGTGTCAGAATCTCGTGCCGACAACCATGTAATCGTGCAAAGAACTCACCTAGCCCATCATGCTCCAGAGATGAGAACGAGACTATTGAATCAAAAGGAGCAATGTCCTTTCTCAATACACCCAATGTGAAATTTTTGGGAGTGTATGTGGTTATTTTAGGATGGACACTAACTATCGCCCCGAACTCTAGAGTGGAGATGTGCTCGGCACCATATTCTAATAGCATTGCTTCCATCCAAGGCCACTCGCTACCTATAACGAGTCCTCGTTTCCCTCTAATTACAGATGGTGCGTACACGTCATATGCGTCATAAATATCTTTCGAGTTATAATTGAATGTCATCTTCCTGGCGCGAGTGTCTCGAATCTCGTCCACCTTGGCGACTGTCCACTCTGGTTTCCACCCAGATATGCCTGCGAGAACAATGATTACTTAGTTGTACTCAACAAAAAGGCTGCCTATCTAAAATAGATAGACAGCTATAATTGCCTTGCCTGATCGATGCAAGCATCAGAAACGGGCACTTGATCGTTCATAATGTACTCTGAAAGTAAAGTGTCTGGTATTGTTTTGGGTGCAGCGCCGTAGCGGGCAGTCTCTGCTTTGAGCCATGCATCCAGTAACGAGAATTCCGGTTAAGATAGCGGGAGCACCGACGCTGCCTCCTGCAAGAGTAACAAAGTTGTCAGCATCGATTTTTCCACTACAACGACCCACCAGCGTAATGAGGTTCAAAGAGCATTGAGCATTGATGCTATCAATCTTCGATACAGACAAGGGAAGTATGGCAATTTCGAGACCCACCTCGGTGAGGTTTGGAGTTCTCCAAGTGCACTTAATGTTTTGCGATTTCCCTAGATGATTTCAGAGCAGAACATGTATATCAGCACGGTCAATCTCGAAGCCAAATTAAAAAAAGAATGATAAACTGATGCTTGAGTCTCCATACCAGCTACCGGGGTCGTTTCAGATGTGAGCTTTGTCCAGCAAAACCACGAAACCAGCAATATCTAGCTCATATATCCAAGCAATCGCAACTGCGAGAACCTATGGCCGGCCATCTTTCTTGAGGGCCCAGCCATCCTATTCTGGCCTGTCTTCCAAGGTTTCAACACTTGAGATAACTTTTCAAAACAAGCAAAATCAATACTGCCAATGTCGATCTAAACCTCTGGTGTGGTCATGGCAGCAATATCTTCTGGTGGTACTGAACGATATTATAGCTTCGTGAGCTGTAGAACTGTCGAGATCTACCTGAACGACGCCAACAACGCCCACAACTTAGAGCAAATTCCACCTTGAATTTCGAGACATGACTCTGCTTTTGCCAGTGATGTAACACCGTACCAAATATCTTACTTCTTATTTCCGTTTGCTGAACGACTTCAGGACCTCTTGTTTTCATGATGGGACGACGAGATGTTTTGCTGCGGTTCTAAAAGGAACTCAATTCAAGCTTTATGCTATGTGACCACTGCTAGAGCCTCGATATACTTACAGACTGCATTGGAGACAAGGTGCGTGCAAAATTAAAACGCCGGCTGGATGCCTGGCTGGCTCTGTAATAAAAAGACCCTTGCTTTGGCAGGACAATTGTCTGGACAGAACAAACTGCAGAGGTCAGAAAAGAAGCAGCTGCGACGGTGATGCTGCGTCTTCTATTGCTGCTGACTTTGGTCTGGCAAGCTTTCGGCCAACAGTAAGCATTCCGAAGTCGTTCTCATCCAAACCTTAAACTCCCAAACCACCAAAACTGCGGAAGCTAACAACCTCGATTTCATTCGCAAACTAGATGTGGTTTTGTCGCAGAATCTAATTGTACAGCTTCTCAATGCTGCAGTCAAGTGAGTTCTATCTGGAGTTTGCTTTGTAAATCGTCATCATCACCATCTTTAACTAACTACACAAAAACCTAGTATGGCTATTGTGGGACGAGCGATGAGTGAGTGCCTGCGAACATGGGTTGAAGATTTGGTATCCGTGTCTGGCTTGGTGATCTCATACTGACTTTATCGCTCGAAATAGATACTGTGGAATTGGTTGCCAGGAGGATTATGGAGTACGATGATCTTTCTAAAATGTCGAATTGCAGATCATTAACTCGCTCTCTATGTAGACATGCGATGTGAAATCCTTTGTTGCGTCTGTAACCGACGTCATATCTAGAGATGTAACATGTGCACCACCCAGCATCTTGTACTTTGGAGTATGCTACTCAGTAAATCAAACCAACTCCCTCGGTTGGACATGGACTGGGAGTAATAGCAGCTGGCAATGCATCCTTCCATCATGTCCTGTATCTACAGGTCCTTATAAGGGCTGGTGTATTTCGACCGGAAATACTGCAGCTGTGCCGGGCTCTAAATGCACCAATGGGACTTTTGTTGAAACTTGCACAGGCTGCTGTGCTCCTAGCACATCGTATTTTGGTGTATGCTACTCTGTAAACCAAACCAACAGTCTAGGATGGCGGTGGGATGGTAATTACTGGCAATGTACGGCACCGTCGTGTGCTGTATCTACGGGACAGTATACAGGTTGGTGCTCCACGGACGGCGACACCACAAAGGTACCCGGATCGATTTGCACAAGTGGTAGTTTCGTCTCGACTTGCCCATCCCCCAATACGATGTACTTCGGAACATGCTACTCTGTTGGTCAAGCAAACTCACTGGGCTGGATATGGTCTGTTGGTGGCTGGCAGTGTCCTTCACCATCGTGTATAGTATCGATGGGCCCGTATTCAGGATGGTGCTCGCCTAATGGAGACACTAGCAAAGTAGCAGGGTCCAAGTGCACGAATGGAACCTTTGTATCAACAACACCTTGCATTTGTTGTGCACCCAGTATATCGTATTTCGGAGTTTGCTACTCTGTCAACCAGCAAAATAGTCTTGGATGGATCTGGGATGGTACTAACTGGCTATGCCCCAGTCCGTCGTGTATAGTATCAACAGGCCCTTATGCTGGATGGTGCAGCCCGAACGGCGATACCTCAAAGGTCCCTGGTTTCAAATGCAGTAACGGGAACTTTACCTCAACATCGTCGTGCAACTCCCCCAGTATATCGTATTTTGGAACCTGTTATGCTGTAAACGATACCAATGCTCTAGGATGGACTTGGACTGGTAGCAATACGAGTTGGCAATGCCCCACTCCATCTTGTGCGGTGCCGTCAGGTCCTTATCTAGGGTGGTGCGCTGCTCAGTTCGACACGACGAAACTGTCTGGTTCCAAATGTCTCAATGGTGTTTGGTCAAGTCTATGCCCTGCTGGTGGAACAATATATCAGGGTGTTTGCTACGCTGTGAATCAAACGAATCAGTTTGGTTGGACTTGGTCTACGGGCGGTTGGACTTGTCCCTCGCCCTCATGCATCGTGAATACAGGTAGATTTTTTGTCGTCAATCTTTGCTTTACCTAGAAGTAACTCTGTTTGACAGGTACTTACACTGGATACTGTGCTCATACCGGAGACCTCAGCACGATGCCTGGTTTGAAGTGCGTGAATGGCGCCTTCTACGATGCCAGTTGTGCACCACCAAGCGTAAAGTACGCAGGTTTGTGCTTTGACCAGTGGCAGACGAATCTCCTTGGATGGGTATGTATTTTTTTATGAGGGTGCTGAATCTCAACTATGGCTTCGCACCCGGTTACTAACGACCGATTACTAACGACTACTAGGTATGGGACGGAAGTCAGTGGGAATGTCCGAGGCCATCGTGCAGCGTCCCGGGTGGCCAGTATATTGGTTGGTGTGTGAGGCAATTCGACACAAAAAGTTATCCTGGATACAAATGCATAGATACCCAGTGGGTGACACCGCAAACGTGCACGTCGCCAAATATTCTTTATTCTGGCGCCTGTTACGGTGTTAATGAAATCAATGGTTTTGGTTGGACCTGGGACGGAAGGTCAGTGTTTTATGGTATTGATATTCATAGCCCAACAGAAACGCAATTAAAGCCTCCGAAACCTATAGCAATTGGAATTGCATAAAGGGTGCTTGTTTGGTGGACACTGGTCCCTACACTGGTTATTGTGCACAAAATGGAGACACTAGCAAGGTGGCTGGCAGCATGTGCGTGGATACAAAGTTCGTGCCATTCACTCCCGGAACGCAAGCATGCTCCCCACTGTGCTCTTGCCGCACTATCCCAACTGGATCGGACTGGGTTTATAGATCTGGCTCGTCGCTTTATAAGAACGGAGCGAGATTTCGTTTCATATCTATGAACTTTCCAAACTTGGCGCAATCCACATGTAAGGGCTCTGATTTATTTTGATGGCGATTCTCATGTGTTGTACTGATTCTCTTTTCGAACTTAAAACAGCAATGTATGACGTTGCCGCTGGAGATTGTAAGTCTAAAACTCATTAAAATATCATACCCATGACACTGAATTAACATTTTACATTGATACGACAGGTCAAGGTGGTAGTGAAATGGCGTGGCTGGGGTTAGTAAAAGGCGTCTTACTTCAATATCGAATGAGCACAGTACTGATGTTTGATTTGATT